CAAAATGCCGAAATGGGTTTGCAGAAGAACACTTTGATGAACAAGGCTGGGATATAGTATAGCAACAGCACAAGCAAGCTGATGTGAATGACAAGGACCTTGCGACGGTCGGGGGCGAAAATCCGTAGCAGGATGGAGAGGAGGGCGAGCTTGACAACATAAGCCATGGGGACGTAGATGATGGTGATTGCATAGGATGCCTTCTCTCGGATACTCATTAGTGACTGTTGTTTTTTCAATTACAAGGGTAGGAATTGGAGGTGGCTTCCTTCGCTAGGTTATCTACCTTCTGGAAGTCCACGAAGTCACTCTTTGGGACATCCCATCCATGATATCCACCCCCGTAAGCGTTTACTACCTCTGTTAGATACTGTTTCCTACGTTGCTTATTTCCATGGTGATGGGAGCAGACGTACGCACAAGCATGTTAATGCAGAATCCAACGAAGAGTATCTGTTGTTGGACTTCAGTATGTGGTCAAGTCGACTCAGGTATAAAAGGGTGGTATACGCATCCTGCAACAGCTGTATCTATAAAATAAGATTGGTCAATATCAGTATGATAGATTATACATTGCACAGGGAAAGCACGTTACTAACAGTCTTCCCATTCCAGCTTCTTTCGAAGGCGTATCTTCAGAATTACGCGCAATGTCACAGCAACTGTCACAGCGATGATGCACGAGAGTTGCGTTACCAGGTTAATCGTGTGGAGGACGTCGGTCGGATGTGCGAAATTGGAGGTGATCCCTGGAGGGGGAGGGATCAATGGCTCTACAGTCATATCAGCTTGGCAAGGCTGTCAATTGGTAGATGGCGACGAGTATACAGGGGCGTGTCAAGTCGTCTGTAAAGCCTGTATGTAGTCATAGTCTCTGGTCAAGACAAGTCTATCAACTTAGACCATCGTCCACGAAGCAAATGATGACCAGAAGAATTTTTCGGATATGGGATGAGAGGATGGGAGAAGAAGTACGAGAATATGCGAGTGGGTCAATTGCATCTCATGCATCAAATGCCACTAACACCACCCAAAGGGGCACTATGATGCCTCTACCTTTGCGATACTTTACGTCTCCCCTCGTAGACACTGCTTAGATAAGGAATTAAAGAACGAGTTGGTGGTTCAATACGCTAGATCCATCGCGTTTTACCTATCAGCCTTACGTCTCGGTGACCCGTCCCAACAGTCTTCACCCGACACCGTAAAGCATGGAACGGATACTTAAATGCATAGCTATAGCGGTTCTTCACGCTTTAAGGATTCTCGCTTGAATAATGCATTGCCAAAAAAAGACCTGCGCTGGTGGAGCCAGAAGGGGGTAACGGTTTGATCGACCTGATTCCACAAGGGATAGACCCTGATTCAGCCTTAACTTGGCACTTATCTAGGGTTATTTAAGCATTAGTATTACGTTACGGAATGCTATTCTCTGGTGTTTAAGCTCTGTTTCATCCAGAATCCACAGACGATGTAACCTTACAGCAGATAGTCAGTGAGTCTATGCAATGTATCTTCAACGGAAATATTTTCCATTACTCAATCTTTCATAATACCATCAGGGTACATTTTCACCCTCGTCAACTATACCAGTTTAGTGCGGTTTCAAGGAGCAAATGTATGGTTACATCCTGCGACGGGTCGGTGGAGTCGTGAAGGATTCGACGTGGAAATTAATCAATAACGTCTGTCGTGGAACTCCTACACTTCATATGCCCCATCTGCACCCATGACCATTGTTTGTCTCAGGCATAGTGGGGCGTATAATTCTCTCGTCGTACTATAGTAGATCAACAGTAGAAAGTTCGGTCAAACTAAGGAACAGGTCAGACACGTTCCGGCAAGGGCTTCCTAGAGCTTAGGGCATTAAAAACCTATAAAAGCCTTGTTCTGGTGCTCGAGAACACATTACATAGCTACATACAGCTTTGCCTCGCACTACCAGTTACTGTATAGTGTTAAGGATAGCAATGGTTATAAGAGTGAAAAAGGGAAAGAATCCAATGCCGGAGAATACAGCAAGCTATGTGAAACGCTGCCAGATACACCCGAAATTCAACAACTATTGATGCAGTACGTACTCTATGTTACTGGGAAGTAATACGTTTTTTTTTTTTTTGCTGTACCTGTATTTAACATAGAGCCAATTACATCTCAGGACGAATTTGAGTTATCTGCACAGCTGAATGCCGATCCTTTCAAGTCAATGTCAGTAAATACTTTCCTACGGGATAGCCAGCACATACCAATAGTTCCGGAACTGTAGGCATCAATAATCTGGATAACGACACCGTACGTCGCTCCAACCAGAAATAAAAGCCCCAGAAGCACCAGGCCGCAATGAAGAATGAACACGGCCTTGTGTTTCACAGTACCATTCTTGTAGTGCCAGTGGTCGTATAGCCACAGCCAGCCCGGAAGGCTCATGGCGAGGGGGGCAAAACACACGGAGCCAATAAGGGCAATGAGATAGTTAAAGATTGGAATCGCCTCCGCCAAGATGAAGGAAAGGGCACCGAGGATGACAGTGCTTGCAATCCAAGTACCCCAATGGACGACTGTGTTGGCCTGCAGATGCCGCGAGTTTCCTAGAATGCGTACGAAAACATACTTGGCCGCCACCTTCAATGTTGCCATTCTGAGTCAGTCGTCTAATAAAATACATCTGGTTGGTGAAGGGAGACCGTTGAGAAAACGTACATGCAGGTACAGCGTAGCGCTCACGATCAATCCCACCAACGCAACACCGTAGGACACCATCTTTATCGTTTGTCCTGCACTCTATATGACATCCGTTAATAAATCCTCCTCCATGGAACTCATGAGAGTCTGGGAAAGCAATACGCACCCCCAAAGATGGGCTCGCCACCCACTTCCCACACCAGCGATAGACAACCAAGCTAAAGGCGAGGTACGAAGTGGTGACAAGAGTCATACAAAAGTATAGCGGCTTCTTGTAATCTTTTGGGTTACGCATCTCCGAGATGACAGGCAAGAAAGCACTGGTGCCGGCTGATGACACAAATATCGTGCAGGAGGCGACCATGCCGGCCGCAAATCCAGGATTATTGATTGCCACGAAGCCTAGTTCATATGGGCCCTCCTGAGGTGCAGCTGCTGGTCGGTCTCGTGTAGTTACCCCAATCACAACGATTAGTACAGCGGCGTAAATAGAAATAAAGCCAGCATAGGTGAGCCAGCCCACATGCTGAAGTTTGCGCATGGAGGCGGTCACGATAATGACAACTGTGGCAAGAAATGACCACCAGACAGTGCATGCGGCATGGTGCGAAAGGGCATTCAGCGCGGTCGACACACCAACAATGCCACTTCCTGTCGCCAGGACATAGGCAATGATATACAATAACCCCGTTGCCTCCTTCGCAACTATACCTCCGACAACCTCAGCCATGTCAGCGATCGAATGGCAGTAAGGGTGTTTTGTGCGAAAGTTGCCTAGAATGACAAAACAATAGGTATTGAAGCATCCCCAAGCCACGATGCTAATTGAACCTCCTATGGCTCCCAGTGAGTGTAGCGCTGATGGCAGTGATAGGACCCCTGTCGCAAAGAGTATTTTAATGAAGATCACACCCGCATTGAACCACCCAACTTGACGGAAGTTGACTCCAATATCAGTCTTCTTGAAGACCTCTTTTTCCTCGAATACTGACCAATAGGGATTTGTTCGATCGCCATCATACGCCGTGCTGGCCTTGCCCTTCTTGTTGTCCAGCATGGGGAGGAGTTTGGTCCGTGAGAGATGGCTTCGCTAGACGGGATGGAGTCTGGGAACTGTGGATGGGCAGACTGTAAGAATAAAAGATAAAAATAAAACATTTCATAGGGAGGAGGCATCAGTCTTGTCCTTATTCTTCTATTTTGGCCTAGCGAACACGAAATATGGTGCAGGGAGGTAATGGATGATCCTCCTCAACGGTCAAGCATGGTCGTTACTCTAGTTCGCCAAAGCTTAACGGCCTAGGGTTTTAGTAGCTCACGGGGAGTCACGGCCCACTTAATGACAGCAACAGACAACATCCCAGCCCGCCCGACTGGCCCACTCAGTGGGTTGCCTAGGAATTTGCTAGGGTGATAATTTGATATGGTATGATCATTGATCAGCGATATGCCATCCATTCCTTGTTAGTGCCAAATTAGCTTTAATAGTCCAAGCTACAGGAAGTGGGGTCTAGTAAGAAGTCCAGAGCCCAGAGCCCATCTCAGAATGACTAATTCGAGTTGAAGCATTAGCAGAATCGGAAGGATGATTCGATAGAACGGTGGGGTCGAAGACAGACAGAAGAATTTCTGCCCCTCGATATTCTCAAGGGAGCTGAAATTGATTGTCCGGATCCTGAGAGTGGATCTCATTGGTAAGATGTGACAAGTTAATGTACCGGTTTAATCCAGTCCGGAGAGTTGCTGCTTTGCCCGAGAACCATGGAACTACAGAGCCTATTGGTATCTCTCCTTGAATTATAGACATCGGCTACTACCCAAGCTAGTTGTGAAAACTTACTTACCTTCTCATTATCTCTCTACAAGGTTACAGCCTTCCCTTAGTTGAGCACTTTATGTTCTGAATTTCTACTTGCACCACAGTACTCTCCTATCTTTTTACATATCACCTCCACAAGGGGGCCAGTGAAAGCACGGCCCATACATCAAGGTTCAGTAGCAGGGACAGGCTCGAAAATATCTTCTGTGCATAATTAGTGAAGCTATCCTGAACTCCTCTGCTTCAGGTTTACCCCAGGCGTTATACTCTTATCAAGGCCGAGGCTCGGATAGCAGCCTTGCACGACTTGACCGATTACATTATCTCGGCCATAAGATGACTTCAAAAAACATGGGATTCCTAGAACTACATTACTACTCTGTGATGATAATGTATACAATGGTCTATATCAATGTTTTGATTGTCCCAAATCTTGCCCTGCTCTTTTCCACTTATCAGAATACCGCACTACAGTATCAACACCCAAGCATCAAACAATATGACAAACACAACGAACCCACCAGAGTCCTATGAAGCCCTTCCTTTCAAGACCATATCTATTTCCCATGTCCCAGAAGCCTCACCCACCGCTACCAAGGTAGTCATCCTAAAATTAAATCGCCCGCGCCAGTTCAACGCCGCGACAGCGGAAATGATCGAAGAGATAGTGGCGGCATACCAATACTTCGATACCGATGACCGCGTCAAAGCAGTAGTTGTAACAGGATCAGGGCCAGCATTCTGCGCTGGCGCTGACCTCCGAGTCGGGTTTTCTACACTGATCGATGATCTGAAGAAGGATCCCTCGAAGATCGAGTCCCACAGAGACGGGTTCGTATTCCTACAACTATCATATATCCTTCACATAAAGCTTTTCACTAATATAATCAGAGGCGGGCGAGTTGCCCTAGCAATTCACAACTGCTCCAAGCCCACCGTAATGGCCATCAATGGCCCCGCAGCAGGATTCGGAATCACCCTAACACTACCCGCAGCAATCCGAGTAGCCTGCGCAAACTCCAAAATCAGTTTCGCTTTCTCACGACGCGGACTAGCAATGGAGGCCTGTAGCTCCTTTTTCCTGCCGAAGCTGGTGGGAATGTCGCGTGCGCTGCACCTGGCGACGACCGGCGCAACTTATACCGCATCTGACCCATTGCTGAGCAACCTCTTCTCGGAGGTATTGCCAACTCCGGAGGAGACTGTTGCCTCGGCGGTTAGAATTGCTGGAGAGATTGCCGCGAGCACATCTACTGTCAGTACAAAGGTGATGCGTGATTTGATGTATAGGGCTCCGGGGAGCGCGGAGGAAGCCCATTTGTTGGAATCGAAGGTGTTTCTTGGTATGTTGATGTCCCGAGATAGCGCGGAGGGTATGAAGAGTTTTGTGCAGAAGAGGAATCCCGAGTTTAAGGGAACTATGGGTCACGATGCGCCTGTTGGTTGGCCGTGGTGGGAAGCCGTTGACGTTGCTTCGAAGGCTAAGCTGTAGACTGCCTGTTCCGAGGCCAGGTAGCGCCAGGCCGAATAGATATTGCGCATTTATATGTTGTCACATAATCTGCTCCATTGCGCGTGTAGTTATAGTCGAATATCGTCCATAGTGTATGATTCTATCGCGTTAACAGTTCACATACAGCACTAGAATACCACAGAGAAATATGTTTATAGGAGATATCGAACAACATATTACAATGGTGGCACAGTTAAGTCACAGGTAAGTAGTTATTCTCTTATCGGTGTATCATCAATGCAGTTTTGAAGGCTGCTTCGACATCAGTCCGTCTGAAACTGGGCGCCCGGCCGAGGATAACAACCCCGCGGAGTAGCACTGACGCATGTTAGCACTAACACCTAACAGAATGGTATGAAGGATCATCATACTGCTAAGAAACTGTTCAATATCGAGCATACGACTTTTGAGGCACGCAGAGAAAGTCGCGATATCGGTTTCTAGGCAATGTCAGTGCTCTGGATCTCGTCACATCTGCTTTAGCTATACCTTCGTGAGAGTGGGAGTCAAAATCATTTATCGACTGGTAAGCGTCCATATCTCCAGCTTGTCCGTGTGTTTCAGTTGACTGCGATATCTGACTACTCCGTTGATCATGTACGGAAGGGAAGAGAGAAGACGCATCCAGATCCACCCCTTGTTCTCTTAGGAATCCCTCCACATCTCTGCAATCAAACCATTCACCGCCATATCCGCAAACTTCTAAGAATTTCTGATGATCTGGCTGTTGGCCAACTTCGCCCATCCCTCCTAGAGGCTGGAACAGTCCGAGGACTCGTTTAGGGGTCCTCGTATTAGTAGGATATATGGGGTTTCCCAAAGGATCTTTCCTGGGGTAATGTGTTCCAACTCCCCCGATAGAATAGAGCGGAAGGTTTGGTATCTCCAATGCATCTTTTGCTCCGGCACTGACAAGTTTCCGGAAGTACGGGTACATCTGCGTCCGGTCTTGTATGCAGGGAACCAATCTGAATACTCTGTAAACCTCAAGCGGGTGGGATCGTGCGTCAGTGAACAACCGAAAGGCGTACTCCAGGCTGTAACGCTGGAGTCTCCGGCAGAAATCTTTTTCTTGGAACGAGTATGTGTAATGAGTGTCTTTGCTGTGTAGTCGTGCGATGTGCTGAATTCGTGTTGAACGGCTATGCGATTTATCTTCCAGTTCATCACTGAAAGACACATGTCGAGATCTCTTCTTCACGGAGCCTACCGCAGACTCCTTATGCTTCTTATGTTGAAAATCCTCCAAGCAGCCACAATCTATCTTAGGAGTATCTTTAATAGCAGGGTCATTGTACATGGCGTTATGTTGTGAAGTATCCTTATCAGAATCAACACTTGAGGGGGTACTAGTCTGTGTCCTTGGGTGTGTAAGGCGTTCAGAAGTTGATGCCAAAAGATCACTTATGCAATCGAGGTGTCTAACGAGCGCAGGATAGCTCGATTTTATCTCGGACGGAAACGCAGCTTTATAGTCAGCGACTGCGGTAGCAACCATAGTAAGCCTGTCCTCCAGACCTGCTGCACGTTCCTTGGCCTTCTCAAGAGCGGCTTCTTTTTTGAGTCTGTAGGTTCGTTGAGCGCGTCGGATCTGATCTCGACGATCCTGTATCTGGGTCAGCTTACATTGGCTTCATGCGAAGTCTCCCGCAATCATACCTCTGACAGAACAGCCCCACCACTGCTAGCATCCATTCTAGGTCTCCCCGCACTTCTTCGCACATGCAATCGAGATAGCACCTTTGGCATACTGTCTGAGGGGGGATCCTGATTAGCTTTTTCCGTGGGGGACTCCGAGCTCTGAACTGCGGGCGACGAAATGATCTTCTCGTGTCCCTCGCTAGGAACTGCCACAACGTTAGACACGGGCTCCGGCTCCACCGAGGCGCCTCGGTCGGCTGAGATATACCGGCGAGCCGAAAGTACATCTTGTAAGCGAGAGGCCTGGCGAGTTTGACGCCGGTTCTCCATGTTGGCTAGAGGCCGTGCGCTCGGCTAATGAGTAAGAATATGATTCTGATAGTTTAAAGTTTCTATTTGGCCATTAGATCAGTCATAAGGTGGAGTGCATCGGTTCGGTACGTTAAGTGCAGGAGAAAATCGGGAATTGAAGGGCCCGTTGCATCAGAAATGAGAAATTCTTATCTGGTTGCGGCGATAATGTAATCTCGATCGCCTCGGCTTCCAACCGGGCCAACGGTTGGGGCAGATCTTCGCCGTACCCTAACTTTATTGATGAGAATATCTCCACTTGACCCAACAGCATCTCCACCGGCTTAATCTGATGGCAAATGTTGTCAAAAAGACTACCAAAACTCTGTCCATTCCTCTCCCTCATCTATCTATATATCTCTAGTCTATGCTTACTTTATAGCTCACTATGAGCGTCATGTAGCACTAGCCAGTACCCTACTCATCGCCACAGGAGATCAGTATACCGACCCAGCACCTTAGTAGCATCCCCATCAAAAGTATTATGCACGGCATCCCATCCGATCTTCAACTGCGCAGCTTCCAAATCCCGCTTTCTCCGCTCTTCAATCCCGCTCCACGTAGCCACTCCCTCGCCTTCAGACATACTATCCTTAGAAGGTAAAAGACCACATTCAACAAGCATCTGCTCCGGCGGAAAAGTCTTACGCCCCTGCTTAAACACATACCGGGACGCAGCGGATGCGAACACCTGTTTCTCCGGCGATGTATCGGTACCAGGCTTCGGCCGTGTACGGTCCCCGGGTGTATTCGGCTGCAGCAAGAACCTGCGATGGGGGAATGCGCCTCTCTTCACAAAATGCGACACAATGTAGATCCATTTCTCGTCCCAGCTGAGAACCCGGGACCAGACTTCGTACGGCTGGTAGGGCTTAATCTCTCTGCGGAAGACGATCTGCACTCCGCTCAGGATCATGACTGCAGTCGTTGGAGTAGGGCGGAACGACAGGCGTTGGCTGAATAGCAGGAGACTCAGATTGCCGCGGGAGATGTCGAGATCGGTGAAGTAGGTCGAGTTGGACTTGTGGATGTTGTAGTCGCATTCTGTGAGTGGGGATCGCATGCGATGGACTGCTGGAAGAAAAAGGCATTCTGGGCTGAGTTCCTTGTGTGTGATTGGGGTTATGAAAAGCCGTGTGATTAGAGCTCGAAGGAAACGAATCTGCTGGGATGTTAGATTGGAGTGCATTAGTGCACTATGGGTGTGTTACGCACAAACCACACGAAGGGTAGGTTTTTATATGCAGCGACAAGGATGCACAGTGTAATAAGTATCCAGTTATCAAGTATCATCTTGTCGATAGTTCTAGCAAGAGGCAACTTGCTCACCAGAGAAGACCACAGATGACAAAAAATTCTTAGAGAGAGGATACTGGCTTCCAGGGCTGCCCACTATTTATCGGGAAAATGAAACGCTGCTAGAGTCTTTTGTTGGGACTCACCAACAACATTGAGCGGGTCAATGTCAATTCCCTGGTTGGAGAGGATAACCAACGAATGAGTCCTGCTATTAGAATTTCTCCTATCGGATTTCAGTCTTTATTAGTTTTTTATTCTGTTTTCGTTCTGCCTATAGCCCTATATCCACTCTCCTAGTCCCAATTGAATGGATTATTATGACTTTGCAATAGTTCATCAGCTGTCAACAACTGATAACTTAGTAAAGCGCACCGAATTCAGTAGACAACGTAGTACTTTCTATTCCGTAGGACGCAACTGAGTTCAGTCAATCTTATCACTAAGTTCTATCAAATTCATGCATGGAAAGGGCATCCAGCAGCATAATTTGTTCCTTTCAGGCTCTGGAAAATAGCCTCCATCTCATCCTGTCCTCTTTTCTCCTGCGCTGCAGGGCCAATGGTCCGCAGGTCGTACCCTGACTCCTTGTACGAGTCAGCCTCTGTAGGAACAGCCCCATTCCCAAAGAGCCGTACTAGAAGGGCCTTTGGTCCCCATCTGTGCTTAAAGGTGGGTTTGATATACCATGGATGCTCGATCCAGAGATTCCATGTATACAGCCCCGTGGTCGGATCGGGGGAATCACTCAAAACATGCACAGCTTTGGAATCCGGTCTGGGCAAGCTGAGATAACGCAGTATGAACTTTCGCACCACCAGAATACTCTTTGCGAATATAGAGACGAGAATGCCTGGCTTTTCAAATCTTCACCTGGGGTTAGCAAATAGCTCTAACGGAGATATCAGACGCGAAAAACTCACCCCATACTTATTCTGCTGTGTTCTTCTAATTTGGTGACGACAACGCTTTCGATCAATGGCTTTAGTGGCGCAGGCATATTGCATTTGGCCAATTCCATCAGTCTCCGGCCAATGTACCGTGTCGAATCTGTCGGTTGAGCTGCTACCTTCTCATATGCCAGCGTCCAGTCATACAGTTCCTGGGTGAAGTGTATTCCGTCCTTCCAACCAGTCTCATGAGAAGGAAGGAACGTGAAAGGGATTTCCATAGCATCACCCAGAGCCTTATGGAACACGCCAATGGCACATCTCTCTACATCTGTCAACCGACGCCATTCATTCCTATCAACACCCCTGACGATATCCACAACCGCAGAGCCAAGGGTATGCAGCATATCTTCATCCAAGATTTTACCCGCCTTGCGATACCGAGCATGCAGGTAGTTCATCCGTGCAATTCCCATTAGATGGGACTCAGAGCCGGGCTCCCTGTCGTGAACCTCATTGAGGACCACCTCGGTATCCGCAGCCCGTTTGGACGCATTCTTCTCGTTGAGCTGGCGGGTGGCCACGAACAACTTAGTCATTGTAGGAATCGACCCGGTCTTGACCCTTGCATTAGCTTCGATTTCCCACATGATATTGTATAAGAGAACTCACTTTCAATAATGATAGCTTCATGGCGCTGTGCAGGGTATACGGGAACTCCAGTTCTCGCAGTTCGCGGAAGATCTCATGGGCTTCCTTCACGGTCATGTTGGACAGAGAACGCCCGTTGAACTTTGCCTCGATTTTGCGGGCACGTTGGAAACGAAGCCGCTTCACAAGAAGTAGGTATGGCAGCAATACTGCCGCCGCAATTAGAAGGCGAGCAGGCGTTATGCTGAAATGGGCCATGTTGTTAATCGAGAGCATGTTGTCGGTAGGTCTGATGGACTCAGAATTCTAAGTTACAGGTTACCGGCGTTGGCAACTACGTATTGCAGGACTTTATTTATCATTTTAAGGTTCATTCTCTTTCATATGAGAGCCCAAGGAGGGGAGAAAACCGTTGAGCCGAAATTGATGTTGAGATTGTAATAATCAGATTTTGCGGATATCATCCGCCGAGATAATGTAATCCATGCAAATGGCCATCCGCACTACCTTGGTCGAATCTACACCAATATGTTTTCCCATGTGTGCATGTTATGCAGGCATGTGGCATCACGATCAACTCTGTTCTACCAGCATAAACTCATTCGGGGGTGGTTGTGTCATAGTGCCCGACTTGACCTAAACTGTGTCGAGTGGATGGTTAGCTTGAGTACCTTTGTATGGACTTTAGCCACCTTCTCTTACTTATACGATCACACTCTTCATGGCTATGGAGTATATGTTTCAAATGATGACTACCTCTATGCACAGCTTGGGTAGGATTCGCCACTGTACGAAAGGATACCATCTTTCAATGTATCTGGCCGCTCAACAATCCCGAACAGACATAAATTACCCACCGAGAAACAAATTCATAGCAATATATACAGTCTTCGAAAAAGAGAAAAGCGGGATTCTACTCCCGGTCTCCAGTATCCTCGAGATCATCTCTTACTTTTCCATCATCCCGGGCAGGTCTCCAGCCTGTGCCCGCTTGGGCGACCGTTGCTGCCAGGGCCAGAACACAGCTTCCCAGGAGCAGCGTTTTAACCGCTTGTTCATAGCTCTGTACTGCGACTAACCTTTCAACCCCAGTTAATCTCTTTACCAGGGCCGGGCTACCGAGCAGCTTGCGGATAAGTTCATCCCGTTCGGGTAGACCATGGGCTGCGAAACCGGTCTCCAAGGATGTCTTCAACTCGCGTTGGAAGAATCCTCCGCCAATGGCAGAGCCAAAGCTTCCCGCGAAGCCTCTCGACATGGCGATCAGGGCGCTCACGACATAATGCACGTCTGGTCTGGTGAGATGCAGTAGATGGGATAAGCTGTAGTTCATCAAGGCGCCGGCCGCAAGACCGTCCAAGAATGTCACGGCCAGATAGACGATAGTAGGCGAGGTAGGTGTTGAGAGAATTGCGAGGACGAGGTTCGCCAGTGCAAACGACAAGAAAACGATGATATTCGAACTATTTGTGTTTGAAGGAGTCAGCAGGGGTGATAGCAGCAGGGCATGGATCGGTAGCCCTCACATATAATAACTTCCGGTTTTGCGAATATGCAACCAGCCTACAAGAAGGCCTCCAAGACCAAAACCAGCGTTTGTCGGCACTAGGATCAGGCCGGCAGAAGCCGGGGACCAGTTTCGGACGACCATTGCGTACACGGGTGTGAAGAAGAGAACTGACCAGCGGGCCATCATTGAAGCAAGGCCTGAGAGACAGGTCAAGACAACACTTCGCATGCCAAGGACTTCTACCGGGATTATGGGCTCCGACGTAAATCGGGATTCAATCAACAAAAATACGGCGAAGGGGACAAGGCACAAGATCAACGGTACAAGTTGAATCTCTGGCGAGGCAAGGCTGAAGAGAAGCAAGAAGACAGAGATACTCTATGGACAGTCAGCAGCTGCTACCACGTTAGCTTGCCGATGTGTTCTTACCAAAGCTAAGGCTCCGCCATAGTCGACTTTAGCCAGTTTCCGTACCAAGGCACGACCCCAGAGGGGCTCGTTATCCGTTGAACTAGGGGGTATAGCAAGGTACTGAATAGGGCCCAGAATGAGGCAAAGTGGCGCTTGAAACCAGAAGATAATGCGCTGGTGGAATTTTTAGTGAGGGTCTTGAGAGAAAGTATTAGGGCAACCTACCCATCCAAAGGCCGGCGTTAGTAATCCAGCCAGCACCGCACCGGTAGAGACACCGGTCGTCATGCCAACATTGATCAGCCCAATGTATAACCCTCTCCGCTTTTTGCTGGTCAGGTCAAGTGTAAGGATTATTGTTGTGACCATTATACCGCCGCCTCCACATCCAGTAAGTGCCCGCCCCAGAAGGAAGACGGTGAGATTTCCAGCAGCTGCGGTGATGAAAAGACCTATCGATAGAAGTACACAAGAGAAGAGAACGTATACACGGGGAGTAAATATTTGGGAGAGTCGACCAGCAAGTGGGGTGACACTAGACAGTGCTATCTACCGATAAAGGCGGGTTAACTCAGAGACTCTGCACAGGCTATTACCATGAGCTTAACATACTAGATAGGCTGAAGTAAACCATGTTGTTTCTGAAAACGCGTCTAGATCTGCTGCAATATCCGACTGGGCCGTTGTCATCATGGACATGTTCGTAGCTATGATCGGGCTCAGTCATTTGCAGCCCCAAGGCGGTTGCATGCTAGGTCGGGAATACCTTGGGTGAAGAGGAGAAGTCCCATTGCCGACACAATTGTAAAACCTCTGGGGAATGAGATAGGAACATTGCTCTCGTCTAACTCGGCCGGCGAATTATTGAGGAGAGGCGTTGCCTCCGAGGGCAATTCCTCCGTATGTTGTTCTGCAACCATGGTATAAGGCTCTGAAAGACTGGAAGGTAGTCGGGAGGAAGATCTCGAATTTCCCCTCAATTGGGCATATATCGCTACCAATTGAGATGACGTGCAAGAAGAAGATTCACACGTGCTTTTCTGGGGAAATATGCACAAATACTTAAATAAGCACTACGGGATGGCGCCGGATGTGCATTTATAATCAAGGCCGGAGATAAGATAATCAAGGATCAACAACGGTTAATAGGTGCCAAGATACTAGGATGTACCACGGAAATAGACGTGGGGTACTGAAAGGAAATGTGTTGCATTGGTAGAAGAGAATAAAAGGAGAAGATGGAAGAGGAGACAAGAGATAGATGCGTAGAATCACTAGCAATGGTGCCAAAAAGCAAAAAGCAATGACCAGACTGGGGCTCGATCCCAGGACCTTATCGGTGTTAACGATACGTGATAACCAACTACACCATCCGGCCGATTGTTGAAAACCTGCTATGTAGTTAATAATATTAAGCTAGCAAATAATCAGAGAGACGCTGGACAGGGTTCAGTCTTCCATGTAAGTTTTTGAGAGCAATTGAGGGGTTAGAGGAGTATTTTCTGGTTGGATGTATTTGTTAAGCATGTACTATATGTTAAAGATGGCTAGAGATCCTTACACAAGGCTCTGCGATGTGGCGACCGGTAATCTTCTATATCGCACTGTTCACAACTCAAAGATATATATCTTTCTATAGGCCATCCTACCCTATTTCACATCCCCTACAACCAAAATGCCAGATATCCCAGAATATTGGTACACTAGGCAATATCCAAGTAAACCATATTAAAATAAATTCAAAGAATGTATATATGCCCAGAAATCTATCTCTTGCTAGATGGAATATGCCTCTACAGAACGGTGAGTCCATAGCATAATCTTGCAGCCTTGGTGCCTGACACGGTCTTGGCGGTAAGGCCGAAGATGTTCTGCAGATTTTCTCCGCGATCATTGTGATCTTATCGCTTTTGCGACTTGCTACACATTTACGCACCCGCTGGATCAACTACTGGATTTGTACCGCCCTATAATCTACCAAAATGCCACGTGCTGTTCGAGGTATGCGCATATGGCCTCTACCATCCCTTCCGACCGAGCTAACATGAGGTTCCGACAGGAGTCCTGATCGAATGCGATCCATCCGTGAAAGCCATTATCCTGAAGTACGACGAAGAAAGACACGACTACATCGTGGAGGACCTAGATGATGACCGCCACCTGGTTATCAAGGAAAGCCAACTGCAAAACCTGAAGATCCGGCTGGGAAGGGTATGCTTCAGAAGACGGTTCGGTTGGTGACTATACTGACGACGCGCAGGAACTCGATGAAAAAGTCATGCAACCCGATGAGTCGGAATCCGATGAATGAATTTGGATATTTCAATATATCTCCATCGCATTGCATCCACACCGACGCCATCCTTTGGTCGTTATACCCGGGAGGGATGAGGATGATTCGAAGTGTCGTACGACATCGCGACCGTTCTACAACTACCAAAAATCGAAAGAGAACACCTCCATATGGTGAATTCACGAGGCACCACGTATGTCTATCATGTAATCGGCCAATGACTCACCCTGGCCAACAGGGCTGATACAAAGGAAGATTTGGTCCAAGGAAGTGGCAACGATGGGCTCAGTGCTTCCCATCACATTGTCTCGGATCGGCATCAAGAGAAAGGCCGAGGAACTTCAAGCTTGCCAACAGTATTGATTGTTACTTGCTTAGTGCTCGCATAGAACTGGAGTTGACGTATAGAAGATCCTTCTATGTATTGATCTGGCATGGGATTCCCTGTTTTTCAGTTCTTTGAAAGTGTCCAGAACCAGGTGACGAGTGTGAAGAGTGTACAGTACTTTCTAGATATCCAAACTACGAATCGCCATCTAGAGGTCCCACAGCCAATCAAATCGAATCGCACTGCAGACGTCGTATGATTGAAGGTACGGGCTATCCAAGGGTCAAGGTTCTAGCCGGACGGAGACTCCACCTGGGGAAGCGCAGTTGCTCCAGCGGTTCCAACGGCGATCGCCATCACGTGACAACATCGAAACGCCCAGAAGGCTCCCGCACCAACCAGAGGCGCCCAGTGGAAGCTCGAAACGTCTCGACACCTCAGGCACCGTCCAGGTCATCCTGAAGTGATGCCACCAGCACGTCAGCTGTTGGTGAATCGCAGTTTCTGGAACATGGCTGACAAGACATATAAGGGGGCACAAGGCCTCGTCGAGTTTGCACTTCTCTCCATCAGAACAACAGCAATCAAACACAAGAACAACAGCAATCGCCTACAAACCAAACACTTCTTCCACTACTACTTCTACCAGAACAAACCTGCCTCTACTTACTCTTCTAAACACCCTACCTCAACAAACCACCAAGATGTCTCTCTTCCGAACCATGCCTACCGCTGGCGACTTCTCTCCTCTCTTCCGTCTCTTGGACGACTACGACACTCACCGCCAGAGCCGTGGCCAGGTGTCCAGCGTGCGCTCCTTCGCACCTCGCTTCGACGTCCGTGAGACCGACGATGCCTACCACTTCGACGGTGAACTCCCTGGCATTGCTCAGAAGGACATCGACATTCAATTCTCTGACCCGCAGACCCTCGTGATTAAGGGCCGCTCTGAGCGCGAATACCATACCCCTGAGGCCGGCGAAACCAAGGAGGCGGAGGGCGAGAGCAAGGCAGTGACCAAGGCCGAGGACAAGCCTCGCTTCTGGGTCAGCGAGCGCTCTGTCGGCGAATTCCACCGCACCTTCACCTTCCCGTCTCGTGTCGACCAGGAAAACGTCAAGGCCAGCCTTAAAAACGGTATCCTGTCCTTGGTCGTGCCTAAGGCTGCTGCCTATACTGGCAAGAAGATCACCATCGAGTAAACGAGCCGCGAGATGAAACGAGTTACGACCTAGCATGGGAGTTGGGCAATCAGGTTGAGCATCATCGACAGTGATAATTTCCCGTTTGACTTTTATTTAATTCGACCGAAAAAACCAAAAACCAAAAAAAAAGTCTACCTCAGTCGTTGAAGTTGAAGATGTTGATTCGTTTTCATTCCTTTGACTCTGGAGTGTGATGGTGGTGGATGATGGATTTGCTGGCATTTCTTAATTCTGCCTCTTTGTACTTTATCAGTTCACCGTCTAATTAATTCTCTATTTGAACTTCTCTCCAGTAAAGCTCTACAAACGTAGGAACACCCGTAGTAACAGACGAATTATACACATCTGACTAAGCCACGTGAATGCCAAGCCGCATAAATGATTATGTGATCAAATGACATCATGTGCATTTCCCCTCTCGATCCAACTCAATGCAAGTCAACAACACAACATGTAGACAAAAGTATGCAGACACATACACCATGAACATGAACATTCCAAGTATGACATACACCATAAGTACTTATAACTACCCCATCCACTGAATTGAGTAATAGCCTGGAATGCTCCGATCCATGGATACGACCACGAAAGCGTGGACCATTTCCGTGAACCGAGGCATGTGAAGTTCAACCGACGGTTATCAGATCATCATCTTCGTTCCAAGTCCTCCAATTCTTCTCCTGCATATACCCACATTGTTGTACGTATCAGTATATTGGCACTGTATATATCATTCCAATCTATATCCTTCATTGTACAGCCCAACAGTCAACCCTTGGTACCACCAATAACACCAAAAACCACATATCCCCAACACAAACCAGCAATCCAAAATGACGACCTCCCTAAACCCCAAATACTTCAACATAACCTACCCCCAAGAACATGTCGCGCACGTCGAGATCAACCGTGCCGACAAAATGAACTCCTTCTTTGAAGCGTAACTCCAACCCCAATTCCAAAAAACCCTGCCCAGAAGCTAACCACACGGAAAACAAAAGCATGTGGCTCGAACTCCACACAATCTTCAACCACCTCTCTCACTCCCCAACCGTCAGAGCTATCGTCCTCTCCGGCGCCGGCCCCAAAGCCTTCACAGCCGGATTGGACGTCAAAGCCGCCAGCCAGGGCCTCCTCTCCTCGGACGACGACAGCCAAACGGATCCCGCCCGCAAAGCCTTCCACCTGCGCCGCCACATCACCTCCTTCCAGGATTGCATCTCGGCTATCGAGCGCTGCGAGAAACCCGTCATTGTGGCCATGCATGGCTTCTCGCTCGGCCTGGCGGTCGACATCGCCACGGCGGCCGATGTGCGGCTCTGTGCCGCGGACACCAAGTTCGCCGTGAAGGAGGTGGATATCGGTCTTGCGGCGGATATCGGGACGCTGAGTCGGTTACCGAAGGTGGTGGGGAATTTTGGGTGGGTGAAGGAGGTGGCGCTGAGTGCGAGGGTGTTTGGGGCCGAGGAGGCGCAGCGGGTTGGGTTTGTAAGTCAGGTGTTTGGCAGTAAGGAGGAAGTGCTGAAGGGGGCGCTGGAGATCGCCGGGTTGATTGCTAGTAAGAGTCCGGTTGCTGTGTTTGGGACGAAGGATATTCTGAACTGGAGTCGGGATCGGAGTGTGGCGGATGGTATGTTTTCTTTTTCCTTTTCCCTTCTTTTCTTTCTTTTTTCTTTTTTTGATATATGTCCTTCTTGTTGTTGCGTTGGTGCTGGCTAGGGTTTGCGAAAGTGTGCTGACTTGCTATTTAGGTCTTCGGTATACGAGTGTCTGGAACAGTGCTGCGCTGCAGACGAAGGATGTCAGTGCGGCGTTGCTGTCGGGGATTCAGAAGAGGAAGCCTACGTTTGAGAAGCTGTGATCATTACCATCGATACTGCTGTAGATATCTATATCGGGGTAATTTGCATGGGACTAGATAGTACTGTATCATACATCAGACCTATTGATTGACCTCGGATACCAGCCTCTCTCTACTCAAGAACAACCATCCTACACCCTGTACCATATAACTACTAGAAGACTATACCTACATCCCCTCGGTCCAAAACACCCCGAACTTCCACATCCCCGAACAATAACCCGTTGGTGGAAAAAACCAGCAAAGGGCCTCGTATTGCTCAAGGCGGGGCCACAAGGGCAGCCCGGCAAGCACGTCACTCGAGTGATTCTTCACGGAGCGGATAAGCTTCCCCGTTTTCCACTAATAATATATGCGGGGGAGGGACGGGGCGTCGGTTCCCACAAATAGAACCGCGGGCTAATCTATGCACGACGGGGGTACGACGAGATCGACCCCGAGTACTGGTTAAACTATGTACAAGTGACGGAGGGGTGGGGTTGGGTTCTGCTCCTGCGGCGTTGTGTGTTTGGGGAGGAGAAGGGGTGAAACTTCCGTCGGTCCGTGGCTGATACGCTTTTTGGTACCTGAGATGGGGGTTGTGGTGATTGGGAGGTTGGAGATGGGTGTTTTTTTTTTATTTTATTTTGTTCTTTAATTTTTATTTTGATTTGGTTTGTACTCCTGGGCCTTTTTTCCGTTTCTACATGTAGATATTCCGTGGCAGGGGTTGTGTGTGGACTTGGCCTTGGGTATAAATAGCTTGGAGCTGGTCGTGTGCTTGTGGTTGATTGTCCATAGATTCTTCACTGTACTATTACTACTACTCTCATTACAGAATATCTCGATTTTCATCATGAGATCCGTCCTTCTGCCGCTGTCCCTTCTTCCCGGCGTCCTGGGTGCCACCATCTATCTGGCTGGGGACTCGACCATGGCTGCAAACGGCGGCGGATCAGGCACCGACGGTGAGAATGCCCCGAACAGCACCGCGCGTGGAATGCGAACTGACAAATGCAGGGTGGGGAAGTTATGTCGACGACGTATCTGTCACCGTCTCCAACAAAGCGATCGGCGGCCGTAGCGCCCGCTCCTATACCCGCGAAGGCCGCTTCGATGCCATCGCCGACGTCCTGCAAGAAGGTGACTACGTGGTGATTGAGTTCGGACACAACGACGGGGGCTCGTTGAGCACCGACAACGGTCGCACCGACTGCCCCGGGACGGGCTCGGAGACGTGTGAGACCGTCTACGACGGCCAAGCGGAAACCGTCCTCACGTTCCCAGCATACTTGGAGAACGCGTCCAAGACCTTCGTGGGCAAAGGAGCCAAGGTCCTTATCTCCAGCCAGACCCCGAACAATGTCTGGGAGACGGGCGAGTATGTCTATTCGCCGTCTCGCTTTGTCGAGTACGCTCGGTTGGCGGCCGAAACGGCGGGCGTGGACTATGTGGACCACGGCGCTTACGTGGCCGCCCGGTATGAGGCACTAGGGGCGGACACGGTCAACTCCTACTACCCCAATGACCACACCCATACCAGCCCGGAAGGGGCGCAGGTCGTGGCGGATGCGTTCCTGAAAGCGGTGGCATGCAGCAATGTCGCGCTCAAGGATGTCTTGACCAGTACGGATTTCCCGGGCGACTGTCTGTAGATGGTAATGCTTGTGGCGAAATAGTGGATTGGCAGGGAATATGCTATAGCGTATTATGTATATAGTTCTCGATACCCACGCTTCCAAATGACAATTTGGGTAAAGACAGATTCCAGATCCGTCGGCATTATAGGTACGCCATGGTCTTCATAACTTCGTATCGTGAAATAGATCGGAACCAACGTGTAAACAAGACTAGCTCAACTCCTCCAGCGATTTCTTGACAAAGCCACGGTTCTCGACCCGCTGGTAGTACTGGGCCAAGTTGCGATAGGCCTTCACTGAGAATGGCCCACGGGCTTGTACAATCTCCCTCAAGACCGGCCAAAGTGCACAGTCGTCCAGCCCAAACGTGGGCCCGTCCAAATAATACTTGCCAATCAGGGCCCGCTCCCATGTATCCAAAGCCCGCAGATGACCCTCTTCTTCTTCTTTCTGATGCTCACGCCAGCTCTTCAAGAGTTCGCCAATCTCCGCGAATCGATCACCCCCATGCAATGGTTCTACCCCGGGTCGGTTTGACTCCGTAGAACGCCGGCTCAAGTGGGTCAGAATATTGATATCCCCAGAAACCTTGGTGCCGTCCGTATCGACATACAAAGGTCCAGCGTTCCGCCCGCTGCTGGGGGTCTCCAGATTGTACCGGATGCCATGCTCACTCAGACAGAGCAGCACTCGCAGATTGGCCACAACATCTTCGCCGGCGACGAGCTTGTTCGCCGACGCAGTGACAAAGTTAACCCCATCGAACCCTGCCCCGTAGACGGCGTCCCAGTCAAAGTCAATCGCGTGATTTTCTTCCCCGAATGCGCGAATGAGCCGCTCCGTCTCCGTGGGATTGCCATGGATCACAGCATTGGCCTGGTCCTGACTTTTGGACACAGCGCCCTGACCCCAGATTGTGTCGCCGGCGGGATTCAAGAACGTGCCAATTTGGCGGAAGGTGAGCGAGATTCGCTCGCCCCCGTAAGCTCGTTCTTCCATGGACTTCTCCGTGTCGGGGCGTTTGTCGGGACGAATACCGTGGAGCCATCGCATATTGGTTTTCTCGCCGAGAATGAAAAGGGATTCATGGGGCATCGGCACCCGCTGTGTCGCCCGACTGGACTCCCCCTCTTCGGCCTCTTGGGATTGGGCTTTGCTACGGAGGACCATCACCCGCTGCGCGCCAAGGCTGACATTGCAGATCGAGGACCCACGGACGATGTCCAGAGTCTTGTCGGAATGCTCTGAGATACGGTCTTGCCCGTCACGGTAGAGCTGAATGAGGACATGGTTCAGGGGATGCCGCAGGATGCGTTCCACGATCATGCGTACTCGGTCCACCGTGGTCGTGAAGGGCTGCAATGGCGGCGATTCGTCGGCAGGGTGGCGATAGATGGGGATGGAGCCATCCGACAGTGGCTGCCCTTGAACGGCGACGAGGCGCGGAACCTCTCCAGACATGTGGTACATTTTCTGCCAGGCTACCTCCGTGCGGATCTGTTCAAAAGCATTGGCGGGAAGATCCAAATCATAGACGATACGCGAATCGCCCTCCCCGATCGCATCTCCCGGTTTGCGAATATCGCGCGACGGTTTGGATTTCGTGCTTCGTCGACTTTCAATGCGCGATGTGGATTCGGTTTTCGAATCTACCCTCTGCGTTCGGCGCGCTTTCACGCGCGCCTTCTGCGCCTTCTCCGCCGCTCGACTGTGGCGGGTGCGAGCCACTGAAGCCAAAATATCATCATGATCCTCCAGAGGGTCTTCACCTGGACTGGCGTCGAGAGCACGGGGCGGGGGAACCCGCGGCATTGGTTCAGGTTCTTCCATTTTGGCGGGTTTGGCTGGCTTGACGTCAAGGTCATCCATGACCCCCTCAATCCCAGAGGACGTAGCATTCCGAACCGGTCTGTGTCCACCTTTGCGTGCGATGGCATCGGTTTCCTGCCAATCGAGCTCTTCGTAGAGTTCCTCTGTCGTAATGCCATTCGCCCCGAATATGTCGGCCATGCGTCGCATTGCTTCTTCATAGCGGGGGAAGCTGCGGAAACCGAGGCAATCTTCGATCAGGGTGACGGAGAAGCCGTGCCGAACGGCATCGAGAGCGGTGGCATACACCGACGCGTTACACAGAGAGCCACACAGATACAATTCCGTCACAAAACGAGTGCGGAGGGACAGAATTAGGCCTTGACTTTGCAAGGCGGAGTAGTCCGATTTGTCTACCAGGGTGTCCGACTCGGCATCAATGGCGGCTAAAATAGGCGCGGGGAACTGTGCGCCTGGCGTCTGCGGGCGACAACATTTGGATGTTTCGCTCGACAGAAACGCCTCCTCATCCACGGGGTCTTGGGGATCTACGCTTGTTGGACCAGGGGGTTTATCCGACCGAAGTCGTTTGGTAGCCGTCTCGGGGGCCAACACGACATATTCCTGCTCGTCTGGGCCGATCCATGGTCGGCACGACTCAAATTGCGTGCGTACCCAGATGACTTCGCCAGTACGACGGAACGCGCTCGCTAACTGGGGGAGCGTTTCCAAGAACTCGGCAGTGTTGGCCACATGCAGAGCTCCCGACTGTCGCACAAAGTCATTTTGAAAGTCCAGGAGAAGCAACGCTTTCCGGGTTTGAATGATTGGTATATTACCGAGTCGGGATAAGTAAGTCATGGTCAACGCATAGCGAGGATTGGGGGGTAAATTAGGAAATAGTCAGGATGATAAAAGAGAAGACTATTGCCAGATCACCCAAATTACCCACTAAGGAGAAAAGATTATGATGGGGAGTGGGGACTACCAGCTGCAGCGGGCAAAGTTTAACAGAGCAGAGAGATGTTCCTCGCGAATTCTGATGATATGGCCCGTTGGCGATGGTTTTGTGGAGAGTTACCGCCAGACACCTGAGGCATCGGGTTTGCTGGCCTGTTTTGGGGTTAGTGCATGGACCATTGTTTGTACGTACGGACTCCGGAGTATAGGACTTGTAGCATGAGAGACATCGCAAATGCCAGACAAAGACGTGGGGTAACCAGATTCTGGTTCGAGATCGGAGATTCTAGCCCATGACTCACCATGTGTTTAATCAGGGGTCTTTCTGTCATAGACTAATTGTTCGACTTCGGGGGGACAGCCCCAAGCGTTCCACGGAAACGAGGTGCGGACTGATAGAGTATGACTACAAGGAAGCCTCCAGCACGACAAAAACGGCCCCGATCGAGGGCTGACATAATCCCGCTCGAGCTGTCCCCGCCAATCAGGGAGCTTCCAATCCGACATCGGCCGGGGAGGTCCGCAGCAACTCCGGATCACGTGCCGCCCCGACGACCCCAGCAACCAGCTTAAAATGCGAGTCACATCCACCTCCAGCTCTCCCCTTTCTCTCTTCTTCTCCATTCTCTTTTACTATCAATCCCATTCCAATCTCCCCTCTTTCCCTCATCCGCCCTTCCTCCATCCTCAATTCCTCCATATCAATTCACAATGGCTGCTCGTGGACTCCCCCGCGCCCTCCGCCTGGCCCGTGTTGCCGCTCCTCGCTCCGTCGTCTCCGCCGCCCTCCCTCGTCCCGCCCTGGCTAAGGCTGCTGCCAATGCCCTCCCCCGTGTGACTCTGTCCTCTACTCCCGTCCGTGGTGTCAAGAACATTTCCTTCGCTGGTCACGAGGAGACCGTCTACGAGCGTGAGGACTGGCCTCGTGAGAAGCTCCAGGAGTACTTCAAGAATGACACTCTGGCTCTTATCGGTTACGGTTCCCAGGGTCACGGTCAGGGTCTGAACCTCCGTGACCAGGGCCTCAACGTCATCGTTGGTGTCCGTAAGGATGGTGCTTCCTGGAAGGAGGCCGTCCAGGACGGCTGGGTTCCCGGCAAGAACCTCTTCGACGTTAACACCGCCATTGAGAAGGGTTCCATTGTCATGAACCTGCTCTCCGATGCTGCCCAGAGTGAGACCTGGCCCGCCATCAAGCCCCTCATCACCAAGGGCAAGACCCTCTACTTCTCTCACGGTTTCTCCCCCGTCTTCAAGGATCTCACCAAGGTCGAGGTCCCCAAGGATGTTGACGTCATCCTCGTCGCCCCCAAGGGCTCCGGCCGTACTGTCCGCACTCTCTTCCGTGAGGGCCGTGGTATCAACTCCTCCATCGCCGTCTACCAGGACGTCACCGGCCAGGCCAAGGAGAAGGCCATCGCCATGGGTGTTGCTGTCGGTTCCGGTTACCTCTACGAGACCACCTTCGAGAAGGAGGTCTACTCCGACCTCTACGGTGAGCGTGGTTGCTTGATGGGTGGTATCCACGGTATGTTCCTCGCCCAGTACGAGGTCCTCCGTGAGCGTGGCCACAGCCCCTCCGAGGCCTTCAACGAGACCGTCGAGGAGGCCACTCAGTCTCTCTACCCCTTGATCGGTGCCAACGGCATGGACTGGATGTACGCTGCCTGCTCCACCACCGCCCGTCGTGGTGCCATCGACTGGTCCAGCCGCTTCAAGGACAACCTCAAGCCCCTCTTCAACGAGCTCTACGACAGCGTGCGTGACGGCACTGAGACCCAGCGTTCTCTGGACTACAACTCCCAGAAGGACTACCGCGAGAAGTACGAGAAGGAGATGCAGGACATCCGTGATCTCGAGATCTGGCGCGCTGGAAAGGCCGTCCGTGCCCTTCGCCCCGAGAACCAGAAGTAAATGTAATGTGCATTGGGATTTGGGAAAAAGTTATGACTGTACCATGATGCCTTGTTATATTCCAGTTAATTAATTTCATTATACCACGTTCAAGCAATTTCTGAGCATTTGTCGTAAGAGTGTCATGTAGTGGAATCAATTCCGTAAGACTAAGAGTTCAAGAACCTCACATCGACGCTTCGAATATCTCCAGCCAGCTGGTCAAAGCTCTTCAACCTGATTTAACACATCGCCATTGACCTGTCCAAAACACAGTTTCAACGGAAATCCATAGATTGACTTCATGATGTGATAGAGTCGTGCTCCAAGTGAAAATAACCACAGACCTCCCCATTTCATCACTTTCAAACCGGAGAGCTCTAGAACACGTATTGATACATGAGCGAAAACCAACAATCCTGATATAATATATCAAAACGAAGTAGAAGCCAGTTGCCTGTTGTCTTCCTATCATAGCCCATCGGGAACAGGACTCCAGAAGAACCAAAAGAACCTAGTGAACAAACAGATCATCCTTGATCAGTATAATAGCGCAGCACAACCTCCCATGTACGGAGTACGGGGTATGTACATACATCTATGGATGCAAAATCCTTGCTACGACCAATGAGATCAAGTATAATCTTAGATGCAGATCGTGCATGCCGAGTTAATTGAGGCTAAGTATGATCCAATAGAAGCCAGGTATTCGCTACTAGCTGGTCCTCTAGTGAACTAATCTGTCAAGGCACTTCAGATTAGGTTCTGAATAAGCACCTTACTTGGACAAGCTGTCTGGATCAGTCGGGGATGGTAACTGGGGGCTCCGTAATCGGCGGTTGTTGATATATTCGGCAACTGACTTGAAGGGTATGGCTGGAATCTACGACTATATACTGATGTTTGTTTATATTGGTTTTGTTCTTTAGTTCTTTTGTACATTTGCTTTCCATTACGGTGTTAGAGGATCTTTCAAGGGGTTCCACTGGCGTGGTGGTGTCCGTTGGGTAGACTTTACCGCTGCATATACGACCTTCATGTGTTCACTTCAACCCGACTCAATGCTCTATACCCCGAGCACTCAAAGATGACAAGAAGCTTTATCCCCCAGTCCAGACCGTATGAGGGGACTTTACAGTGAATTATAAGGTTTACCGCTGCACTAAGTGACAAGGCTAGTAGACTAAGACTGAGGCTAGTATACATAATCTTACGTTCAAGAGGCTCAGGCCAGGCACCATGACAGTTGTAAATAATTAAAGTGTCAAGATAGTAGAGCTTTAGAAGCTGGGTATTCTATTTTTGATCCCCCTCTAATAATTTCGTAAAATGTATCCCATTATCTAAACACGAATGACAGTTCCATTCTCCTTGCGAACAAAGTCCAAAAAGACATCCAGCTGAGGGCTACGCGCATGGTTGACAACAAACACAGCCGGCTTTCCATAAGGTGCATCAACACGCACTGTCTGTCCAGCGTGGTAAGTCTTGCCGGACCAGACATGGGTGTAAGTGCGGTTTCGGTCAGTGCCGGGCAGATACACATTCAACTTGGTAGTCTTGGGGTCCAACACCGGAGCAACGTAAAGATCGGCGCCGAGGTAGAAGCTCTGGTAGCTGATCTGGCGGGCCTTGGAATCGTCCGGGTGGTAAAGGACTGGCATTCGCAGGAGAGGCCAGCCGCGGGTCTTGCTTTCAGTGTTCAGAACCTGACGGCGGTAGGGGCCGAGACTCTTGAACATCCGCGCGTTGTATGCGTAGTAGGAGTATGTGGAGCTGTTGCTGTAGAACTGAGCGTTGACCTCGGGCACGTTTCCTTCATGAGACCGGAAGACCGCGCTGGAGACTGCGGCCAGTTCTCCCCAACGTCCGAGGATCTCTGCCGAACGTCCAATGGCGCCGGATGAGTTGGCCACGGTAGGTGGGTGGAAGGCGGTGGTATAGCCACCGAGGTCAGAGTGGCTCTGAGCATAGCCGGAAATACCCATCTGGCCCATGATGGTCACGGCAGATTTGATGCCGTCATTGACACCCCAGACAGTGGTCTGATCTCCGACCCAGAACAGGTTCAGGTGGCGGTTAGAGCCGAGCGAGGCAGAACGGTGGAATGTGACCATCTCGTCGAACAGGGGCATTTCCTTAGCCACAGAGCGCTGGAATATAGCCCAGTCACGGGGGTATTGGTTGTGATAGAAATAAGCATCTGAAGAAATGTTCGCCAGCTTGGTGTCTGGGGTGATGGGAGTGTACTCTCCGAAATCCCACATGACACCGGAGATGTTGGCGTTCCAAACTTGCTTGCGGAGGACATCAGCAAACCACGAGCGTGTCTTCTGGTTTGTAAGATCCAAAATGCCGGCCTGGATTCCCTTGCCACTGGAGATAATGGCGGTGCCATTCGTGGTCGAATTCTGAACCATATATCCACCCTTAGTGGCCTCGAGGAAGAGGTTGCGACGGTAACCATCGGCCTTGGAGCTGACATTGGCCACGAAGGGATTGATGTAGGCCAAGGTCTTAACGCCATACTCTTCACGAAGGTCCTGCACGAATTCAGTCCAGGTTGGGTACAGTTTGCTGTCGGATTCCCAGTTCCACCAGAGACGAGAAATCTGCATGTTGCCGTATGGTGCATCTTGTGAGTGGGTGCCAGACCTACAGATGTTAGCGAAGTTTCTCTAACAGGCTCAATCATTCGAAGAACATACCAATCTTGAAGCCACACTGCTGCAACAGGGCAGTCCTGCTTCAGACCCTCTTTAACGATGCGCTCCACCTTTTCTTGTCCGCCTTGAATACCCAAGATGGCGCCGTGATCGACCCATTCGGGCAAGGTAGGCATCTTGCCAACATAGTCGGTGAGCATTGTGATGGCATTGAGCATATTATCCGCCTGCATCACGTGCCCGCCAACTGTTAGAGCATCGTATCGCACAGTCACAGCATTGGGCTTAGTGAAGTCGAATTCAGCAAAGGCTGTGTCTTCTTCCCAAAGGTAGAAAACTCTCGCAGCGGAGCTGATATATTGTGGGATGGCAGTATAGGTCGTGAATTCATTACCACCACTGAACCAGCTCTGAGAATCTTCCAGCGCGGTGATGGGCTGATCGCCACGGCCCACACCCTGTTCACGGGTGAAGATGGGGATAGTCTGGTTCTTCATGGACGCAAAGGATGCCTGAGCACCTAGACCATAAAAGTCCTCCGAGGCATCGGAACTGAAGGTTACATATAGCTTTTTCATTGGAGAGGTGCGCTTGTGACCAGGCTCGACATTGATGTTGAAAGCCACACGATCCGGAAGGGCCTTGGGCACCCAGAAGCTCATGGTATACCCGATAGATTGATCCCCACATTGTTGCAGGTATCCTTGGATGGAGACATCCTCACCATTAATACTATCGTCACGCGGAGAGTGAGTGATTCCAGTGACATTTTGACCCTGGCAACGATTTAGATCAACGTTGGTATAGTTGAAATTGCCATTCGCACCGACCCATTGCTCTTTTCCAGCACTTGCACTGAGGAAGTTCTGGCCAGGGACGGTAGCGAGCAGGGTCTTATTGGCCTGCACAATTGACAGTTGCTGGGAACCCGACTGCCAATTGACTTCAATACCCTGTCCCAGAGTCCACGACGATCGCGACTCGCCCAAAGCGGCCGACGCAAAGACGCTGAAAGCACCCAGATATGAAGAATAGGGCGGCATTGCTGCAATATGGCCGAGAGACTATGAAATTCAGCCCAGAGGGACAGAGTTTTCAGCGGGACACATGCTGGATTTATGTCTTCCACGCCCTAACATTGAAGCTATCATGGCAGAATAAAATGCCGCAGTAAGTGGAGCGTTGCGACTGCCGTTCAGCACCGTCATCCACGATGCAGCGTAGTGTTTCTTGGCTTCAGGTAGTCAGTACCGTTCCAAAACCTCCACCCCGTTTTTCTCTTATAAGCGATCTGGTTCAAAATACCACTATGTGGAACCAGTCGGCAAATTCTTCCGAATCATCGGGATCAAGACAAGCAAACGCCAGACGGTGCCCAGCCGGGGTGTGGGCTTTTCTCCACAATTCCCAGCCCATAACCTGGAGGCTCTCCGCTCTTTCGTCGCTGGGGTTTGTTGACCAGCGTGAAAATTCTGTACACGAGTCATAACCAGACCGAAAGGGGAATGATCGACGTCTTTTTTCCTGCATGGGAAATCTCTACGCTTTGGCTAAATCAACTGCAATCAACCTCATTCTCTCCGGATAATCGCATCTACCACGTGACGTCATAGACAATACTGCAATGACCCACCGATATAGTGAGAATTGTTGTTTCAGGGCTTGAACTAGTCACCTGTCAGAGCTACAAATCCCCAGAAACAATATAGAGATAGAGATAGAACCGTTGATTTAGCTATAGTAGCTCTGTAGATCTGGATTTATAGAAAAGATATGACTCAAGTAGAAGTGAAGAAAGAACCTAGAGAATTGAAAATAAGATTCACTATATAATACAACGGAGGAAAACAGAATCGGCTCCATAGGCGGGTAGGTGGGTTCTACCAAAGCCTATAATCACAATTAATTCAGCATGTCCGCATCCTCAATCTCAAGCATATCACTGTCGGAGTCGGTCTCGACATCAGGGTAGACACCCTTCTGTTGCAGGTACTTGACAGCCGAGTGACAGGCCTCGGCGCGCACCTCACGGGAGGACTTGCCATTCTCAGGGCGAACGGCGATAGTTCCCGTGGAGAAAACTGGACTGGCCTTGACGAGCATGCCATTGTAGGGGGCCAGAATGGTCTTTAACCAGTCCTCCGCATCGACCTGTGTTTTTCGGCCCGTCAGTAACACTGGCTATAAGCTATTGAGGGTTGTGTGCAGGGATTATGCAGGGCTGCAGGCAGGAACAAAACACATACCTGTCCCTTCAGCGATTGGGGAATATAAGCAATGGCACAAATGGTCCCATTGTCACAAGAGAAGATCATCTTGCCGAGCTGCCCAGAACCACCCGTGCGCTCCTCCTTACTCTCATCTGGCTCAGCGTTCATAGCCTCAAGAGACTTGGCTAAAAGATCAAGATCGCCCTCGGGCTCATCAACAGTGGCGCTAGATAGTAGTATAAAAGTGTCAGCAAAGAACGAGCTCCAGATATATACACTAAATATCTTGTGTATCGGATATCCTGGCAATAGACACTAAGCAGAATAGCTCTCTCACGGACAAAGTACTTACCAAGCGTATTGCATACCACCGATGGTTGAAACGCCGTCGAGCTCCACGATGACCGCCTTCTCGGAGGACTTTCTCAAGTTTTGTTGTGTCAACCATTGTCTAAGTACGAATGTCAGGTGAAATGATTTACTTTCGCAATTGAATCTATATTATACGTTACCCAAGACGACGTAGATAGAAGGGAGCAGAGGAAGAGCAGTTACAAGCCAGGTGGAAAGTTCAAAGAAGAGAGATACAAATCTTTGTCCATGTCTAAGTGATAAGCCCCTATTTATCAAGCGTCGGCTCTCAGCAAGAAATCTAATAATAGACATTCAGCTACTGCTGTATGCCGATCCCAAAATCGCCACGTAGACGTGCGCAATGGTTCTACGCCGTATGGAACTGCAACATGTCCTAGCCTCATCACAGGAATCTTATTGATGAATCTTGACTGCCACGTAGGTAGTAGAAAGTTTAAGGCCCATATACTCAAGCGAATGGAATTGTTGGACCAGCCACCTCACGTTAAGCTAAAATAAGTGAAAAAAATACACGATGGAATGGGACTACTCAATATTCGCCTCTCTTCCAAGAAGGTTTAATATCTCCCGTTCAGGTAGAAATTCATTGAAATACCTAGATGAGACAAAGGTGCAGTCATTTGAGTTTCCCAAATTTGAATTACCAAGTTGAAAAAGAGCTAAAAGGGGCAGAATCTGATTCAGAACAGCGGGCTTAAGGGGAGGGCTAAATAGATAGATAAGAGAAGTTAACACGAGTTATCTAGTATGCTGAGCCGTACCATATGGCCCATGGTCGTCCTTCGAGAGCGTGAGATCGTCGTGAAGAAGCCAGTGCGGGGCAATTTCGGCTCATCTTTTTCACTATCGAAATCTTCCATGTCCTAATTCCTGAAAGTTTGTTCGCTACTACTGACTGTTGACTGTAGATATATATAACTCACACTATATATTCCACAACTTAGGGCAAAAAAGTACATACGACCACAGGGTGTGGAGAACAGGGCTTCCCGTCCGCTCAGCCGTACTTAAGCCACACGCCGGGAGGTTAGTAGTTGGGTGGGTGACCACCAGCGAATCCCTCCTGTTGTATGTTTTGGGTATCTTATTTTTTTTATGTCTAGGTAGAATAATGTTATTCCCGAGAACTTTCAAGCAAGTCAAACAATGGCGTGTGAGCAAACCCTCGAATGTAAAATTGGTGGTCCCATCAGGCATGCAAGTCCAGAGCACTTGTCATTGATAAATCGAATTGATTGTCTAGAGGGTAAGATTTGATCTACACAGTATATAATAATATGAATAGTAAAATATTCAGTAGTATGTAGTTCAAGTATAATATATTTAAGCAATGCTCAAGCTCTGGTCCTCCCACATAAAAGGAGACGGGCGCTCTCAATTTGGACCTGGCTTGGCTTCACGAGGGAGACGCTATGTAAATTGGACACGGATCCGGCTGTGCTGAGCAGTGGTCAAATGCGTTGGATTGGAAGACTAAGATTACTATAATATCGCGTCTTTTGGTAGTCAATGAACTGCTCCGAAAAGCAAATTCGACTATATCTTTGGTGACATATGAGAGTAGGACCCGTTTAAGATTCCTTTGTCGCCTATTACGGGCTCACACACTGGTAGTGGAGCAGCTATATGGTACGGATCAGGTTTAAGTTCTCTCAGATGGGCATCTTCGTCAGGAAGAGCCATGCAGGGGGAATGTTTATTAAAGAATGGGATCTGACGCCGTGGAAGCTGACGGGGTCGAATGGATTCTCAGAGTTGGTGATAGAAGACAAAGCCGCCATGACCTCCGAGGCGAATGAGATGAACGATCTCAGGTGGGCAGCAGGGGGTTCTGCTGTCTATACATATTATTTGTGCTAAGTTGGGTGGACGAACGCTGTGATATTTGTCTACTTCGTGACTATGGATATCTTCTCTAGCGCTTACAGCCCTATGTGGATTCTTAGTTGTGCTACTCCCGATATCACTGACATAGATTTTCTACTAGAAATTTAGCTTGAGCAAAAGGCTCACCATAGCGGAGGCCAAAGGGCACTCTATGTCACGGTGTATTTTGTCCTCGCCATTTGCAACACTGTCGGAAATGGTGGGTAAGTTTAGTGAGGTGCTCTGCCTGGTAATGAATCATGGCTTAATCCTAATTAAATTATAGGGCTATCCTCATTTTAATCTCACTATCCACAGCGCGCCGACTTCATGATGTCGCACTGAAGACTGTCATGATGTACATTCAGTTCTTTTTTCTCGCGTCAATACTAAACCGATTTAGCCAGGATAGGACCCTGATAGAAAGCGGTTTGCCTGTTGGCATATTGATCACGGTTTCCAGTAAGACCACTACCACTCCACTCAATGGGAGTATGGCATTAGCACATTATTAACTAGAAGATGATGTATATAATATGCGACAAAAGATTGTTGGTGATTTCCCTGGGATATAGAGGATTAGTAAGCACATAGGACACGATGTCAAGACTCAAGCACCGCAAAGCTTCAAGGAAACCCATCTTCAGTCAAACCACCAGACGATCGCTGATTACCTAAGTTGATATTTACTACGGCCATGCACAATGGAGAATAGCAGTATAGATGAAATTCAGTCTCGCAAACGCACTGCCGTGGCATGCGACTCGTGCTTCCATAAAAAGGTGACTATGGTTTGGGCAGTCTCGCATCCGAAGTCTGACGCTTCTTAGATCAAATGCCACCGAGAAAGGTACCCATGCGAATGGTGCTCAGAACGTAGCATACCATGCACATTCGATCGAGGCCATCGCTTGACTCGAAAGCCTCTCCCGGCCGAGCTGACGTAGGATATCTCTTAGGTGAAATATAAGATTATCCAATCATTAACTTCTCTGACAGGTCGGTATTCACATTGGGTGAGAGTAGTCCCCATAATCACACTGACACTTGGAGTGCACCCGCCCAATGCAAAGATACAGTGAGCCAATGCACTTCACTCCAGCAACTACGAATCTAACGGAGGGCAGACAGATACCATGGCGACAGCTCCAGTGGCCTTGCCACAGCAAGGAGTGGCATCTCGAGAGTTTTACTTTGCGGGCCATGTTCCCAGTCATCTTCGTGCTTTCAATGGAGACTCGTTCTTTTCTTTGGAGAGTCAGCGATGGATGGCATCGTGCACGGGCGAAAGGATCAATTTTGATCGATTCTGCTCACTCGGTCTGCCTTGGCAACGCCCACAACACTACGGCTTTGAGGCTACTGAACAGTTCTTCAAGCGCCACTGTCACCCCGACCTTCCTGACCGGAATGTACTCTTCTCTTTTGTTACTCACTATAGGTCATCCTTTGCAAACCGTTGGTTTCCTTTCATCCACCCTACTCTTTTTGAGTATACGGTAAAGGCTGCATACGATCATCAGCAGTCAATTTATTCGCCTCATATCCCAAGTGCCACAGCCTGTGTCTTTGCCTTCATGGCATTTATGAGCTCATCTTCAAGCATGACGAAACCGCCCATGAATATCGACGGTCAGAAGTATGGTCATGAAGCACAATATCTTCTCTCGAAGATCTTTGATAGTACAGCCACCTTGGATGGAATACAAACGCTCCTCATGATTGTAAGTAATCCCCACGCAGCTACTTTCTCGCTCTATCTTCAATCACGATTTCATGCGCTCTATGTATAGCGATCTTTACGATGGTACCTCTAAGCCCTCAGTTTGCTAAAACTGTCCAGACTCTCGACCGTTCTCTGCGATTCGGCGATACCTCCTTCATTGAAGTGTTGTTCTCTGCTGCTACACGTTTCATCTTCACTTTGCGAGGAAACCAGTACAAACACATTTTACAAGATATGAATGTGTTCAACGTACACTGTAGATTTCTATTCTGGCTGGCCTATGTGTTCGATAAGGAGATGTCTACACGGACGACTCGCCCTCCATCGATATGCGATGATTACTGTGATTTGACGTTTCCGAGTAAGGAGGAGATCGCCATAGAATTCGACCTTCCCATTTCCCAAACCGAAGGAGACACTCTACTCCTTCTGTTTCCTACCGACCTCGGCCTCAGCCTTAACCAATCAAGAATATATACAAGCCTTTATTCACCTAGAGCGCTACAAATGTCAGATGCAGAGCTGTTGAAAGCCATCCGAGAGCTTGATGATGCTATGGATGAATGGTATAACCGCCTGCAACTGCAACACACATTTGACCGGCTTCTCTCTGGAGGGATAGCTTCACATGAGGAGGTAGCCCATCGCTTTACGTTTATCCGTTTGCAGCGTTATTGTTGTATTGCTGCTATTCATCAAATGAGCACCGGATGCGCAGCATGGATGGAAGACCAAAGTTGGCGACTGGTAGGGATAAACCTGAGCCTGGAGGTTGCCATGAATGCTAGCCGTTCTCTTCTACGGGAGTTTCTCGAGGTTCTTGATTGGGCCCAGAGGGATTCATTCTGGTATGTTATGCCTAACCTTGTGCATTGCTATTTCTGTCTAATGGTTGTTGAAATTCAGGGTTTTCTACATCCTATCCCCTGTGATGACAGTCTTCTGTAGCATACTTAGGAGTCCCGAAGGGCCAAAAGCTAACGACGATCTCGCTCTCCTCGAAACAGTTGCAGAGCGTTTTCGTGTATTAGCGGACACTCAAGAATTTCTAGGTTCATTTCAAGATGGGAAGTTATTGAAGGACTTTATATCTGAGTTGCAGCGTCTTGCGAAATGTGCCATATTATACCGAGGGAGCTATGCGCTTGCCTAGCTGAAGCGAAATACTCGATGTTTGATCACGGCACGGTGCTAAATCAGGTACATCAAACGTATCCATGTCACCTCATATATTGCAAAGATTACATTTAATCTAATAATCTATACTTGGGATCCAAAAGATTCAAAAACAAATTATCATGCCTCATTAAAATCACTCTTCATCTGGTGCTCCCATGTGACCAGCCCCTGCAGCGGTTCTCTTGCAGGAATATAATCTAGCACACACCCCTTCCGCATAGCTCGCACCGCAACGAAGTTGAACAGGAACCACCGGATAATTTCACATGGCATGATGTAACGAGCCATGATGTAATAGAAAGCATTGGCCCAGGCGTGCATACGTGATATGGACAACGATTCTTTAGCATCGTCCCGCAAGGGGGCTTCCCTCGACTTTTGGTATTCCTCAAAGACATTGTGCAGATGAGCAACATCAATCGGACAACTAGAATTTGACCTCAGCATACCGTGAAGCTTGTTGCACAGCACCACAACATCCTGAATTCCGTTATTTAGCCCACGGCCAGCGTTGGGGGTGTACTTGTGACATGCGTCGCCTGCGAGAGCAATTCGTCCCCAGCTCCAGTACTTCAGAATTCCCTCTTCCAGATTGGCCATTCCTGCCGTCAGTCGCTTCGCATAGACATCCTTTACCTTCAACGTTCCCGAAATGGGATACTCGGCGAACTCCTGCGCAAAGCTTTCTATGTCCTGATCGGTGTAATCAACACGCTCGCTCGTCGGTACAGGTAGCTTCTCGTACAGGAAGATCCAGCCTCGCTCTTGACCAGTGATGAACATAACAGAGCGGTCCTTGGACTGTGTTTCGCAAAATTGGCCCATTTCTGCTGGTCGTGGAAAGCTACACCACATGCATCTGTATTTTGCCGGAAAGGGTTTCTCCTCGTCCCAGTCACGCTGGGGGTTCTCCGCTATAGCCAAACTTCGCATCAACCGACGGGTTTTGCTATGCGTACCATCTGCTCCCAGGATCATCGATCCATGGTATGTACTGCCGTCGGCACAGATGACGTTGACGCCTTTCTCGTCCGATTCGATTCCGGTGAGCTTCTTATTTAGAAAATACCGCTCTTTTGCTTTGGCCGGAAGTCTATTGTAGAGGATTTCTACGAGCTTGGCCCGGTGAAATGCTACAGGTGCTGATCCATGGCTAATCCACATTCACGTTAGTATGAAGAGATCAAAGCCAGAGAGATCTTGAACTACTTCTTTTTTATTATCGAGAAAGTATCTGAATGGCAGAATCGATATCCTTCTCGAGTAAAAGACTGGTGGCACTGCAGCTCACATCCAACCTTCATCAGCTCGTCCAGCAGACCGAATTGGTGCATTACTCGTAGACTATGTGCTGCAAGGACCAAACTGGCACTCTGGTCAAGGACAACGGACTCCCTTTGCTCCAAGACGACAAAGTCTATGCCGGCGTGATAAAGGGCGTGGGCGGCAGTAAAGCCAACCGGGCCGCCACCAACAATAATAACCTTAAAAGATGACGATTCCATGAGTTGTTAAAAGTGAATTAAAGATTGGATTAAAAAGAATGAGCAATGAGATGGTCCATAGAATGAAGTACCTGGGAGCTACATGTTACATGGCCACACTTATATATCCGATTCAACCTGTGCCACGCGGCATTCGGAACATTCCACACTCCCTTTAGATATACTCAGTGACTAGGTGTAAAACGTACGAGTTCGGATCCAAGCAGGATGCGCCATCTCCTGAAGGATCCCGTCCTGCTCTAGCCAGATTGAGCATTCCAACCGCTTAGTCATTAGGGCTAGTAGACGGGCTAACTGATAATGGTTAGCATCCCGCTTTGTAATTGTTGCACTAGCCAGATCGGGAGGGACTGTTAATTTACTAACTTTACCTAAAAGAAAGCAGATCCGTGCACTCGATATTGATCTCTTTGCTAGTATCGGTCTTGCCTCCGCAATGGTATATCCTTATAACTCTCCCGCATTCAACTGATGCTAATAGACTACCTGACTAATCCGGTGGATGTTCACAGCATTGTCTGTATGTTTACCTGTATTTTAGTGCTGAACGCAGGGAGCATCTGGGTAAACAAGGCTGAACGAGATAAAAGTTAGAAAGATATAACAAAAAACATACAACAGGAGGGATTCGCTGGTGGTCACCCACCCAACTACTAATATCCCGGAGTGTAGCTTCTGAGCGGTCAATAGGTTGCTGCGTACCCCTACAGGGTGAGTATAGATAATGATATCAAGTCGTCGCGCGCTTAGCGTAGGTATATTTTAAAAGGGAGTAATAACTTACCACATCCACCATCTAGCGGTGATAGACCAGAACATACAGTCGTACCCCGTCTACGTCTATCTAGGCCATCAGTACTGCCAGTTCTCTGATTAGTGCATAGCCCGGTTTGGTCAGACGTCCAGCCTCTTAGTAGCTGTACTTCGCCACCTTTCCCACCAGTTAGCAAAAGCTAAATAATTGAGATTCGGACGTGACAAGATAAACATATCACAGTCTCCTAGGTTAATATCATCCAGTTCCGTCCGGGTCTTGGGCGAGTCTCAGAGATATCCTTGTGCAGGCCGTCTCGACAATCTCATATAAGCAGTATGGAGGAAATAACGTAGCCGGTAAGCGACCCGCACCTCAACCGCCATAAACAAAATTTAAATAGTCAGAAAATCATCAATTTTGGTTCCTATATAAAACTGAATGGTTCTACCGATTCAGGCAGTGTGCAATTTTATGGGCCTGTGTACCATAGCCAGAATAGTTAGATGGGGCGCGCCTGGGAGCTGATTTAATAAGTAAAACCCTATCTCCCTGTATAGCTTAATCTGCCTGATTTCTGCGCTCTATAAGAATTCAGCTTCAGATACTAACGTGCCTCGTTCAAAATTAATCTGTATAGTAAAATACCTTTGCTTTTTAGCCTGGTTTTCATGTACAGCCTAATGTTGCTGAAGTTAATACTTCAATATCGTTATATTATATAAATGTTACGCCCGGGGCTTCGACGTCAAGTCCTAGACCAGTTAGTTGACCAGGCATCAAAGGTTACCAACCTGAAGTCGTTCTTTGATTTCCGTTGTTAAAGGGTTGTGGCCTGGGCAGGACGGGAGTCGATACAGGGCTTCTGTCAACACAAGACTGCCGTCGATACTGGACTCGAGTCAAAGGGCCAGACCTATTGAGTACGTATATCCAATAGTTAGAAGTACGAACGAGTTGAAACTAGTCTTGCTACCAAAGGTAACTCTGTAGTAACAAGATGGATTGATCATGAAGAGTAAACTAAGTACATGAATGAGTGTCCTTATATATCCCGAGCCATCCTGCCTTGTAGTTCCTTTGGTATATCGTTGGTAGCGTTCTGGTGTACCATAAATGCTCTAAGTCGTCTAATGGTTTTTACTACGATACTGTGGTTGACCTGAACAAGTATGTGGGAAATAAAGACGGCGTTCTTATAAGAGGGTATGCGCTCTATAGCTTATTTTGAATCTAAAATTTATATACTATAGCGAAAACGTTCTGGGAAATATAGAGTGTAGTATATATCTGTCAATAGAAACGCAGATTAGATGCATGTGTTATGGAAGAAAGGGGGTGTTGGCTCTATCTTTAGTTTTGAACTTGGGTATAGTGTATAACATGTCAGCTAGTCGAGTATCTACTAACTATAGTAGGCGATTTTATTAGCAACCAAGGAGGAACGATAACCTGTGATCAAGAGGTCCAGGTAGCACCACGATAAAACCAGTGATGAGACTAATCTTGTCATTTGTTTGGCCATGGTATCGTAGTACGGACGTATAGAGAAATAAATCTGGCACCGGGAACTACGATAATCCTGTTTAATATTTACATACTCCGTCACTGTGTGGGCTTGCTTCAGGCCGTCGTTTCCCATATATTGGATCTTACTTTGTATCTAGCTGAGGTTAGGTAGGGCTAACCTGTTATATTTGGCATATAAGTGTATATCTCTTAGCACATTATACATGCGGTCGCCTTAAGATCTTTTGAATGAATCGTTAGCTATATATTCTTACTCTTGGGCTGCAGAGGGTCTAGTTTCCACTGTTACCATTTAGATTGTCCAACGGAAATATACTATACCTCAGCACATCTTTCAAAATCGGCCCGATAGTTTATTACTTCATCAAGGTCCTCATAGGTAACGCAATACTGGCGTATAATGGAAAGCATTGAAATGCTGCAAAAGAACAATGCATGGCTGTAATTAAGATCTATAAGCATCTATTGAGCATTATAGACCTGGTTACATACAGGATTTTCGAAAACGCAACAACCACAAGTAATAGCACTTCTAAGTCAAGCCAAGGCATGTCATACCTTCCCTGAGCTTCACCAATCCGCTGGGAATACCGAACATCCTACGCGACGTGTGTTCCTGCCTGCCCGAATATACAGCTTTCCCTTCACCTTCGTTGTCCCGGAGCGACTTCCTTCTGCCACATATAACCACGCCAGATGCAATATCCACGTCGGCCGAGCTCATACTTTGCTTCCCCCGAGCCTAGGTGGCCCAATTCTCGCCAGCAATGGCCGGTGAAGAAATCAAAATAATATCATATAGTTCGGTGGTCAATATCTACCATACATTTGCCTCTTATTCTTTTACAATGGTAACTTTACAACAAACAATGATCAGCATCTCTCACTACCGCGCGCGATACTTCCCCGACCACATACTTCATAGAAGTACGAACTCAATCAGGTAGTATAGGCTGCCAAGAGACCCTGAACAATACCTTCTGCCTCCCAATCATTCTCCGATAAGCGGTCATCTTGGTCCTCTTCCTCTTCCTTTTCTTCCTCTCTTTCAATCTTGGGTGATGGGGGCGGTAAGACAACAGAGCTCGCAGCTTTTGACTCTGGGGTATGGGCTTGGGGCATATCATTCATCTCGTCTATTGCCACCTTCAATTTTGGCCTTTTACCTGGTGGCGGACAAGGCAGAGATCGGTCCTGCTTGTCAAAGTTCCAATCAGGAAAAAATCTCGAAGGAGATGGTAAAGGTGAAGCCTCTGAGCTCGTAATAACGGTCAAAGCTCTGGCCTTCGGCGTCTCCAAACCATGGATGATTGGACCATACTCGCCGAAATGTATCCATTCTAATCTTGCCTTGTAAAATGGATACTGTGTGGTGTGACCTATGAGCTTATTCATGTCCAATGCAAAGCGCTCCTTGAACGTCAGGGCCTGTAACTGCTCACAGATACTAGAAGGCGTAGAAGATTTCCATGCGTCCAGTTGGGATTTAACCTCCTTCGGGGAAAGGTTGATCGTGTGATGGCGGTGGTTAATTAGGATATCGTTGTCCTGAATCGAAGCTTGTGGCGTGAATATATGCATGGTTAAACTCTCTGATGCAGGCTCTGCTGGCTCGGAAATGGTTTCAGTCTGGGTGCATTTATTTTGCCTTTGATAGGTAGAGAAGTGTTTCCTGTGACATTATTGTCAGTACTTGGGTGAATTAGGTAAGTCAATAGAGGAGCTGTACAGCAACTTTCCGCCTGGGTCGGGTATTGGGTCAAATATAGAACGTTTTCCGGCTTTCGGATTCGATGTTGATTTGTGTACATTAGTCTCCAACATTGCCTCTGAGCGTTTACAATGCGCAGTCGTCGCGCGGGCATCTGGCAGCTGGCATGTATCTAATTCAGACGGAGCAACTCTCGTCGGTAGGCTGTCTTTTTGTGGGTCGGTCTCAAGAGTCTGCGTTTTGCGAATGGCCACGATCGATGTCTTAAGCCATGTTAGATCTTCTTGAGAGTATGGAATGATCATTGTATTGTGTTGGGGTTGCCAGTTGGGTCTCCTTAGGTGTTAGTAACGAGTTTCCCTTATGAGTGAGAAATGCCCTCTACCTTTGCATTGCCTTGCCCAAATAGGCCAGCATAGCAACCTGAAACATTAGCGTCAACGTCCCCCTGGCGTCCTTCAGCTCGTCGCGCATTGTATCTATCTCTGGCTGCAAAAATGGCCACTTTAGTCTCTCCACTCGGGTGAGCTTGACGCGAACGATCTTTCCCGATCCATTGCTCAGCTGTCTACTTGCGTTCTGTAACCGTTCGTTCAGACCGCTAAATATATCCTTGCATTTAGTGGCTATCTTCATAGTTGTCTCCAATCCCGAAGTATTGAAGACACCCTGCTTTGCTTCCGTAGACTTAGCACCCTCTCCTGCGACCATCGAATGCTGCTCTTGGTCTCCTTCATTCTCCCAGCGGTCGGGCAGTTCACCACCATCAATGCTTTGCTTGATCAACTCACCCACCTGCTGTAGAATGCTTGTGTTTAAGGAGACATCTTCTGCAATGCGGGTAATTCGCTCGGATGCTGTCTTGACCTGCGCTGCAAATGAAATCAACCTAACGGAGCATTGGGCTCCAACTGTCGCGATCGAGAGGATGGCAGATGCGGCGCCGAGGGCTTCCATGTCCAAAATTTGTGATGATGTTTATCTTCACTACAGTCAGCTCAGCTCAAGCCGCAAAGGTTGAAAGTCGTTAAATGAGGGGGTGCAGGTGGTTTTCATATATGTACCCAGCCAACCCCACTTAAGCCATCTTGGCAATGCAGTAAGCGCCGACCCTAGTTGTCCTGCTTCTATCGCACTCTTGGCATAGTACATCTTCTCGTCAACCTGATTGGGCTTGACATTCAATTCCTCTATTGGGGGCAGCAACCAACAGACCTTTAGGCAGAAACACGTGATTATCGAATGTTTTTATAAGGTTTTAAACCTCATGTGTATCCATGGAGCGGGGTGAGAAGACTTGGGTCAACTTATACCTTTGAAAATGCCCAGGTCCGATCCGACAAGATTTGTGGGCTGGAATACCCAGACGACCCATGTATGCGATCGATGCTGGCAAAATTTCTTTGACACCGGGGCTTATGAGCAATGCTGTACTTGGACTCATTCTAATTACGACTACAAGGAAATAGGGATTGAAACCACTGCTACAATCAGTCAGATCAAAAGCACTCTCTGTAACTGGTGTGCTTATGTTACGAGTTTTATTTCCGACGCCTGGATGCCAGAAGATCGGATTACCACATATTTTGCGCCAACAGTAATACCGTCAGGCACACCCACAGGGAACAACGTATTTTACCTAAGCATCTCATGCCATTCTCCAACGGGGAAGTGGAGAGGAGGTGCTGCTCTGCTTCTCCATGCTTGTACAACAGCAGATGATCCGGCTTCAGACTATGTGACTGCAAGGCCATTAAGGACCGACATTAATAGTGGCGCAGCAAGGATGCAAATTAGGACATGGCTGAGAGAGTGTAAAGGGCACAGGTGCTGTAGCACTTCACATCAGGAATATATCTTACCCACAAGAGTTATCGAAGTCAATCCACCAGGACGGCAATATGCGCGAGTCTTAGAATCTAACAATCTACGTGGGCTCTATGCCACGCTGTCCTACTGTTGGGGAAAAGAAGCTTTTCTGACTTTGAATACTTCGAATTATGTTCAACTGGCTCAATATCTGGATGAAGAAACCCTACCTTCCACCGTCCGCGATGCAATAGCAATTACTCGCACCTTGTCTATCCCATACTTGTGGGTTGACGCGCTCTGTATAATCCAGGATTCTGAAGAGGACAAAGCCAGAGAAATTACAAGGATGAAAGATATATATGCTTCTTCAACCCTGACGATAGTCGCTGCCGCTGCGGAGAGCGCCTCTAAAGGATTTCTCGACCCTCGGGCAAACCAGGAGATTCTTCACACTATCCCCTTCCGGATCAAACCCAACATTTTTGGCCGTATGTCTATCAATAAACTCGATGCCGCATGCTATGATGAGCGACTTGAGCCCATTGCAAAAAGAGCTTGGACTATGCAAGAGCAGTTATTGAGCAATCGCACGCTCACATTTACAACACGGACTATGATGTGGACATGCCATGAGGGCATAAAGAACTTTGCCAATTCCTTGTATTTTCCGCATGACCTTGATGCAGGTTATAATGCGAATGATGAAAAGTACAGCCTTAATCTGCACTCTTTACTTCTTGATCCAGAAGAGGCTTGTGCTGATAAGGAAAAATCTCTAAGTTGCTGGATGCGCCTCGTCACAGCATACTCAATTAGGATTACAAGCTTTGAGCGTGACAAATTAAATGCTCTGGCCGGCATCGCCTCTCATCCTTCATTCACTTATGCTCTTGGGCCTGGTTACTTTGCTGGACTCTGGCAATACAATCTCGCGAGACAACTCACATGGCAAACGTCAAGTTGGCACAGAACGCTAGCCGAGGATGAGAGTTTCACTTTTAGCAGGTCTGTGGCGTACCAGGCTCCTTCATGGTCATGGGATAGTCTTAATGGTAGACGAAAGTTCAAGTTCATATCTGACCGAATTGAAAGGACTTTAACCCCATTTGCCCGGATTTATTCCGCTTTTGATGCCGCCGGGGTTCTGTCCAGATCTCACTGGCGTCGGCGTCATAACATGTCGATTCAGTAGACGAACGAGCCCAGGTATGTCTGGGTAAGCTGTGGAGACAATCAGTTCTGCGAACTGTTAGCAGCCCTGCGATAGCATATCTAACTACACAGAGTTCACGTTCGTACTACCTTTTCTTCTTGTTCGTCCTTTGCCCGAGAAGGTAACGTTGTGGGGAACAGGTGGTCAATTGGTCGACTGAGAAGTTAGAGAGACTGACGAGGGATTAATGTATGCTGCGATCAGATATGCCTACCACAGTTGTGGTGTAGCCGGGAAGAGTAGTCAATGCGACCTGACAAGGTCAACGTTCAACATTATCACGAGAGTATTCTCCTGAGTAATCCAGCTTGCTTTACATGACCGACGTTTATGTTGTCGATTCTATCCGATTGCCAGCATTGCCAGCACCAAAGAACTGTACGCCACGGCAGGGGTGTTGGCGATACCCCATGAGATGTAGCATATTCCGAAAAAGCACGCTTGTCGTGGGTACTGTATCAGTACCACTACAATTGAGTTCACGGGAGTATTATTCTTCAGTCGCTTCGATTGGAGGATTACCGGTGGTTATAATCGCTAAATACCTGACAACTGGACGGTGTATAAGGAACCGTCGTTTGACCAATGCAGCAACAGATGCCTCAGCCTAGGTCGCCTCTGACAGAAAATGTTAGTTTGTGCGTTACTCAAGGTCGCATGCGCCCTACTGGGCTGAATGCAAAACATCTTTACGAAGTCATCGGAACCTGGCCCACTAGAGGAGAATCTCACATATGTGTGTTTCACTCCTCGGAAAGTAGACTTCAACCAGAAGTGGGCTGGTGCAAGCGGCTGCAAAGAAATGACACCATCTTGATGGCTAGCTGCATAAAGAGGCATGGTAGTACACTGGACTTACTTTATAACACAATAAGACGCAGTCGAGGTAGCTGACGGCATGGATGAAGTAGAAGTATCTGCTGTTTGACTTTCCGAACAAAGTGCAGACTTGGGCGAAGTACAGATTTCAAACTTGTGTAAGTTTTAAGACATGAGGATAGCTATTTACCTCGATAGTATCACTGTATCAGAAGATGTTTCTGAGCTTTGAGTCGCTTTCTGGCTGTGTGATGTATGCGAGACCGGTGGGCTCTGTTGTTCCTCGGTAGCTTGTTGAGGCGGAGTGAACTCAGTCTCGTTACTGGCGATTGTCATGCTGGGCACTGTATCGACTGTGCGCGACTCAATCGTTGCTGGCACAGACTCAGCGCTTATCGTCGATGATGAAGAGCGGCCAAATGATAAATGGAATTCGTTGCGATTGTAGGGACGATTCCGTCAGACCTGATTCGTTGTCAGATAATCTCCTCAACGTAGAAGCCTGCCATCCCTACAAGGAGTGAGTACTCTGCCCAAGTGAGCTTCACAGCCCTTCATGAGTGTGTAGACCATGTGTAAGCCTCTGTCAGTTCATTATTCAGTATCGTATGCCCACTTGTGTGTACCCTGAGGCACCAGCAAGGACATTGCACGCATTAATGGATAGCTTTTGTATTGAATCCGACTTCTGCTGGCTTTCAGAGGCAGCGGAACCTGTACGGACAGCCAAACAGATACACAAAAGAGAAAAGAATCTTGGTTGCCGGGAGCAGCCAACAATGAGTGACAAGCGCCATCTTCCAATGAATCTCCGAGGATGCTGATTCAAAGGACAAAGAAGACTAAAAGCGACATCGGCAATACTGTAGGACCCGAAGCAGATTCATGTATTTGTATCAGGACAAGACACCTCATCATTCTTTATTTTCTCTGGTTTTGAGTGCAATGCGAATAATGGATTTACGCAGCATGTCCAAAACAGATGGGGTTCACCGGGTAACAAGGAACGTCCTGGTTGTGCTCAACAAAGGTTTGTTGGTTGAAGGACATTGTTTAGAGAACTCCTTGCGCGTCAACCTGTTTCGCTTCGGTCATTTGCAGAGTTACACAAGATCTACTGGTCTTTCCGACCTCAATAAGGCTGTATAAAAAAGATGCGACATTATAGCTCCGAGAGGTGTTTCTCCACCAATTGCCAAGGTATATTCGTACATAGGACCGTCTTGCAGAGTTTGCTTGACGTATCCGTAATCGTAGTAGTCCAACAGACGGCAAGTGCTGGATATCTCTTTCGCAGGAGCAACAAGATCCCCAATTTTGTGTGGATCGTCTCAGAGTCTTTCTGTATGAACCGCGTCAATGGCCGTTGTACCTACCCAGTTGCAGAAGAAAATAGATGAAGTCCCTATGTTCGACACGCGTGCACAATTGTTCAATGGCACGGCACAGGTAATGTCACTCACATCGCTGAGATGCTGTATGTTCTACGAGCAAAATCGGTCCGTTGGTCTAGTGCCAAGTCAGATCAGAAAACGATCTCGGCCCGACAGAGCTCTCCCAGGTCCTGCTCATATCATGCCTCGCTTAAGTACCCTCGTCGTGGAAGCACTTGCACTGGCGGGAAACGTTGGGACGTTCAAACCCTTTTTTTCGTGTACAGTAAGCTTGATCCGACATGATACACATCTGTGGCATTGTACTGTGCCATTCCGCCAACTGTAGGATCATATATGACCGAAGCACCTGTGCGGGCATTCTTACCAGCATCTAATCAGCTTCTACCTTGAGCAATCGCCTAGATGCATGGATCGCATATGTCCATCCCAAGAAGAACAATAGTAGACTTCATTCCTCATTAAGGCTTTGACCAACGGCAAATAGGCACAACTCCAGATCCAAAGACACCTGGTTGGATCTCTGGATCTCTAAGCCTAAATTTCCTCGTCCAGCTGAAATATATAGATGATAATAAGATTACGACCGTAGGACAGGCAGGCAGTGCTGTGGTGTTGAACTCTTATGTTCTAGCTAAGGTTTGCAGAGCCTGATAGTTCAACCTGCACACTTAACCAACCTATTCTATGCTTCGGCTTTTGAACTCAAGCGCCAAGCAAGAATATGAGGACAAGATTCTTAATGAGGGGTACGTTATCTATAAGGCACAGATATATTCCGATGAGAGGGTTTTCAGGACGAGCGTATCATCCTTACTGTAGTCATTTTTGATAGATATACAGAGCAAGCGAAGTCGAATATATCTGAGAGCCCGTCCAATTCTACCTCCCGAGTATAGCCCACTGACCCAGCGTTAAAGAATTCTGAACGCAACACAGCTGTCGCAACATTTGGATCCAAGAGTGCGCTTAAGATTTCAACAGTGAATAGATATCTACTCACCAATAAGTACGAGAATATGCTGCACAGATTCGACAAAAACTGTCTTTATTTTAGGGCAGTGTCGGAGGCGAATACCATGGGTCCTTATGAATCATAGTGGCGGCCGCTTTACTGCACACCTCTCTCAGAAAGCGTCGTTTTAGGGCCAGCAGGTGGAAAGAGACACGCCACAAATATCTACATATGAAAGTCTTGTTTTGCCGGACGAGCGTCGTGCTTCTTGGCTTCCTATAAGTTGCTCTGGCAAGGGCGCACCTTCAAAAGCCCATGTGAAGTCAGATTGAGTTTTCGCTTGCCATTATGGTGGTCATGATTTCAACTCTTCTTTTTGCTGCCATCGCATCAGCCATCTCTACTCCTCTCACACCCAAACCCTCGCCTACCCCTGGCTTCAGCCCCATGCCCCCACCTCACAAAGTATCTGGTCGCCTAGCCGCGATTAGGGGTAACACAACTGACATGAATTGCTATGTCGAGCTTTCTCACGTGTATGGTTGCACGGGCCAGAGTGACCCAGTAGGAATCTTTGAAAGCGGCCTTTGTCAAAGCTGTTAGTTGCCCGTTCCCTCAATATACACCACTGACATGTCAAGTACCAGACGGACCAGATAATGTGACGGTCAATATCAATATCTGTGACTCGGCTAAACTTCTTTTGGATTTCAAGGAGGCTCTGCTCGAATTTAGTAATCCTTCTCATGACCTCCAAGTATGGAAGCTTCCTCAGGGTGAGCCCGGGAAATTTATAGAAACCGGCGTCGACTCCGGTGGTGCGGATCAGCCATACCAAGATAATGTCCTTTCATAATTTCGGGGACCGTCTTTTGAGCGTTTTTCCTGCCATGCTAAGGATACAATGGAGCTGCTTACAATTATATAGTCCCTTTCATCTCAGGTTCAATTCAAGTCTGCCTCCATTTTGCAAACGTAGTCGATTGTATCCATCCGAGTTCCATGGATTCTACCTTAAGCTTTGGAGTCGAGATTAAACGGCCGTCTGTATACGGAGTAGTTATGACTGTGAACAATCTTCTAGCGGATAATGCAATCTTATATCGTTTTCGCAGTACCATACTGTATTTCCAAGGAAACATAAATGGTGCAGTGCTTACAAGAGTGAAATTCCCAGTGGTAACTTCGCCCCCGTAGATTCCGCCACATGTCCATCAGTAACTGTTTGAGACAAAAGCACGGCATTCAGACAACGTCATAAAGTGCAAGCGGATACACAACCTTATGAAACAAATTAGACATCAATGGCACTATCACTGCGTCTGCCCCTTGAAATTTCGTCCATTCCCTCGGCCAGTGACTTTATTGCGTTTTTCGTTTCCTGTTTATCTTCACCGAGCTTTTCGACTTTCGTATTGGTGCTCTCAATGGCTCTAACGATAGATTCCAGGGCCCCTTTAAAACCCTTGAAATCTTCCGTAAGACCGTCAATGTGCCCTTTAAAATCCTTGAAGTCTTGCGCAAGATTGTCAATGCGCCGTTCCACTGTTTGGACTCGGCTCTCTGTCTCCCCCTGGGATGCCGCTTCCTGGCCGAGGGGAATACCCCGTCGAGCATAAGACTCCTTTTGGACTTGACGCCAGGTCTTCCCCTTTCGCCCGCGTTGCCCCTGGTCAGAGTCATAGGCCAGATTTACTTCTTCGTATTTCATGGGCTCCTCTTCCATGGGTAGGCGTTGGCTGTCCCTTCTTCCGGTTTGCTTCACCCACTCGTTGACCTTCGCTTCCCCACACAATTGTCTAAGATCGTTGAGAAGAAGGACTTTTACCCCTCTGATGAGGTTGAACTCGACGCAACATGTCGTATTGGCGTCACGAGCCATTGAGTCTTTATTGCCTCTCTGCAGCCGACGACAAGCATACCAGTGGAACTTCTTCACTCCCCCAGTCGTCTTTCTGGTAAACTTCTCCTTCTTCGACCCAGCATGGATCACCATCTTTGACTCTAATGTGTTCCAATCGTCCAACAGCGGCTCTACCTCCGCAGCGGATTTTATTTGGCGTTGGTAATTCCCAGTTTTCTGGTCCTTGATCTCAATGTGATAGTAGCTCACTTTCCCATTCTTTGTCCGAATCGACGTTCGCTCAGTCTTTTCCTCGGCTAGTAGGGTGACTCCATCACCGTCCTCGAAGGTAGTCACGTATTTTTAGTCCATGCTTTGTCCAGGTGCCTTTGGCTGACCTGTTCGCCGGATCCACTATACTACTGGATGGTGCTCTGCCATTCCTGCCAGAGCCGTTACCATTGGTAGCGGGGCTATCAGTGTCGTCCTTGTCGGTGTTGTCCTTGTCAGTTGGGTTGTTGCCAGTGCTGTGGCTTTCTTTGTGTTGAATTAATGACGTTTACCCACTCAAGCTGCTTCCTTCCCATTGGATAGATTGTCTCTAGGATAAAATGGATGAGGCCTGAGAAACCATAGTGATCAAGCAGATCAGTGGACGAATAAGGTAAGGATCAAACCAGGGCGATTGTACAATAACTGACCCCTGCTACGTTGCGTCTTACTCATTATGTCGAACTAGGAGGCTTTTGCACGTATCATCATATGATACTACCACCCAGAATGTCCGCTCAATAGCGCCACTTAAGTATTTTGTGTACTATTTGGAGAACTCACGCTGTCCCGACCACTCTCCTCTTTTCCATGTCACCGTAGACTTTCCCTAAAGGCCAATATGTACTTCATTATCCTTCAACCAGGTTACCGCTATAAATTCTATTTAATGACCTGCCTAACCCCCTGAGACATTTCTTTGATTTTTTTTGTCTTCAGCTGGCGACCCCACAAATGGCCTGCCGGAAGATCTAGGATAGACCCCGAGCTAATCAACAAAGACGACGGCACAGCTAATGATTGGTCAAATTTGTGGGCGCAGCGAGTCTTGCGACAGCTGTCTTTACTGCTGTCCACTAATTTTAATTCTGGAAGCGTCTCAGATGTATCCGAGGCTGGTACAGCAGAGAACTGGTTAGCTTGCTTCCCCCTGGTTCATTTGGTGCCGGTCTGCACCCTTGTCGCACAGTACCCCCCACTCAACACTAAGACAATACGGCGGAAGGAGAACAAAGAAATATCAAGGAAAGAAACGGACAGAAAAGGAGATGAGAGATTTCCAGTCTGACCCTTCGCCGCTTAAGTACATAGTATCTCATAGTATCCCCTACTAAAATAACTTATTACAACACAACGAGACGCTGGAATACTATTGAGCTAAAATTCTGAAACTGTACATCTTAACTCTCATACACATCAATAACTCTCAAGGACATGCCGTTCCAGATGGGTAGTCATTAAGCCGTCCAAAATGGATTGAGGAAAGCTACAGCAAGAGGATGGCCATGTAGGACCACCCATCCGCAAGAGTGTAGGTTCGCTTATGAGCGCGCAGCGCGACCCTCTGAGCGAGCACTGAAGATTTCTGCGAAAAAGAGCTTGGAATGCCTGGAGATCAGGGAAAGCACATAGCCAGTCTGGTGGATTTCGACGTAAATAAATTGCCTACAATGGGGTGCCCGAGAAGGCTCTTGTGCTGACTGTCACAGAACTGGGTCCCAGACATACCAGCACGGTGGCACGCATACGGAGACGGTAGACCGGCGACCTTCATGGGAACTTACCCTTTTGAATCCCTGCGGTTTTAATCAGCCGCGCCTAGCCCACTAGAACATCCGATTCACGAGACTCTCTTAGTGGGTGTATCCTAGGGATCGCCTAGTCGAAAAAGACTGGTGGGCACTCGAAACATCGGCGATTCTGGTCAACATCGATGAGAAAGGTAGGTGCTCGATAGCTTTCCCACTCCGCTATTTCGTTCCTGGCTTTTGGTAACCTGGCCTTCATTCTAGCACTTGGGTTCTAATGTGTTGACTTTTACTTCGAGATCCTCAATCTGTCCTTCTACCCAATGAGTATATGTACCACTAGTTGTAAGTCATCTCGCACGCTTCCGCTACAATCGCAAAATTCCCCTCGCTTTAGTATAAGCGTATCAAGACATGCACCCGAAAGATTGGTGTACTTCAGGGTAACCCTTTGAGATAACAGTTTCCGAACTGGATCATCTTGTTTCAGACTATATGTGGGATCATAGACGACGCGAATAGCGGGAGCAAAATGGAGAACAAGTTTTCGTCTCACTGAAAATAAGGGTCTGCGTAAGACGTTGCAGGCAGAATTTTTGATCATGAACGATGAAGCTATCTGAAAAGCAATAACTTAGCATGTAGAGGAGGTTGGACCAAGCGATAATCGTCCTATTGAGGTATTTGTTCTGTGAGAGCACTCTCCGAAACCGCCAGATGTTAAAAATAGCAGTAAGTGTGAGTCGCTAATGAAACCATCGATTCAATACTCACCATGCCAAGGGACTTTGCAACTACGCGTCTCGGAGTCTGATCTCAGCCAATTCCTCAAGAGGCGTGAAAGGAAGCGCGATTCCTTAAGCGTTGAGTACTTAAAATACCATTCAAGCTCGCAATGAAACCCTATATCACACTCTTTACCGTTCGAGCTCATACTTGGGGGGTCTTCATAGGAAGAAAATATCAAATATTCTAGAAATTACAAGTTGACTATCGTTATGACCCGAAAGCTTTGTCCGACTCCAGAGTGGTTCACCTGTCTTTTCTGCATGCATAATGCGACGGTACAGTACCACAAGCTCGCGATGACCTCTACATCGGCCTCTTTACAGTGTGAGTTCGAATTTGGTTGGCTGTCGTACGGGAGCGTTCGATAAAGTTTTGATTCCGAGGATATATGTTCGTGGCCTAGTACTGCACTCAGCCCATCACCTTGGCCTTTGCATCCATACTTATAATTGTATGTGCATGCCGAGCCACAGGTAACTTAAACCTTGGTCAACTTCCAAACGGGGTGCTGTTAGACCCCATTTCTAAGCACATGACGTCCTTTGTGCGTCGCTAAATCACCCTCACTGACGTTTGCGGCATTGCAGCGGACGAGACCATCGTTCGGCCCTGGTATTGGGCTGTTGTTTGAATTCACTGTCATGTCACAAATGGAATAAGGTTTGGCAAAATGTGCTTGTATGATTTCGTCATCACTGATGTTTGCAGCATTGGACTTGACGAGACCGTTGTTAGACCATGGCATTGAATTGTCTTCTCAAACCATTTGATGTATACATACATCTCTATAGTTTATTCAGCATTACAAATGCTAAGAAGAAGCTTAGTACTATTGGCCAACTAGATGGCTACGCCATCATGATATTTGCAGAGCCGTTCATTACATATCACAGGAAGAAGCATTATAGCTGAGTCATGTCAATGCCTTCTAGGCCGATGGCAAGCAGTCAGGTGAGACCAGTCGCTAACGTCATTATTAAATATGGCACAGCCGTTCATCACCATATAAGACAAGCTGTTCTCTACTTGCCCAACGGTGAGAGATCAATACCAGGAATAGTCATTGCATCCTTGCCGCAATATTAACTTGAACATTCGTATATCTCAAAATTCTAACCATGGGCAGAACAGTAGCAAAAGAAGTTACCAACCGCAATGAGGTACGAGCTGCCATCGCAGAGGGGGGATGGAACGTTGTTTACGGAGATCTGATTAATGAAGGAGACGTCCTTACATTCATCATCTCCATACCTACAGGAGCTGTGGGAGGTTGGGTTGCTCAGCAGGTCCAGGCTCAGTTGGCGAAGTTTTCTCAGAGTCTGAGTGAAGTCTCTGATGATGTTGTTTTGCAAGCGACCAATTATCTGGGAAATCTGATAAAGGGAGGCGGTTCTGGAGAATCAGATATCCATGGATTGGGAGTCAAAGGAGGCTTTGCCACCTATAACCGCCATATGGAATATTTTCTTTGGGGTAGGAAGATTGGCAGTCATGATCTGCCAAACAACCATCAACCATACATTGCTATACGCGTTACCAAACCTCTGCCACCACAGGGAACTGTGCCGCAAGTGCCACCTATAACCACGAAAGGGTTAGTTCTTCAAACAGGTACATCGCTACATGAGACAGACAACACGTTCGACTTTGCTGTGGGAGACTGGAATCAGGATGGAAAACCTGACTTGTTTGCCATCAAAAAGAGCAACACAGGCTCTAACAGTACCGAGGTCCATATACTCTCCGGTGCCTCGAACTTTCAGAACTTTATCTTTCAAAAGGGCACAGCCTTACATCAGACAGACGATACGTTCGATTTTGCTTTGGGAGACTGGAATCAGGATGGAAAACCTGATTTATTTATTATTAAAAAAGCAACACGGGCTCCAAGAGCACCGAGGTCCATATACTCTCCGGTGCCTCGGACTTTCAGAAGTTCATCCTTCAGAAGGGTACACCCTTACCACAGACAGACGATACGTTCGATTTTGCTGTGGGAGACTGGAATCAGGATGGAAAACCTGACTTGTTTGCCATCAAAAAGAGCAATACTGACTCCACAAGCACCGAGGTCCATATACTCTCCGGTGCCTCGAACTTTCAGAACTTTATCCTTCAGACTAGTACGCGCTTACATGAGACAGACGATACGTTTGACTTTGCTGTGGGAGACTGGAATCAGGATGGACGACCTGACTTGGTTACTATTAAAAAGAGTAATACAGGTTCTAAAAGCACTGAGGTCCATATACTCTCAGGTGCCTCGAACTTTCAGAACTTCATCCTTCAGACTGGCACACCCTTACACGAGACGGACGATACCTTTAACTTTGCTATGGGAGATTGGAATCAGGATGGGCGCCCCGAATTATTTGCAATTAAAAAGAACGGCACCGGCTCCAAAAGCACCGAGGTCCATGTCATCTCACCCTAACCACGCCTTGGCCCAGTCGAACCTCAGCAAATATCACTGAATATGGCTAAGCAATGTCTCATCCAATGAAGTTCAATCTTTTATCTGGTGATTGTGGTCTCCAGATATTGCCTTCGACTTACAATTTTGGATTTTTTCACTTCATTTACTTTACTGAGAAATTTCTCTAGTAGGTCGCAAATTGAAGCCAACTTCATCAAAGAATTGTGCTTCTCCTGTGATAATTTCTGGCAGCCGTAGCCACAAAATTCTACTTCAATATAAAGATCCTTCTAGACCGTCCTTTACTGCTGACAGGTAAACTCAATAAAAAAGTCAAAAATAGCATTGGTCGGACTGATCTAATGAATGAAGAATAACTGTCGTGAGGGTTGGTTTTGCCCACCACCAATGGTACTTTTCTATGTCATACCTTGTAAGTGTTCCAGGCTGCAGAAATATGCGGAAAGCTCTGTAATAGAGCGGGCTAAATTATGGACGTACGTATTAGACCTATGAGGAATTATCTGTGCCATACGGCCGCATCGTAAACACCAATTTTAGATATTTGATATTTGAAATTATTCCCGCCCACCCACGCTGAAATCTATTAGTATGGATAATTCTGACCTCTGTAAGGCCTGCGAAGCCGCTCAGGCCCAGCAAAGTCTGAATATCTCAAATATTGCGCGTGGCACCGGTGTTCCTATCGGTACACTACGTGACTGTGTCAAGAAGGGCGCGCAGCCTCGCATTGCAGTGAACCAGCGCTTGCGGTGCGTCTTAGTCCCAGCCAAATAGTGGAAAAATCGTGATTGAAGCCCGCATTCGAGCAGCTACTGTTTCCGACCTTCGTTATACATATCGTAACTGATTCTAACACGGTAAAACGATTACAAACACCATGATTGCGTAGAATGGGCCTATCATTCTGACTTTCGAGCCCGATGATCTGCAAAGCATGCCCAAACTCGAGTGGTATGGGATGCTTCGCTAAACCAAGGCGTGGCTGTGGAGGAGTGGAGGAATACTGCCTGGATCTATTTATGACGATATGAAGAGCACATAATGGCATGACAAAGGTATGGTGCACTCTCCGGGAAGCTCCGACCTATTAACATTACAGTCATACGAGCGTCGTTCATGAGGTCTGGGCAGCCGAAGACCATGCAACTTTTGGTTGCGTCCATGGGCGACCCATTTTTACGGTCATGATGATAAAATGAATAAATTGGCATACCTACCATAAGTAGCCACTCTCCGTTCACCTTGTCGTATCGCATGACAGGATATTGCGTAGACGGCTTTTGATCCCACATCAGGGATGAGCTTGATTGTTCTTACTTGTTAACCGAATAGGCTTTCCCGGGTCATCTGCGGTACGTCCCTCTAGATTAGGCTTAAGCGGCTATTCAATTCAACACCGATTGGTTCCCTGACTTGACACGGAGAGACCGCCGCGGATGGCCAAACCGCGGCAGTAACTAAGGTTTGGGCTCGGATGATCGACATGGGCTTTTACGGCACCCGAAGTCGGCTGCGGTCATCTGCTCTGGGTGCTGGACGTTTTAAGAATTAGTTAGCAGTTTATTTTCATTGCCACATGATATGTGTTCATAAATGCATCATCTATCCCCGTTCTACCCCACCTACGATCAGCCCATGCAGAAGCTTGGCAACTCCGATTGACTCTCCTAGACCTAATCTTTCTGGCAAGATACGACATGCCTCAAAGAATCGGTAGACCGCAATAGAATCATCGAACTTTGTATTCCATAGGCATGACCTTGTCGACAATTTCCGACGTCATATAAATCTACTGGCTACTTGCCGTTCGTAAGTTAATAACCCAGCTTGATCTAGGAGTGTATGTATATTTCACCATCGTCTTTATCCTTGCAGATACTTACAGATATATCAGTCCGTAACAACACTTGATTATCTATCCTTATATCATATTCAAGCATGACGGAAAGACTAATCGTAAGGAGCAGCGCATGAAAGTTGCAGACGGCGGTTGGACCATTCTTTATGGAGATCTTATCAACGAATGGGATGTAGTTACGGGTCTTGCCTCTATCCCCATCGGCGCCGCTGGTGTCTGGGCTTCCGAGCAGATTCAAGCTCAACTGCAGAAATTTCAACAAAGTCTGAGTGATGTGTCCGATGATGTGGTCAATCAGGCAACGAACTATCTGAAACAACTAATACGAAACAAGTCCCTCGACGAGCAAGATTTTGATGGATTAGGAGTCAACCCTGGAATTATCACATATAAACGTTGGTTGGAATTCCCTTTTGGGCTCAAGACTGACCTGCCGGACAACTATCAACCGTACGTTGGTTTACGCATCACCAAGCCTCTACCTCCAAAAGTGCCAACTATTACAAAGAGTATAATGGAGAACAAATTAACCGCTGTTTCTTGGGGCAAAGATCACCTTGTGGTTTTTGTTGTTGGGGCTGACACTGCTTGTTGGTGCAGGGTATGGGATGGAGTCCGATGGGAAAATTGGGAGACGCTCGGTGGCAAGTCTCTTAGTTCTGTCACAGCAGTGAGCCGGGGACGCGGTCGAATCGACCTTTTTGGAATTGGTGTCAGCAATGCTTGCTACCACAAATGGTGGGAGGGAACCTGGGGGCCATCTGAGACAGAATGGCAGGAACTAGGTGGAGTGTTCACCAGTCCTATCCATGCTGTCAGCTGGGGGCCAAATCGACTGGACTTGTTTGGCCGCGGACAAGACAATATCTGCCTTCATAAGTGGTGGGATGGTGCAAGGGATGGGTGGTTTGGGTGGGAGTTGCTACATGGCGTTTTGCTAGGTGGTCCTCCCACAGCCGTAAGTCTGAACGGGCTGGATGTCTTCGCTACCGGGACTGATAATGCTTGCTACCATGGATGGTGGGACGGGAGTGAGTGGAAAGCATGGGAATCCTTGGGAAATATTTAGACTGCTACCAAGCTCCGCTCCGGAAGGGGCGATGGCCAAAACAATATTTTCTGATCGTCTGTAGTTACCATCTCAGTTAAGCTTCAAGACGGGACCGCAAGCAAATTGTGCTTGTCTAGACCAGGACACCCCTGCTAGCAGCATTTAATCAAGCGATCTCCTATTCGCCTCGTTTTCAGTGCCCGGCATATTTCGAAATAGCAGATAGAGTGATTCGCTAGTTGCAACCATCGATTCAATACTCACCATGCCAAGGGACTTTGCGACTACGCGTCCTGGAATCTGATCTCAGCCAAATTCCTCAAGAGGCGTGAAAGGAGGCGCGGTTCCCTAACGGTGGATAATTTTAAAAATACGATTCAAGCTCGTTATGGAAGAAAATATTAGATATTCCATAGTTACAGGATTCAGTTCATTTGTCGTGCTGAGACTATCAGTATGACCGGAAAGCAGCTGTTTTGTCAGGCTCCGGTCTGGTTAACCTGTCTTTCTGCATCCATAATTGCAATGGTATGATCGCGTCGACCTACGAATTACTCAACCCTTGTCAACTTCCAAGCGAGGTATGATGGGTAATGTTGGTCCAATCTCTAAGCACATACATATGCTATCAATCATCTCTGTATTCACTGTTTCACTCGGGGGCTGGCGACATGACCCAAGTATAGGTGAGAACCTCCAGCAACGAATGCGCCACCATCGATGACCCTAGACTTAACAGAAATCGCTTGCCATTTCAAGCTTGGTGTATATTCAAGATTCTGTGGCACATTCCAATAGACAAGGCCTCGGGTCTCACGATGCTTGCACTACTCTGTCAATTACTCGCGAATAACTGGTATTCGGCCTTTGTTGATATGAATTATTAGATCCACAGCCTCAGTTTCCAATACATTGCTTGGCATATTTCTTGACAGCCCATCTAAGTACATTCTTTATTCTACACTACTTACCGATACCATGCAATATCGGGCACACGAGGCATGAGAGTTTTGGTCAACCAACCTGCCTCTGAGACCATCTTGCATGGCCTTCAAATGCTCCCAGCTCAGGCTGTCCTCACCAAGACTCCATGCCATCACTCCACCCAGCTTCTCGGCATCCACAATTTCTTTGAATTTGCGAGTAATCAACTCAGGGGTGTCCCAAGTCCAGAAAAGGCTGGCCTGCTCGTCCCAGTAGTACTGCCCGCCGGCTTGCTCGTCCGTCTTGCCGCCCTTGAGAGCGCGACGCCACGAGTCGATGACCGAGATGCCCTTGCACTCGCCATAGTCGGAGAGACAGCCAGCTTGGCAGAAGTCGTTGCCAGAACCGCTGATTGAGCTTGGTTCATGTCATTCAGAAAGGAGAAGATTGAGCGTACCAGTAGCCATACTGGCTGCAACATGAACCGGCCGGGCATTTGGTCCCCTTGGAAAAGCCGCAGGTTCCATCTGCGGAGACTCTCAAATCACCTGGAGCAGCCGCCATAGCGCTTTTCTCAAAGGTCAAGGCTCCTGATGTGCCTGCGTCTGAACCATTGGGGTTCTCCAGGGCCAAAACCCCGCATCCAAGTGGATGTTCATTGCAGTTAGAGTTCGGATCGGTCATGAACCACTTGGCGTAATACGCGAATCCCAGGTTGATCTTGGCAGTGTCGAGACCAATCTCTTCATACGCCTTGATAGCGTCGAGTGAACCCACCACACTCGTGTGATGGTTCGTGACTTTATCCCGACGATTCATCAGATCATACGACATGACGTTCACCAAATCCACAGACGGCCAGATCTTGGTACCTTGTTCCTTCGCAAAGGCCATCATGTCGGTTTTTTTTTTCAGAGACTGCAATTGAAAGGAGCTTGTCCGGGCCGATGGCTTCACGAATTGCGCGCAGAGAGAGTGGATAGGTTTCGATTTCGTCCGTTTTACCGCTGTTAGGTACCTTCATATAATCCCCGCCGTTCCCACCAGGATACTCCCAGTCGATATCCAGAGCCCAGCTCTCAGTATCTTGGATTACTTGCTATTTTCGTTACTCACCGACACCGTCAATGCCTAGGTTGTCGATCATTGTCGCGACATTCTTGGCGTAACGGGCCCGGGACCCATCGTCCTTTGTGCCTTCGGAGAAGCCATTGGTATCGCCCCAGCCTCCAATAGCAACCATGACCTTGGTATCGGGTACAAAGCGCTTCCGCATAGCTTCGACAGGCTCAAAGGGCTCGAACTTGGGGGAAGAGTTAGAGTTGAAAATACTGGAGTTCGCAAAGGCCATTATCGCGTGAGTTATGCCTTCTGTGCGGTCATTACCGGGGAGAGCAGCAGTATGATATCTGGATCGTTACTATGTATAGCTTGTTTAGAAGCGCGGCTCTTACTCATCTATATACATGACGAATCTCAAGCCCAATGTGGCCCGGACAGCCAGAAGGCACAGGAGAGGGACTCTAAGCATGCCGTGCTATGTCAAATCAGTTGACAGAGAAACCGAAAGGAGAGTTTGATCAAGCACTATTTGAACCAAGAAAGCAACCAAGCAACTGGAAAGATAAGTAATAGTGAAACTTACTGGCAGATGAAGCGCGGTGCACTATACCAGGTTATAATAGTCGTTCCTACTAGCATTTGACGCGGACAGTATCATAGCACCTGCCGCCTCAGATCCAGAGGGACCGAAATGATAAGGAAAGTTACAATGCGAAAGACGTCGCAGGATATCTTGACAGTGACCGTGTGCGGCCTCCAGGACGTATTAATTTGGCACCAACATATAAAAGGGCCCCTAATTTTGATCCGGACAGAAGAATGCATGAAAACGATATTACTGTACAGCCGGTGCAGCTGATCTTTAGTTCTACCATTGTGCTTGGTGATCTGCGTTTTTAGCGGGCGTTGCGTGACCTAACGCGTTCTGGAAATTAAACTATCCCTGTAACAATACAGACGTGGTCCTCCTACACGAACAGCTCAGTGTGGAGGAGAGAGGAAGGGGCAAAGGCTCTGAGGTCTGAGACAAATTTCGGGCCATTAGAAATATACCACTATCAGCACCAAAAAAAAAAAAAAAAAGTGGGAAAATCTAGTGTATCGCAAATTTTGCACTACAGTGTGGATTGTCATTGCTGACGCCGTAATGCTCGTTGTCGTGGGGAAACATGTTGCCTCGCCGTGGAGATGGCGAACTTGATTACAGGTCCCTAGAGAGACCAAAGCATTATCTCAGCCCATCAAAGTGCAGCAGAGCCATACAAGATAGCAGTGTCCAAAATTGTTATTGTAGCTATGCGCAGCCATTGACTGGGTCATTCCATCTGGTTTCCTCGTGTCTCCAGTGAAGGCCAGACATAGCCAGGATTGGTTGATGACAGGAGCCCAGTACAATAGATCTTGAACTTGCAGTGGTATGACGCAGCAGATGCGCATGGTCTATAGATAGTATCAAAGTGAAGCGCAGACAGAGGTAACCCACGTTTACTACTACAGGGAAAGCGAGGCCTGTCCCCTGAGTTGGATGAAGTGAGGGACACATAAAGGGCGCTTTCACCCCGTCTAGACTCCCCAGTACACTATTGATTTTCCTTCCTACCCATCTCATATCAAATCTTCAGTACAAATCTCTGCTCGCATGGCTCCTGATCCGTGGGGAGACACGATAGACAATGCCATCCTTATTGACGATGACGATGAGGCTCCCGGAACTGCTGGCAGAGAGACATCTCCCGAAATGACAGCACTGCCTGTAATGATGGCTCATGGTACCGTCGAGAACCCTCCATACGGACTTCCCTTAGGCGTCTTTCTGGACGATGACCAGCATACTGAGTCCACGGAAGTTGCAACCCCACCCCCCAGTCTCATTGAGGACATGGCTGAGGGAATCTACACACCCATTCCCCGGGCATTGAGCGGGACCAGGAGCCAGAAATCACTGACTTGGGAGTTCCTCCTGGTACGTTTGGCTTGTCCTGGATTGAAACGATTGTCTTACTTCTCATTGACATAGTAAAGAATTTATCAATGCCGACACTGAAGGCGAGCATAGGTCTCGCCAACCCGCCATTGGTGTCTCCCACGGCACTGATTATGTCCATCTTGATCACCCCAACCTACCGAATGAGGTCCAGGAGCCTGACAGTACACCTGGACCTGCCACTAGCAACAACTCGGGTTGCAGTGCACCAAACTCGGAAGCATTAAAGAGTTAGCTATTCAGTGTACCACTGAGTATACCTGGCGCTAACTTCAAACAGGCTCAGTCGCCCTAGCACACTCTATGAATTCACTTCTCTATTTCTGCCAACATGGACGATTCTTGATGTTTGTCAAGGCAATGGTCACCTCGACGTACGATTCCGAATTCCTTACGCGGGGGCGCGAAAGAGGTCTGGCCCCGAACCTGAGTCTGCTGCGAATGATGGCCTTGTTGAGGATTCTGCGCCTCGGCTCCGGAGATCAAAAAGGGTGAGGTGGGCAACGACGGTCAGAGGAATATAATACTGTAGCATACGAGTAGATCCCAAAGTGTTGGATACGTCAGAAAGTTTCCTACTCCTCAGAGGCTGGGTTGCTAGTATAGTCTTTCCGTGCAAGCCATTTTACCTCGTCATTATGTTCACTCGGCACTACATGTCCCCTAGATCACAAATGTGCTACTCTGCCTAGATAGTCATCCGCCAGTAAACGTGATCCAATTCGATGAGTTGATTGTGGCCCGCTACTTTCTTTCGGCAGCCGCAACAGGCTGTATATTGGAGTGTACGTTCCTTACTCTTCGATAGTACCTTGCCACCACTGTCATTCTGGTTGCAAATAAAAGCTGTACTAGGACTACAAAAACCACCTTTACTGTTCGTCCTCTCCATATAGCTGGAATACAGTGTCTCTTTTGTCTCCTGAGCTTCCAGCATCCACTTCACATCCCTACCTCCATCTCGTCCTCCTTGAGGGACCATTACTGTCTTTTCGCGTCAACCTACCCTTTATACCGCGAATATGTGAGTACGGCCGTTCGAGGTGGCGTCCGTTGTATCTGGTCGCGCAGCGACAATTATGCTGAGTCCTCAGTCGGCCGACCATACCATGCTGATGGGGCACCCATCACGAGGGACAGAAATGAACGTCTCGGGCTGATACGGCAACGGCAATGTGGCCTCACTGTTCACTACACCATGGTGGCTATCGACGGAACACTGCGCTGCCGCGTAGATACGTGCAGCTGGGCCTTTGGACGATGATCCAGTATGTCTGATTCGCACCTGGCACTTGTTAGGCGACCCGTATAAAGTTGCAAGCCTCTCAGGAGTCGCCTAGCACCGCCGCCCCATGGAATGACACTGATTGCCGTCGGATCAAGCTTCATGAACCTTCGACCGGCTGGCTCGCAGGCTTCCTTTTCAGCACAATATAGTTCCATTTTTAGACCAAGGTAGCGTCTTCGTGCTTAGGTGCATACAGTACCGAGCCCCAAAGTGCCGTATTGATGTACGCTTATTCTTTTTCATAGTTCATGTTGTGGCAGATGCGATGTGGGACTCGTTCCAGCCTAGCACGTAGTTGGCGTTTGAGGATATATAAGTGCCTGTCTGTTCCCCGAACTCAGTTTCGCTTCTTCATTCCAACCTGCACCTTACAAGCCCAAGGAACTGGCAGTATTCTCACCCTACATTTGTCACAATGTCTCTCTTTATTTCTATCCACTGTACCTTCGAACTGCACCTGGCAACTCCCAATAGTCCTGCTGCTCTCGTCCACACGGATTCCAAGACTTCTCCCAGTGTCCAGAATGCCATGGATATAGGAGGGCTGCCGACACTACCGTGTACACTTCCAGGGACAAGCTACGGTGAGCCCTATGTTTGGATTCTTCAGCAATCTACTTACGAGGTTGCAGAGAACCCCATTCAAATCGATACGTTCGGTGACGAAGAGTGTGACTCCAGCCTCTGCCCAGAGAGTCCGCAGCAACCAGGCGATAGTATCGGTAACGTTTCAGTTTCACTACGATCAGAACATGCGCTCTAATTATAACTTAGACAACGCAATTGATCTCGATGCCGCAACATCGGCAGCAAGTAATAAAAATGCCATTGACAACCTACCAGACAGATACCGTCAGACGGAGTGCGCCATCGATGGTAAGAGTGAGCTCCCACCCCTGGCTGGCGTATTCTAGTATTAAAATAAACTATAGGCCGCTCTTTAGAGGAATACTAATGTCCTAGACAAAGCCATGGGAAACCAGCGTTTGGCCTGCGAGTACCTAGCAAGCCGGCAGTATAAACCACGGTGCCCATTTTGTGGGAATCGTATACGGGGCCGATATGCTGGTCAAACTGATCGTGATTGCCTGGACGGCGGATATGTCGGTCTGCGCTGCCCAGATCCGGAAAGCTCCCATTGCTTCATTAAGGACTACATGGTGCAGGGTATCATATTGAAGATACTTTGATTTAACGTCGTTTTTTTCATGTACCGTTCCTTTCGAGTGCTCCTTAGTTATCTACGTTCTTGTTACAGTATCAGTCAATGTAGCGGCTTCCACCCTATTTCAGCAGCTGACTACCAGACGGCGGAAATGGTTGAGTGTCTTCAGAACAGTAATCCGACCAAAAACAAGAAACCGCATACGATACGTCTTCCCAGCTGTACCGTATTGGCTGAGATTCATATCACCGCTGTTGTAGGGCCCTTGCTAATATTTTCAGTCCTTGAGCTACTTGAGGTTTCTGTTACAAACATTCGGACCCTTCGGCAATTACCTTTTTGCCTTAGGATAGGCTTCACCTAATAATTTAGTTTCCCGGTGCTGTTATGTGAAGGCAAAGGTTCCGTGTTTGATCTCAGTCTGATTATCTGTTGTAGACAGTAATAGTTCAGTGTTCTTAATGATGATTTTGATTATTTCTATGTATCTTTGTTCGTAAACATAGCCGTGCAAATTGACAGACCACGTGTAGAGTTATATTTTGCTGGTATCTTTCTTTAATTACAACGGCAGAACAGGCGCGAGAAGAGGTCCAGGTTCCATATTGTATCTGCGCAGGCTGTGTGTCCACACCAGACAGTTCAGTCCTCGAAACCCGGTTAAATCCTGTACTTTGGATCGACCCCAAGAAATCCCAATTGGATGGCTTAGATATTCAGTTTACAGTATAGGAGCGTGACGATATTTTCTAATCAGGATTTGAGGCCGCTATAGCTACTGCAATCAGACTGCGTGCTGCAGCTTCCTGCCATATGCATAACATGATCTCGGTCCGACTTCGCGAATCCAGTCATTGCGTGGATCAGCAGCCAAGAGCAAGCGACGACAAGCTATCGTCCTAGTCTGGAAAGGTTGGTTTCACTGCACGTTGGTCAGGGAAAAGCACCTATATACGGAAGTAACCTGCAAGGTATGAGAAGCATGGTGCAAGGCTCCACCGAATACACTATTATCGCCATTCACTGCACAGTTGCCTTCCATTACAGCAAGGGTGAGGGCACGAAACATTTCCTTCGGGGGGTAAATTCTCCAGGTGTCTATCAATATGGTTTAACAATGTGGCTTTCTTGACCCACTGTTGAAACCGCTCATCCGCTCTCTTTTTCTCATCACCCAGACAGAATGGACATAGACCCGCTGCAACTAGCGTATAGCGGAAGGTTAAGAGCCCGCACCTCGGCTGTAGAGCATGCAGGTGAGATTGGCAATGTTTGATCCAATCTCCTTCGTTGCATATTAATTCAGCGCACAAATAACAGAATTGAACGAAACTTCGACGGGTATGGCGATGGGCACGTTTGCCATTTCTGTAGGTCTGCTGGTAAGGTGTCGCATTCAACGATTTGCGTTTGCACTGCAAAATATGCTTTGACCGTTCTTGGAGACCAATGCTGGCTAACATTAGCAATAGAAAACAACTACCACCAAAAAAACAAAAAAAAAAAAAAAAAAAAAAAAAAAAAAAAAAAAAAAAAAAAAAAAAAAAAAAAAAAAAAAAAAAAAAAAAAAAACAAAGAAAAGAAAGAAAAGAAAAAAGCACACGCAAACCTTGACATCTGCTTGGCACATATTGGACATTTTCCCTTTACGGGAGTCATGCCCGGATAATATGCCACCTTCTCGACTGAAGTACAAAGACTAACTGCATCACGTAAACATTGCCTCCCAAGATCACTATCAAGAGGCACTTACTTGAAAATATTGTCATGTAAGCGTGCTCTTTCAGGCATATATTTAGGGTAGATTTGAAAAACGCAAGTAGTGTCGCGTTCGAAAAAGTCGTTGCCAGTAATGTACTCGTCGTAGCAAACATTCTACCAATTTTCAATGAATTCGGAACGTTTAGTGCAGAGCTTCTTGGCTTTCTTCGTAAAGTTTCGATCTTTCCGATACCAAGTCGGCATGTTTATCAGGCCGGCCACGAATCTCCTGCGTCAATTCACTGATCCTTTGGTTACTCAGAATCACTTCCTCATCTTTTTCAAACTCTACGAGAGAGGCAGCATCAAGTCGAAGCGGAACATTTTAATCACGGTGGTGGGCCATGCTCTGTTCCATTTCACGACATTCATAATCCGGCTCCAGGTTATAGTACAGAGCCATCATATCTACCGCTTTGAGCGATGACTGGTATTTCAAGTAAGAGTCATGATCTATATGATCTAACGCCTGGCCGCGGGTCGCGGCTGTTGCCTTGGCTTAGTAAAAATTAGTTAGCATGATATTCCTCCGAAAATTGATGCACAGCTTACGATCGATTTTATTTACTATAGTACCCCAGATTTCATACACTCGTAAGCGGTCTTTAAAGCCATCCCGTTTAATTAAATTAATAAAATAATAACACAACGAAAAGAATGTCTATACTTCGTTTACTTATATATATAATTATAATTATTTTCGCTAAATAGATAGTAAAGAAAATAATTTATATCTTTCACTATTATTAAAAATTATTCTCTAAGCTTAGTAAAAATACTATATCTTTCTATTAATATAGTCTAGATATACTATCTATAATTAATTATTTTAATAATAAATATTAGGATATAAGCAGCCCATATATTTAAAACATCCTTTTTTAAACCTAGAGAAAATATTTGCGACGTTTCACGCTCCCACTTAAAGATAAAATAAATAAAATTATTATATACTAACCTTTGAGAGAGCTTTATCTTTTGGAAAACAATGTAGCTTTCTGCGAATAGTTTTAGTTGCTGTAGCGTCAGGTCGGGATCTTCTCTGGTAAGACTTGCATCCTTGGGTTTGTCCAGCAACCTTGTCGAGGTGCTCGTTTGAAAACATGGTTATGTGATATCACGTGTTAGTATGGATAAAGAAAGGCAGACGTGTTGAGAATAAAACAAGAAAGGATTTCTTTAAAAAACACAAGATATATTTATCTATATCTCGAAATCCCGTGTCTTTCTAATTTTGGTATAAAAAATTATTATAAATAGCTCTATTATTAGCTATATTATCTCTGGTAAATAGAAATCACCGCTAGTAATAGTTAAATATAAAGCACTTACTCCAATTACCTGCACTCACCCTAAGTCAATAGTTACTATTATTTCAACTTTTTAAAGGGCTAAAGACCACTATACTTACTGACCACGCGTAATATATGGCTTAAGTACGGCTGAGCGAACGGGAAGCCCTGTTCTCCACACACTATGGTCGTATGTGATAGTTATGGCTCGGCTAATAGCTAAGGAGAGGGCCGATTCGCAACTTTTTGACATGGTCCGATAGAATCATTGAGGCTATATCACAATGCATGTTTCTGTCATTTAGCCACATATTAACGGTGCTCTTCTTTATTAGTTCTGTGGCTGCATATCTCGTGTCCCCTAGGGTTTCTTTTTACGCCCGGCGACGATACATGACCGTAAGGTCCAAGGGTATCTGTAGTGCAAATTTGGTGCATGAATTATCAACCCTAGATAGAAGGGCTAGGCCTATTGAGTACGTATACTCAATAATTAGATAGTACAACGAGTTGAGCTGGTAGTAATACTAGAATATAGCGATTAAATAACAATTATAATTGATTACAAAGAACTAAGCTAAATATATAAGTATCCTTATAGTGAGGGTGTGCGATCCAGGCAAACACGCTCCTAGGCCCCAACTAGGCCAAAAGGTCAGATAATTCTGATTCAGAATACCCTGATAGTATACCGCTGTTACACTTATAAATCCTTGGTTCTTGTATACTATAGTATTATATATACGAATCCACATATCCATGTGTCTAATATTATCGCTCCGCTAGTTTTCTGCTAGCTATAAATTAAATATCCCATTTTCTATAGAATATAGAGGAGGCGGGGACACGTTCACTCACCACTAGGTAGGACATGCGCTATACAAAGGCCGGACTACTACTAGTTGGTTAGGGCTGAGAAGCGCGGCACGGGTATTTATCGAAGACCATAGAGGGTCCGCTGTACCCCGCTTCACTTTTCTTGCAGCCAAGAGTCAGTCATCAAGTCAACACGTCAAGGAGCAGTCGCTATGCTATCGTTATTGGATCTCCCCCTCGAGCTTCGGGAACTCATCATCGAGCTGGTTTTGAATAGCCAGCGCATGCCGCCTGCAGCACCATCCCAATCCAACCGAGGGGATTTCCGTGACATCAAGTACAGGGCATGGCGCCATGACATCTATTACGAGCGACGGCAAAGCCACTGTCCCAACAACGCGAGTGGCCTCATCCTGACCAACCACCAGCTCTCGGAGGAGACTCTGGCAGCCCTGGACCGCATCTCGTCTACGCCATACATCCTGGACCTATCGGTCCTCCATGAGGTCGAGCTGTACCCCACCTGGCTGTCTGTGCCGCGACTCACGCACCGAGTCTCGACGCTACTTGTCAACGTCCGTCTCTTTGGCCATATTCTGTCGCGCGCCGCCGCTCGCTCCCAAGTTGGGGCCGGTGGTCATCTAGGATTCCAATGGAGCTTCTACGCCTTGCTCGAGCGGTTCCTCCGGTATGGGCCCGTGGATGAAAAAACAAGCCGAAGAGAAGTGGGTCCCTCCTCCGCAAGTCCCATGTACGCCGACCGGGATGTGACCGTGAAGACACTAGTGCTCGACTTCCAGTCCGCAGAATCAGAACTCTCCTTCCCACCGGACGAAGTCGACTACCCCTGGTGGCGTGATCGCCATCACCTGCGGGATCCTCTTCCTGGAACCCAGACTGGAGTCGCTTTTGAGTTGTCTAACCACAAGGCCCGGCCCGAATGGTTCGCAAAATATCTGTTAGGGTATATCTATGGCCTTCTCGGGATGGGTTACCACACGGCAGAATATGGCAAGATCCTCTACGAGCGGATTGGAACTATCAAGGTTCTCGTGAATGGGGAGCCGAACGCGGAGATTGATCTCGCCGGTCCATTGGCACGCCTGCACTTCTCTCACGTGCGAGATACATTCGGCCATGTCTCAACAGAGAGGCGACTGTCGGCATTTTGGGATTGGAAGAAGGAGACCTTAGCACGAAGGGAACAGCTGGGATTCCGGGTGGTGTGGCTGCATGATCCCGACTTTGCGTAAGCATTCGTGAGAAATATCTCAATGTATCAATGTACTTAAGCAAATGGTGAAACGTGCATAGCCGTGGTGTTGTTTAGCGCAACTTCAGCTATTTATAGGCATTGGGATTCAGGCATAGACCTTACCTTCAATCGATCTGGAGGCTGCTCCCTGGCCATACATTTCAGTCCGCTTCCATGCGCTTCTTGTAGATGGGTCGTCGTACCCCACAGAAGATGTCTAAGAAAGAAGCCGAATTTCTATTTAGATTTCATGTGTCCAAAGATTAAAGTTCGTAGAGATACCTATAACCGACCCCTACACCAGTTCTGCGGTCAGTGATAGATATTCAGCAGCTGCCAGGACAAGGATCGCGTGCGCGCATACCGCGATCAGGTCTGATTCCGGCGGGGAAAATGGTGCTGCCTTGGAACTTATCCTGAAACGGAAAGGGTTTCAACAAGGAGGATGTTTATTTATGGTGATGGAAGAGCCAGTTTGGGTGGGCGACTACTGTATTTTATCACGCCATCTCCATCGCTAACCAGTGAGAGCCACGGCATAACCGCTAGCATCTGACAACCCCTGTCTAGGCGTCCCAATAAGACAGCCCGGCGGCACTGCCGCGCCCAACTTGCAGTATAATGTCACGTCTACTAGTCTGCATTTGATTTATATTGCATAAAAGCAAGAACCTGGCCTTGAGCTGAGCCACGCATATGTGGCTGGACTATCGTACATCCCTCTCGCGCCTTAGGCAGACAAGTAAGTACCCCGGTCTTTCAGGGGTCATATCAGGGTATATAGAGAGTATGACTTTCCTGCGAAATATCCTACAAGTACTACGCCCTAGAGAACACCCAGCTTCCTAGAAACCAACTCGTAAAATCATTACTATGCCTTCTCCATACTCACGAGCTCAAACAACCTTCCTTCCCCACCTCTCCGAGATCATCCAAGTCTACCCAGAGGGGGAAAGATGGTGTGCAGGATACGCTCCATCACAGGGTCGTCGCTGCCATCAATCAACAAATGCGCGGAACCGGCAAACCGCCATGTACTTATTAGATGAAGGGACAGAAGACCTCTATGCGGGACGAGACATCAACGACCTGCTCGAGGCTTTGGCTCCTTACACTCTGTGCACACGGTGGCACAAGTATCAGGCCCCCGAACTTGCCGCAAAGTGGAAGAGGAAGGTTCAACGATTCTTGGGCTCCTGTGTGTCTCCTGCGCCTACTCAGCGAACTGCTGGAGAGCGACAACGGACTAGCCCTGCGGCAGGATCCCGGCGAATTGTAGAGGTGGAATGCTCCAATCTGGAGAACTGGGCTCTAGTCCGTATTGAGGGGCGTGGAAATCTACGGACTGTTAGAGCGTCACCAACACCTTCGCAAGAAACTCGCGTCAATGGACGCGTCACTCAAACCACAAACTCCACCGATAGACGACACGAGCTCTCTGTGAGTGGTGCTGCAGTTCCAACAGAGGAAAGAACGAATAGAACAAGAGCAGTAGCCTACAGCTCCCAAGCAGGCCTCCAGGTTGCCTCCGTTGCAGCATCGAACCGTGGACTGTCGAATATACCAACAGCGACTATTCGCGCGACCTCTAATCGTGCTCTTCTTGGCAGTGGCTCGAGAGCTGCTCTGTCATCTACGGCATCCTCATGTTCTGGCGATTCTACTCGCCGACCTATTGAAGGAGACTGTAGCATCTGCTTTGAGTCCCTGAAAAAGGCTCACCCTGGAGCTAGGCATGGCGCTCACCATGATACGGAAGACGAGGAAGAACAGCAGGAAATATCCTGGTGCAAAGCCCAATGTGGAGTCAACTACCACGCGACCTGCATTGAATCGTGGCTGAAAGTCTCCCCTAAGTCTACATGTCCGACGTGTCGGAGAGCATGGAAGGCTTAGGGTTATATTGTCTTGTTTCAGTTTGTACAGCATGTGCGTTTAGGGTTTAGTCTGGTAGACTAAGCTCAAGATACCCGATCTCGAATACCCCGAACAGAGCGTTCGAAAGTTTGATAGCATTTTGTTTTATTTTTATTGTTATTTATATTCTTTTAACATAATTCTTGGCGTAGAACACGGATATTTAAGGCGATAATGCTAGGTATGATTTATACGCAGTGATCAATAACAACACTGAGAGTCCTTCTACTCGTTCCAAATAACCTTTTGAACTGTTTTATCGAGTAGTCTGTAACTGTTCCAGTCGTACACGTAGTAAAAAGTACCACCCCAAATGGAAAAACATGTGGTCAAGTGTTTATAAACTGTAAAGCGAGCAAGTACCAACTTCTTCCTCGTTCCTGCCTCATACTCCCATATTTTACACCTACTCGGTGGTACCTGTTATTTCATTTTCACCCACTTCAGCCTTGTGCTCTTTGGCAAGTTCCCTTTCACCCTTTCCATCAAATCACGGCTGCATCCTCAGTGCAGTGGCTGACGTCTCCAGATCGATTTATGGGGCGCTTCAATTGTACAGAGTAAATTATGGGCGGGGTCAACGAAGGATTGAATCATAGTCAGGCAGAATTGCAGGTATCCATCAGGCATGGAATGCACTCCTCTTTATTTCCATCGAGTGGCCCAGACCATTACGAGACCTCAGCCTTGCATAAAAAGAGGGGTTTTAGCTTATGGAAAATTTGCCTAGTCAGCCTCGGTCCCTTTGTCGATGTCCCGGGCACATTTTCACAAGTTACAGGGGGTTTGCAGTTAGCCTCGGCTTGAGGCAGGGAGATATAAGTGGAAATGCCGCTGTGAAGTATTTATCATAAAAGCGGTCATTTTCTGCATGTTGTTCCACAAAGCCTCTGATTCCTTAAGCGATGATTTGGAACAGGAACAGAAAAGGCAGGTATATAATAAAACAATAGACGCATGTAAATGAGTGGTTGTATCTAAATCCACAGGTGGATTCGTTCAGCATCCCCACCACCAAATCAAGCGTGACCGATGGCTTCAACCGCAATTGCCTTGGAAGATTAGATATAAACCTGGTTTCGGAAAAGGTCTATGGTGTGTACAGACATTCTGTCAATTACTTCCGGTAGTTTAGTCTACAACAGTGCCTTCACCACCAGGCAGGCTCTGCATACCCACGCATGATGCGAGGTTCCATGTCATTGATGGATAGAATTTATACATAAACGCGCTCTATTCAGAAATGGGGTGGGGATGTTGGGAACTGCAAGTCAAAAATTAACATTCAGCATTTTGCTGCACACTTCGATGAAGAAAGCCGAAGCTTTCAACGTAGCTGTCCTTGTCTATGATTACTGGGTCAATTATTAACATAGAAACGAAGTGATTCCGTTCCTAGATTCAAGAAGCGGACAGATCATCCTCGATTGTCAGCCAGCTTCGTCTGGACCCGTCATATTTTGCTGCGAACAGGCGCTGTGAATTTGTGCGTCGGAGATTGATTATGTTTTCTCATGCTACGATCGTGACGTTGGAGGATCTTCTGGGGTGATCGGTTTGGCCCAGCCCCTTGAAGGATATATCGTCAATTTTACTGGTTACTAGCTAGTCCCTTTTTAACTATACGTGTAGCCTGCACGGAGCCAGTGGCTACAATTTGTGCTAGGCAGCGTTCGACCATCAAGGGACATACTAAAACGGTACTGTTGCTTTAAGATGTGCAATAAATTTTGCTGAAGGGCTGGCGGCCGCGCTGCTCGCCTTCAGAGGAGGAACGAAAATGATAGATCACTCGAACATGGAAATCAGCCGACATGGTATGAGAGGTGCCCTTGATCGACACTGCATATGATGTACTCTTTTTTCTAATGAGCAAAGCTCGCAGCGTGTACCATGCGACCCCATCGAATGAATATGAGCTGGCTGAACAGCTGAAGCAATGGCTCTAAATACACTGTAGTCTATTGTCAACGCTATTGAAAATAGTCACCAATGCATCTCTATGTTGCATGCAAAGAAGAGTGCCAATAATTTTGGGCCCACTTTCAGATCAGTTATGAATTCTGAATAAACGAATCATGTCCCAGCTAACAAGATCTGGGCTATTATGGTATTTCATATGTCTCAAAAATTAATTCAATTTTACGCCACTATCGCGGGACTATCGAGATCGTCATGTCGATTATTTGCAAAACATTCGCAAAACAAGAACAGGGGAGTATACTTCCAATATGCTCTTGTAATAATTAAAAAGAGGTAGACCTTTTTCCGATCAATGATATAAAAGAGGGTTGTAGCTAACTCTTTTCATAGTCTATCCTCCCGTTCGTTTCATTTGATTTCCTACATTCCAATCTTCGAGGATTGAGGCACCTAAATAACTTGTTTCCTATCCTTTTAAGACGAGATGCGTTTCCATGTCTTGCCATTCATAGCTGCTATCTCTTTAGGTACTACAGCTGCAGCAGCTTGCAAGAGTGGCTTCTTCAACGACGTGAATGTCCCAACGGCCATGATACCGCAAGAATGCAGAAAGGGCGCGGAACTTTACGTCAATGAAGTAGATAAATTTTACTGTTGGGCCATGGACAACTTCTGCAGTAAAGGGTTTGTCGTGACATACCCAATGATTTCCTTTTATATCGAACCCCTCCTATGGAACAAAAAATACGGACTATTTCCATATTTGTAGTCAAATCTAGGGGATATGCCTTTAAGATTTCTCGAGGCAAGGAATATATACGATGACATAATGAAAAATTGTGTGACAAACAATGCAGCGATTATGGAACACCCCAACCTCTGCAGTGTTATGGACGGTGATAAAGTGCTGACCAAGTTGGCGAATGGGTGCATCATTCCTAGGCTCGTTCCACAGCTGATGCTTAAAGTACCACAGTTCATCGACTGGTCCAAATCACACTGCTACAAAGTGGAAGATATAGTTAAAAAGACTCTGGTGCGTACAAAGAGTACGCAGCTAATTTAGCCCATGATCCCTTCCCATGGCCAGAAATTAGCCATTGATACCTACTTTCTTATTAAGATACTATGCTAATACAAATAACCAGCTGGCAAAACCCCAAAGAGTTTTTTCAACCCATATAAGGTCGTGAATGGCTTTGCTAAGAAGGTATGTGCCCTAACCATCCAATCTTCACACACCTTTCAGCCCTTTCCCCTGCTCGTCACTCGCTAACTATATAAACAAAAAGGAGTATGGGGTGAAAGCAGATCCTAAGATAGGTTATTATCCAAAGGTCCTCCCATAGTTATTGGGACTGCAGCAAACGTGCAGCAACCGGTTATTACATATTGTATCGCCAGATGTCTTCTTCCTTTCATTTTTCTTCTTTTATTGCTTCTTCAACTTAGGTTTTTCATTCTATTTTGCCTCGTCCATTTGATTATATGTCTGGATATGAGAAATACAGACAATGGTGACTTTTATAAACTCGAACTATTGGCATTTTAGGTGAATCTGCAAATAATCGGCTCCTTTGATTTAACCATATTGCTAGTTTGAATATTATGCACCAGAAAATCTCGCCGTTGATAGAACTGCTCTAGAACCCCAAAAACGAGAAGATTCTCAAAGATGATTGGAGCTATATCAGTATGGCAGCTAATCGCAAAGGCAATACAGTTCAATTTAAACGCTCGACATACTGCTACACGTAGGCTTTCACCGAGTCATGCATGGTCTTTACTTCTCTTCTAAGTAGCTAGCGACAAGCTTGCTCACATAGATTACTCAATGCTTAATCAAACAAAAATTCCTTTCAAGCAGAAAGCTCAGCAGCGCGTGGTTTAACAAGTTCAATCCCACATTATCTATCGCAACCCATGAACAGCGGTGAAAGTAGGGACACAGTACAACAACAATAACAACAGAACAACAAGAGTAAAAACAAAGCTGTTAGTCCATATTGACGTATATCATTTCATGATGAACCGTCACAGCCCCACTGTGAGTATTGCTGTACGGAGAGCGTAAACCCACGGGCATCCTGCTCCTGCGATACAATCCTGGAATTATTGCCACGTCTGATAGCCCTTCGGAATGGAGACACCCCGTAGTGTTGCTTTGGATCATTCAGCGAGATCCAGCCCTTCTGCCGGTCGACCATTGCGTTCATTACCAACTCGTTCCATACCTGATCTGCGGGAGTGAAAGGACAATCAAACCTCCACTCCACTCGAATTTGCACGTCGTGTTTCTCGGGTAAGACATCTGCCTCTATTGATGGAGTGTGAAAGACTACCTCGACAGACCCACCATAGCCGATCCCGCGTGCCAGCCTCTCTATATGAGCTTTCATCGCAGCGCAATCGTCATCGGGAAAAGAAACTAGTTTAGAAAGCGTCCAGCTGAAACTTGGGGTTCTATTAGCATAGTAATAGATATTGGGCTAAGAAAGCATACGATCGCCCGTCCGTACTACCACCCAGCCGATCATTAAGCCAGCCATCCAATATCTCCTCGAAGTTGCAGTTGTCCTGGTTGGCGGAGTAATTCCAGGACTGGCAATCGCTTTCACTATTCATCAGGAACTTCCCAGATCTGATTCCTGCTATTTTCGAACAGTCAATCCAGAGATCGAAATCAATCACTTTGATCTGCTCATTCGAAAAATGTGTCCCGAGGATTTGTAAAGATGCTTTTGGTGGAGAGTTAAGCTGCTCCGTCAGAGAAGATTTCGGGGGATCTAATGTGGGAGTCATGTTTTCGTGGTCGGTTCGGATCGAAGGAATTGACAGGTAGGGTTCTGAGAATATTCCCAGATGATTATTTATTGAGCCGAAGCTTAGTCAGTTCAGTTCGCGTCCTGCTGCATCGGTGAATGACAGGCGATTTACAGTATTTGAATAGTGTATGTTATGTTGATGTAGGCCTGGAATGAGGGTTCTTCTAGCCGCCAAGGATAGGTTCCTAGGCTTAAATAGCCGAAAAGAAGGAATAAGAGCTTGATGATGATGATCACAAAATAGGGCCTCAACGTTTAACACACCTTTATCTAACGGGAAGGACTCGATTTACCACTAATGAATCTATAAACCTTCCTTCCTACTATTTTTCTTTTTCTCCCTTGAACTCACCCCTGATGTCCTGGAGGCAACAATTGGGGACTGTCGGTGTCTCGAGAAATACTTGTCGCATCACTCTCCTCGACCAAAAACCAAAATAAATACCTCGCAACATCTAGAACGTGTCTCGTAATACTGCTCAGCCTATTAGTATATGGATGAACTCATGGAGGACTAGGAAGCAAGCTTCCATGAGGGCAAGGCTGGCCAATTCGCCGATATGAATCGACCGTCCAAACAGTATCATATGATTGGGACTAGGGTCTCAATCCTTTGACTGGTTGATCGACACCAACTGTCTGGCTTATGCAGGGTTTATCTTAGCAGGTACCCACTTAGCCAAAGACGAGCGATAGCGGAGGGCCTTAGCCCTGTCCTAGCCTATATCCACACACCAACCATGCCCTCGGCTAATGTGAATCCTTACTGAGACTGAAATTGGGATCGGCATATAGAGTAGTCGGTATAGCATGGTAGGGTTACATCGGGCCAATTCTACGAAATGGCGCTTAACTATATGATTAGTTTCCTGCAAGTTGACTGCGGCAACGACGGATCGGATTAGACCTACATTAGACCGGCACGGGCCGGGCGCGAAGCTCAGGCTCTGAGAATACAGGGAGATGTCATAAGTACATCTCCCATCATAGGATTAATGACAATAACACGGTAGGGGCTTCGTCCTCGCCGGCTGGTGCAGGCATCCAGGACTATGCTGTAATTCCTTGATTTCTGCGTTTCTACTGTATTCCTTGTCCTTTCCCCCTTTTTGCTCATGTTTTTATTTTTATTTTTATTTTTTTTTTTCCATTTCTAAAATACTATGACAGCGGGCTAATTGATATCGAGCAGGCCACAGGATGCAAGAATAAGAAACAGACATCATTGGCATATTCTCCTGTAGAAGGAGCAATGATATAAAGAATCAAGCAGCAGAGAGTCAGGATCCCACAGCTACCATAGCAGTCCCGCTCCACCTCCATAGCGTCGAAACTTATACCGGAACTTTTTCATCGGTGTGAAGATTGACAGACTTTATTGACCCAGGTGTTGAAGGGGCAATTGCACGACGGCGTCGCTTTTCAAGGCTCCTTGCAATCTGCAGGAGTGCGATAACCACGACAAAAAATAGGGCCAACTGATATGGGCAATGTCCTCGAAAGCTGTCGGCCAAAGCCCCTCCTAGTGCGGAAGGCGGTCCAGCACCCACCTGGCGTAAGAACTCGCCATGAGGCTTGTACGATTGGAGATGCGTGATATCGGAGTGTGTCGGATGGGCATTATTCGCCCTTTGCCGCGGACTGTCGTCTATTTCACGGTGATATACAGGGACTTGGCCATTGTTACCCGGAATAGGTGGATGGTACTGTGCATCCTGCCCAGGCTGGTAGTTTTCATTGTGTTCTTCGAGCCATCGCTCATAGTCGGTCTGCGGTCTCTGTAACGACCGTGACCGTTTGCCGAGAGCCATTTTGACTGACACTGTCAGTGCCCCGATAGGTCTGTGCTTTCTGCTGCCACTGTTAGTCTTGTTATGTAACCGGGGCTTTAGTACATACTGGTGTCTAGTTATGTATATATCGAAGGTATCGCAGCTCTGTTCCATCAGGGGATGGCAAGTATAGATGATATATAATCCGCCATTGAGCATACCCTAGCTCGGGCGACAGGGTAAGGTATCTATTGTGCCAGGAGTTGCTCGCGCAGGCGATCAAGAGAGCTGGAACAGCCGGGATAGGTTAGTTTTGCTGGTGGAGGGCTGGGTGGGCAGTTAAATTAGTTCGGAGACGGGCTATGGAGCTCAGCGCTAACTAATATGGTGACTTTCGCGGATGATGCGGAGTTTCATCTTAGCGCTGTGTACTTTGTTCCTGTTAGGGCTTGATACAGGCTAGGATCAAAATTTCCAAACAAGGGTTCGCCCCAACCCTGATGGGGTTAATAATAAGAGGCGCCTATATTTAGACACTACACATTCTTTGGCGTCATAGTCTGAGGAGGAATCAGGGAACAATTTCTACCGTCCAATCTCCTACTTCTCAACCCTTGTCCCCGCCCCACTCTCATTTTATCGTATTAAAAGATAGATACAACGCTGAAATAACCCCAGTATGAAGTTACATTCTGTGGAGGCCTGCGTCAGAGCGCCTAATCATCTGTCTAACTATTTATTTCCCACCAAGTATAATCTCACATGATCATGTCTTGCCAGCTGCCTAAGTCTATCCTGGCCAAATTTCAAGACCACAGATCAAGCTTTTGCGAGGCTTTGATTGACATTTACAACAGCACTCGGGATGCATTACGACACAGTTCGTGGACATCTGGACTGATCAATACTAGAAAAGGCGAACTAGCCACAGGAAATGACGTGGGAAATAACATCTTCGATAGAGTTTAGAAGCTGACATGTGTCAGTTTTACATTCTTCTACTGTCCTCAACACATGTATCCTCATGTCGTGGGTAACTTGGCTTGGTGACATGTCCAACAGTCGCTACAATCCGAGCGCGGTATATCTCAACGCGAGTCTCCACGATTTTTACCTATTCCCAAAATTCTCAGATAGTAGAATAGCACCCACTCGGCGGCCCCCTCTTCGAAATGCCATGGCCAACTTTATAATGGCAACAGCAAGGACGATGGACAGCAATAAACTGCATATGATCGAATAATTACCGAGACGATGGAGTCGACTTGTGGAGGATGCAATAGGCATGTTGTGCTGCCCTATAAAGTGGCCATGATGCGTCGGTTCTTGATGACCATTCAGCATTGACTTCTCCCCATCTTTGTTTGTTCCACTATCATCAAGGTCGTTGGTGCCTTCCATGTTTGGTCCGTAAAATGGATGATCCGCAGGCTTGAAGTCCTCGTCTTGCTCGCGAAGCCATCGTTCGTAGTCGGTTTCAGGTCTCTGCAGCCCCTTTGGCTGTTGTGGGCCATTCCCCATTCCGTTCGAACCTGCTCATGGGGTAGACAGTGATCAGTATAGGGTAGGTGTGTAGAGTGGTCTGAGTACCTGCCTCGTACAGCAAAAAGCTAAGTTGATGGCCAGGATCTACGGAAAGTATCTCAAAATGACATGAAACGCGCCGCTCCCATGCGATATTTGTACACAGTAGCTTGTGAACGGATCGTGGGGCTTTCGGCCGGGGATTGACCCGCTTAGCATGCTTACTATGGGTCGAACCTCACGAGTCGGTGTTGGCGCCGGGGAAACCGATGGGGCCAACCCCTGGTCGTTCCCCAATTGACTTAGAAACCGCTTGCTCAAAGCCAGGGTCTAATCCTTGCTAAATCCGAAGCTGTGTCGTTTCTTGGCAGCCCTAAAGCTCGAAACAGCATAGGTTACCATGTCCACCCTGTATGTCTTGAAGCCATGATGATGCCCAGCGGCTACTGCAGCAATTGATTCGCTTAAAGCAAAGGCCCCGTGGGCCTCGCCTCGTTCCATACCCTGGTAGATTACAGCGCTAGATCTGGGTCCCATCGAAAATAATTCATAATTCATATTTCCCCGCTTCTTCCTCGCAAAGGGGGTGCCTGGGTACTGGGATCACGGTTGCCCCTTGGCCTATATTTACGGCTCAGGTGAAGGTTCCGCATACAGCACGATTAAAGACTTACTAATGCTCCACTACGGTAGTTATAACTTTAGAGTAAGATGTCTGAAGGCTATTCTCTACGGCGGGAGAAGTCCTGCAGGGACTATGAAACGGACTGCGGCAAAACCTGGGATGATTTCGTTGCCTGTTGCCCCTCCGATTCATTTTGCCTGGTTGGGGAGAATACATGCCGGAAATCGCACGTTGGAAATGTCCCGGAGCAATGCGCGAACGGTACTTGGAACCTCTTCCACGCGATTGACTTTTTTTGCTGTGACCAAGGAGAATTCGCTATCAAGACAGTGAAAACCGGAAACAACGTTCCAGATGGATACGTCGGCTGTGTAATGTCTGATTATCCCTCGAAGGATTGGCTAAGCACCTTAACAGTGATGAGGTCTGGAACAGGTATGATTGCATTGCTCCATTCTATCTTTTCGCGGTGAATCCTATTCCCCATTAGCTTTGGCCACTAAGAGACGGATAGTTTCTTCGACTCCCACATTTTCGGCCACTCTATCCTCTTTCTCGACCGTTTCAACTAGCTCAAGTACCTCAACTACACATACCGCAGAGCCCACAACATCCCACACCCCTGAGCCCTCTCCACCATCATTCAGCACGAATACCGGCGCCATTGCAGGAGGTGTTGTTGGTGGGGTAGCCGGAGCAGCCATCCTCGCTGCCTTGGTTTGGTTTCTCGCACGTCGCAGCAAGGCGGAGAACATGGTGTCTCCGACAGGTGTCCACAGCGCTTCGGGTATGCGGACAGTCGACCATGCATCCAAGATCCAGAGGCACACAGTTCAGGAACTTGACGCTGCGCCACCAGTCTATGAACTACCTGATGGCTCCGGCGATCGACAATAATGGATGCTTTCTAGAGTATCGGCTCTGTACCTCCTTTGTCATAACCAGGTTGTGCGACACTTGTATCTATACCACTGTTTATATTTCGAACATGCAGCTTCTCAACGAGCTAAGTATTCATGTACATACCTAAAAGTCCACGATTATACAGAAGGTTTTTCAACTCACGGATTCGACCTATCCTCAAGCATCTGGTCTGAAACCAGGCGAGATATCCTTCGCCAGGTGGGATTACAGCGTCTGCATTATCCGGATTAGCTAGTTGCATTTTAAGAAATAATACTTATTATAATCATGTTGACCATATCGGGAACTTCCGTCTTTGGCACTTGCTCACCGTGTGTATTGCACGGCAAAACTAGAAGCCAGCTTCCGCGAAGCAGCAGGTGCCGTGTATACTTTTGGGACTGTTCATGGAATGGAAATACTACGGTTGCTGCCGACTTGCTTTCCCTGTGTAAATCCATGAGTTGACTTTCTGGGCGGAAGGAATAAGTGAAGACAATTCTGATAAATCCCGGCATTTTCATTAGCATATTATTCATCAGATTGAGCTTTGGACAAACATACATCATCCAGTGAGGATCCAATGCGCTCTTTATCAGTCGCTATGAGACAGAGAACTCTTGTCATATACAGAGCAGAATAAGTTTACGGGGCGCAGATTGCTGCTTACCGTAAGAGTGATTGTATCACAACACCAGCAGGGAAGATAAAGACTCTTTGCGTGCCGACAGACAGAAGCTCTTGTTCTTTCTCGTCTTCGGTGAACTTGAATCTGCCAGGCTCATGGGCACGTACAATGCTACGCTCGTTGTCGATATTATCTCCAGCTGATGCCTTCGTTCCGGAAGATTTCACAAAAGGAGTGGGTGTTTCTTGTCAGATGCGTGGGCGAGTTGCACCTCCTTGATTGACAATCCGGATGAAGCCCATATGCATCAGCTTGAGGACAGCCACCGGTATACTACTTCGGATGGCATCGGCAGCCGCCGCAACGCGGTCCAGAAATCGTTGAATGACACTACCGCAACGGAGTGCTGCTTTGGACGGACTGCAAGCTTGATTATCGTCTCTGTCACGGTACCAGTCGTGCCCTCGGACACTCCAATTATGCCGTTCAGGTTATACAGCATTACCGGGGGCATCGCCGAGTTTGGAGAATGGAGGCATCTGCTAGCAAAGCAGCCAGGTTGGTAACCTAATCCCTCATGGTTCCGTAGCGAACAGCGTTGGTTCTGGAGAAATTGGTGCATCATGCTACCTATTTTTGTGGTGGTTGCTTCATCTGGCACGGAGGATCGAGTACTCACAAGCTGGGATTCTGCGCGAAAAACAGTATCCACACATTCAGCTGGGAACTATGACCATGCGAAAATCATACTCAGCTGGCGAGGATCATTGTCAGAAGGGGCTAGTCGTAGATGTTCGTCGAGGATACCGCAGTTATCTGGGTAGCATTCCTGTCGGCGATATTGGCCGTAGTTAAGACTTATATACGGAGTACCTACCCTCTTCAAACCATAGCTGAGCTTTTATTTCTCATAAAATATTAGAGAAAGCACTGTTGCTCAGTCTTATCTTGAAATCTCCCGGCGGCAACGCGACAACCAACCACAATGGGCGAAGGCGATGGTATGATAACCCATCTATTTGCTTAATTCGTTTTTACTAACGAATAGCTTTTTATTCGATAGTTACTCTTACCCTGCAAAAGTATGACCTCAAGTCTAGAGGTGCCACTCCCACAGCAAGGGCCATAGCTCCGAAGGAATTCCAAGAGGCTGCACTACAGCATCTGCGATGGTACTTGGTCCACAACAAGCGGCTGCCAAAAGAATAGTAGGTAGTTCCCTGCACACTCGAATTACTATACACATTGTCTAACTCTTTCAATTATAGCGTGAACCAGAAGTTCTGTGATAAAGAGGGTGCCAATATCCCGGACGACACAAACTTTGACGTTTATACCAAGCTCAACAAGGAGTCGGAGGAGGTAAGCCTTGTTCCGTGACTGTTACCAAATCAGGGGGCTGAGAAATTTAGGATTCGTTCAACGTTTACTTCATAGCGCTGGGCGAGCAACAATCGATCTGAACAGGGATAAACGCTGACACAGCTGTCTTTCTGAAGGAAGGGCTCGTTCTCAAAACTGTACACGATCCTAATCAGCAACCCCTTGATCATTTTGTTCATATCAATATAGTCCCTGAACATGCCCTTTCTGAACCGATCTCTGAACAAGCTTACACCGTCCATCAGAAAGGATGAGTAGAAGGCTTCCACTAGCACGGCAACCACGTAAGTGGATCTCTCGATCTCTCACGGTTATCCCGCTCGTCTAACCGATAGGTACAGTCATGCCGCAGATATGAATGGGCACCAATGGGGTATTGTGATGAGAAACAACGATCTGCTCAACGGCAAATTCTTTGAAGGGGGTGATACTGATGATAAAAGGGCTGTTCTGACCAACATCCATCGAGCCAGATATACCGGTGGGACAATATCTCTTTGATGAAGGATATACAATATAGCTACGGATCTAACCATTTATCTTGAGCAGCATTTGCCCTCAAGGAAAGAACCATTCCTCACTACAGCATCACTTTCGAGGTTAGGAAACCAGTCCCTTCCCAGTTGACAAAGCCTGAAGTAAGCTGCGGTCACTTGGCAGCAGGACTTAATCGGTACATCAAGGCTAATCATTCTAGGTCAAATTCCGTATCCCACGTTTTCAGATCTGCGATAGCTCCAGCGTCGCAGTGTTTGAGACTAAGAGTTCAATCGCTGACTCAATGGCGTCGAATGGGTTCAGTCAGACCACTGTCGAAGCCGCTGCGTGAGTAGAAGAAGTCTTGACTATTGTTTAAGTGCAAGAGCTAATTCGACGCCCGGAATAGAGGTGGCGGAGCATTCGGTGTGAGCGTGGGAGTAAAAGCTGGTGCCACGACGTCTGAATCTAGCTCTTATGCACAGTCATCTGCCAGCGTTGAAAGCCTTCTGCATGTGGTTTACTTGGTCCGATTCTACCTAATCTGTCTAAAGGAATGGGATATCTAACTGGCTCTTTAGTTTCCCCGAGTCGAGCTTTTCTTCGATGTCGATGATCTCGAATTGACCGAGGAATGCCAGCACTACTTGGAGAAAGTGCGAAACCCAGCAGCGAAGAAGGAAGACGCGGATACTTTCTTCCAGAAGTTCGGTTAGCCATCCAATCTCCTCTTCCTTGCCAGAGATACGAACACAGCTTATAAATTCTAGGCCATGTTTTTGTCCCCCATATGCAATTAGGTGGTCGGCTTCACTCCAAGGAGTCGACTAGTAGTATCGCCGGAGCGACTACTGCAGAGAAGGCATCCACTCTCAAGGCAGCGGCGAGTGCCTATGTCTCGGGATACGGATTCCAGGCTTCTGTGAGTGCCAGCCATGAGACGGCGAGTAACTCAAAAACAGAAAAGTCTCGTAGTAGCTCAAATCATTCCATCAAATGGCATGCCGATGGAGGAGATACTTTGCTGTGCAACAAGTGAGTACTCTCTTCATATCCCTAACCCAATCTGAGAGCAAACTTTGATACTGAGAAAGCTTCCTGCACAGTCCCCCTGCCTGGTGCCCCACTGTTAACTCATTCTACAATAGGCGGGTGATGAATGTAAGTCTGTCATAATGGATATAAAAATACACGGCGTGAGAGGAAAGTCTCTAATCCTGATAGCAAAATTGGCATGATCGATATCGTCAAGCTTATTGGCAAAATGGATGGCTGGCATGACATCCCTCGGCAATTTGAGGAGATCTACTTTGGTACTGTCCAATTCAAGGTCTTAAAATGCGAATCCGGCTTCAACGTACCATCATACCTGGGAATGGTGGGAAATTGTCAGTGATTGAATTCAGTCTTACCATGGCAAACTAACAAGCGTTACAGCGGAGCTTCTTGAGCGCCCCTAGGCTGGAGGGGGGAGCTTTTCGAGACGCGCCACGCGCTAAGTGCTGAGCAAATCACACACTTGCGCAGAGCATATACCTAGCAGTTTCGAGGTTATTGCACTCAAGCACTACCTGGTGTGGGAAGGTGACGATGGAACCACACCCAGGGTAAGAAAGAACTTGCTTGGCGGCCACTATCCAGCAAGAAAGGAAAGGAACATAGGAAAACTGACACGCTCATAGTTCAAATATGGAACCTTCTATCCACTGCGCTTCTGCGCCCGGGACGGACAGATACAGGAAAAAGTTTACTATACCGTTCGGCCGACGACGGGAGCAGAGCACTATCAGAATGAGAATGTCTTATATGCCGGCTTGGATGAAGAGCCGAATGTGCTGGTGAGGTTCTGCAGGCTATACCAAAAAAATGGTCAACTCCCTTGGCTGCAAGATTTCAAGTCTTTCGAAGTAGCGCAGAGAATTGGCACGCACGACATGGTTCAGATGGACTTCTATGATCTTCAGACTAAAGAGTATGTCGGCTGGTTGCAAAATAATGGGGGGATTGCAAAGCTGAGGGCGTACGAGACGAAGCAGGTCACCGATCAAAGCATGTTGAGGTTTATGTATGTCTAGGAGGGTTTTCATCGGTTCAGGCCCTCAATCCAACTGACCAGAATCTTCTCTTCTCTCATATGGGCTCTGAAAAGACGAGGCGATGTGCGAGGCAGCTCTCTGAGTTAGGGTATCACGTGTGTTGTTGTTGTGCAGGCTTGCCTCGGCAGATGTGGTGGCTCAGAGTGATATGAGATAGCAAAATACAAGGGCCGGTGTATCCAAAAGGGCTGGAGATTCTTTTTGTTCCAGGGTCTAGAAGAGGGCGTTACTTATTACCCTAGCTCGTAGAGGACCATATACCGAGGTGATATAAGCGTAACCAGGGCTACATGGTTCCATTCAATGAGGTAACCAACCTGGAGGAACAGGCAGCCATCATGACTAAGCTCAGGCCTCACCTCGAGGTATAAAAGAACGGCCATCCCTCATGCAACTCTCCATCCGTTCGATAACCAGCACGTAACCATGGCATCTGCTAAGAGTGAACTCTCTCAAACGCTGCAGGACATTACGCATGCCAAGCTGGGCGAGCTTTCCAGAAAGCAAGAGATCTTCCTCGGCCATAAGGCCACGACCCTACAGACCGCGCAGGCGTTAGACTCTCCCATCGACAGACTGTCAGCTTTATCTGATGGTCTCAAGACGTGCTTCGGCATCCGGGTGGCGGACGGCCAGATGGTCCGTGGGCTTAGCAGCAGCCATGAGCGCCTGGAGATTACGCTTGCAAATATAGATCGGTTTCTCAAACAGGTTCAATATGACCCCTCTATCTCACCATCTACGATCGAACGATGGCAACAGTCTCTACTCAGCAATCTTGATATGCAAACCCGTAAATATGAGTTTGCCACGCTTTTTGGCCAGCTGACCATGGAATGGCTGTCGACTAAGAAGAACCCCCTCCCAGACGACGATGTATCCATGTCTGAAGAGCCAGAGCAGCTTCCGGGCGCTCAGAAGTTGGAATCGAGAAAACAATGGGAAGATGCCGTCTTCACGCCGCTTGAACTCGACACAAATGATATCAACCTTCTACTCGGCGAGCTCTTCCATAGCCCGTCGAAAAATGCCAAAGATGTACGAATAGCTTTTGAAGAACTCCGAAGAAAAGTGCAACGGCACGAGGAGTCATTGGCATACTCTCGTCTCATTTGTGTGAGCACACTACAATGGACGATCTCTGGCCTGATCGCGTCCGACCTTCTGACGGAAGAAAAGCGGACGGTGCTAAAAGACTTCTTGAATAACACTATTATCCTGGATGAGCTCTGCGACGTGCTGAATATGCGCATGATGGCCTTGGATGCTTGGTCCTGGGGTACAGAAGTTCCCGTAGAGCAGCGGCGCCAACTGAATGGAACTTATAACATCTACATGCACGAGGATCTGATCCAGGCCATCTTCTTGCAGTATATCGGTATTAAATGGTCTGTTTTCTTTAAGAATGCTTTTACGGAATTCAGAAAGGCTAGCGGGGTGTGGAAATCGCCGACAGATGACATCCCAGGAATTGACAAGAGCCGTCGCGAGTTCTTCCTAGATTACAAACCATCCAAGGGTGCCGTGCAAACCACACGAGAGAAAATATATCATAAGGGATACTTTGTCTCTCAGCTTATGGACTATGAAGGGCAAGACCGAAGCATGGACCAAGGGGAGGAAGAGGCCGACTTTGCACAGTTTGCCCCTGCACAACGAGCCCCAGCCCCAGCCGTGAAACGTACCATGCAGACAGCGCAAAGATCATCACGCATGATGAGACGCGCTAATGGGGTCACAACCTTCTTTGAAGAAGAAGCGGGGATTGGCGATGATGAAGATGATGATGAGGATGACAACGATACTGATGATGACGATGGGGGTGAGATTCTCAACCCGAAAAATCCAATGGATGCCAAGCAAAACCTACTGCACCTCTTAACCACTGACATTTTGATCAAGACTCGACTTGAGGGAGGGTTGACCTGCTTTCGTTCCAAATATGAATCGCTCAACCCCAATCTATCTCATACAGCTATTCATGCAGTCTTGAAAATCTTCGGTGTTTCTGAGAAATGGCTAGGGTTTTTCCAGCGCTTCTTGAAAGCACCGCTCAAGTTCATTGACGACCCTCACGCTGAGCCTCGTCAGCGTCAGCGAGGTACTCCTGGCGCCCATGTCCTCAGCGACGTGTTTGGAGAGTCCATTCTCTTCTGCCTCGACTTTATGATCAATCAGAAGACCGAGGGTGAGCTCCTCTGGCGAGTTCACGATGATTTCTGGTTCTGGTCATCAAACCATCAGACCTGTGTGACCGCATGGAATGCGATCCAAAGATTCAATAAGACAATGGGAATTACCCTAGATCCCTCTAAAACCGGTAGTGCCCATATCTTGAACAAAGACACGGCAAGCCCGACTGGCCTCGACCCAGCCTTACCTGCCGGACAAATCAGATGGGGCATGCTATATCTCAACTCCGAGTCGGGGCGTTTTGAAATCGATCAGCAAATGGTAGACAGTCATATTGTGGATTTGAACCGACAGTTAAAAGAGCAAGCCAAGAGCGTCTTTGGTTGGATTCAGGCATGGAACTCGTATGCTACAACTTTCTTCACGTCCAACTTCGGCAAGCCTGCCAACTGCTTCGGCCGTCAGCATGTTGATATGATGCTCGCCACTCATGAACGCATCCAGCGCAGAGTGTTTTCCATTGATGCAGAAGGTGGCAAAAGTGACGTGAGTGTAATCCAGTTCCTTCGGGATATAATCTGCTCACGCTTCAACGTCGCCTCTGTACCGGACGGTTACTTTTTCCTACCGATCGAGCTTGGCGGTCTGGAGCTGTCGAGCCCCTTCATCCGTCTGGTAGGCCTACGCGATTCTGTCGTCGAAGATCCGAGTATCCTATTGGATAAGTTTTTGGACGTCGAACGGGATTCTTACGCCTCGGCTAAACTGCGCTACGAGAAGCGTTTCAACAACAACCAACATATAACTGCGCATAACCAAGGGTTTATTCCGGTAGACGCACACACCTTTATGTCATTCGAGGAATACATCCGGTATCGTGAGCTACTCGGCTATGGATACATTGGCGAGCTCAAGGAGGTGTATGACACGCTTCTGCAACGCCCGATGCAGCAGCATATTGAATGTGATCCGAACGGTGCTGTCTTCCGGGAGCTGAATCAACTTTCCAGACATCAGAACCTGAGAGGAATTAAGCGTAATTGGAGAGAGATGGACGCGTATTGGAAATGGGTAGCTCAATTATATGGACAAGAGATCATCGACAGCTTTGGTGGGTTTAACATTGTAGACCCTGGGCTGTTGCCTATCGGGATGGTGAGTTTGTTCCGCAGTGGGCGGATCCAGTGGCAAGAGTGAGATTTCACATACTCAGATTGGATACATTTAGTACTATTACTGTGGACTGTACTATGTACCGCTTTTCCTCTTTCCTCCTTGTCCTGCTGTTAAGTTAATTTTTACTAGTATGAAGCACACGCCAGGGCAGCTTATCCTATGGGTTGCCCCTTCTGCGACGGATGTTGAAATCCAATACAGCGATGTTTAAATGACGCTCTTCCACTCTGCAATATCATTCAGTTATTACAATATTGATTGTAGGTATGACGGTAGTTTTGGCTATAATACTACTGTTATATTGTACACTCGCTCGGTACAGGGTTGGCTTAGTCGTCAAATCCATCTATTTGGCCCTCTTGTCAAGCCTCCCTTTCTTGCTCCCTTTTGCAACTCGAAAATTACAACTAGGCCCTTATAGTATCTCTATTAAAAGCATGCACGACTTCTGGAATAGCGTTTGTAACGGAGGGATGCAAAACTGACTGCTTGGACAATAGGCTTGATTACATCATGCTGGCGACGCTTGCCGAGATATGATACCAAGATGGCAGTATCTATCAAATTCTGATTTTGATTATTTCCGCTATGCCACTCTGACTAGCTATCTAAAGATGACCAATCCGACCGAGATGCCCCATTCGGTGTGTGAGTGGCAGACCGTTTGCCATCACTAACCCGATAGCCATGAATCGTTTCCTTCTGATCGGCGTTACGAGTCATCAACCTGAAGCATCACTCTAGTTAGCGTCACCTTCGCCTCTGAACATGTCGATACAAGCGTGAAAAGAGACAACCTACCAAAGACGAAGTGTCGTTGAGCGGGCGAGGGATGTACTTGTTCGACTGGGCGATTCCCTTCTCGGCCGCCTCCCGAGAGGCATCAGTAGAGTCCGTGATGGCCTTTGTCACTGGCTGTGTGGGCGTGACGGGCACAAAGTCCAATGAGTTGGCCGCATCTGCGGCGTTAGACGCAAGATTATCAGTAATATCTTGTTGACGCTGTGGCAGTTTAGAGGCAATGCACAATATAATGGGGGTAGAGACCTTGAGGCGGCCAGTGGACAGCTTACCGACTGAACAAGCTGTTTGACTCCTTCGATGGAGCTGCTGCTGAAGTCACTGACTTCTTTGTTTCTCTGATCCAAGATCTATGAGTTGGGTCAGCACTCCTTTTCCGTGATTGAGGAGTGGAAAATTGAAGGAAACTGACCCTCTGCTTCTGCTTTGAATCGCCGGCGCTATTATACTCCGTCTGCAAGTTATTAACCATCTCAAGCCCCTGCCTGATGAACCCATTGTGCACCTGGAGGTACATCTGCCCGATGTCCCGGAACAGGTCAAAGAAGGACCTGATACTGAGGGCGTAGCCGAAGATCATTTGCTGCTGAAACTCAGTGAAAGAAAAGTTTAGGAGGGAGGGCCCCCCAACACTTGTGGAGGCCTTGAGATAGTCCAGAAAGGGGGAGACCTGGTTATTCACGGCGTGGTCGACGAGAGTGCTGACGGCCGCGAAGAAGGCGACAAGGCGGTTGATCTGAGACTTAAGTTGCACGAGAATCTCAATCGACTTGACCAGGATGGCTTTTATTTTGTCCTTTGTCAGGTATATTAGTTAGTTGACCCGATAGATAATCTCGGATGGCATACCAGATTGATATTGGTGGCCTTGAGGCTGGCGAGCTCGCCCTGGATCTCGCCGATTTTCTGCTGCACTTCCACTAGATTCGCGCTGGCTTTCTGATACTGCACAGTAGTAGTCTCCATAACCTGTGAAGTCATCTGCAGCTTTGTCGTGGCCGCGTCGATGATTTGTTGACGAAGGGCACCCTTTTTGTCCGTGGGAGTGCTGGTCGCCTTAGTTTCTTTGACGGAAGGGGGCTAAATAGTCAGTCTACTTCCGAACAGCCTCAGGAGAGTGAGTGAGCCAAATACCGAAGATGCGGTCGCGAGGTTCTTTGAGTCAGTGTCGAGTTGCACTGCCTTGGCACTGCTAATTTGCATGTCCAGCTGCCACTGCTTGACATCCTTTGAGTCCGGACCAGGCAGAGCTGACCCATTGAGGGTTTCATTCTGTTTGATAGCTTCTTGAAGGCCATCCGTAACCTACACCACATGTCAGCTTCTGTACGCGCGCTCAAGCAAGGCAGAGCATATTTCAAGAGTGAGCGTACAATCTTTGTTTTGTTAAAAACATCGGTGAGATCCGTCGAGGGCGGATTTGACGACGGTTTGAAATTGTCCTGTGCATCCTGTAGCAGTGCTGCTAGCACTCCCAACCCGTTGTTCTGTTTGTTTGGATCTTTGTCTTTGAGTAGCTCCCAGTCGACGCCACGGTCCGGTCCACCAGAGACAAAGGACGAGACTGTCGTTACATAGTTGCGAATGGGCCCGATGATGCCGTACGCTGGGTCATTTGGATACGGCAACGTGGCGCGTGGCGTCGGCGAAGGCACACGAGTGGCTTCGGGCACGTTGGAATTGTCTACCTTGCCGTCACCTACTGAGCCACCCTTGGCGCCGCCGTTGTTGCCCTCGAAGATGTTAACACCTGCTTTCATCTTTTCCGTCATACTATAGTTCTCGATGAGAGCAGGCACAGCCAGGTTAATGGCGTTGGTCAGTGAGTCTCCTAGGTCGCTGACCAGCTGCTGCGCGACGAGATCCCAACCTGAGGGAAACTCATCAGCCGCCTTCTTGTACGCGCTGGTGGCCATTTGGAGGCTGTTCTGGAGGGTGTCCAAGCTCTTTTTGGCCACCTTCCTGGCTTCCTTGGTGCTGGCCAGACGCATCTGCGCGGCAGCCAGCTGGACCTGATTCGCTGTGCGCTTCTCGGACGCGTTAGTGGAGGTTTGCACCACGCAGGCGTGCAGCTCGCAGACCACATCAAGCCACATCTGGAACGCTTGCTCCATCTCTCTGGCCCTGTCCTCGGAGGCTTTCGCAACCTCGGTGAGGGTTTTCATGGCGGGCATTAGCTGACTCTCGACCAAGTTTGCATCTCCCATCGCAGCAATGATTTCGTTGACCTGAAAGGTCAGTTAGTAGGATGGACATATAAAGTAGAGGTGGGAGGTGGAGAGCACCGTCTGTTTGATAGGGCCGGTATTGAGGACGATGGCGTCAAACGAGTTGGACGCGGTGCTAAACGCCTTTGCTCCAGTGTCCGAGCATTGCACAAGGCACGCATTCAGGGAGACGTCGGAGTCAAAGTTTGCCAAGTACTTGAAGCCACCCTTGGGCGCGATGATGGTGATATCCGTGGCATCAGGGATGGTGGATGCGACAAACAGCGACCCAAGCAGCGACACTGAGATAGGGGCAGCCGAGAGTAGGTCACTCCAGTTGAAGCCTGGTTGGAAAAGCAGGGAGTTCTTGACATCCTCGATGTACTCCTTAGTGGAAGCTTTGCGGATTTTGTTTTCGTGAATTTTCTGTAGGGCCTGCTCCTCCTCCTCCGGGGTGAGTTCGTTGGCGGTGGGCTTCTTGGAGAGGATAGCCATGATATACAGATATCAGTATCGGTTTATGGGCATAGATAAAAATATAGATATTGAGTTGAACGTAAGGATATGGAGCAGAAAGGCGAAATGGTCTCATATATATAGCTAAACAAGTAAAGGAACTGTGTGGATGGGATCTACTACTTCGACCGACCAACCGCAACGAGGCTGCCTTGGCTGCATCAATTCGGGTCTATCGTACAATCCAGTCAGAAGTCTTGTACATACACCTATATGAGCAAGCTCCAATCAGATCTATCCCAGACCCTGCAAGGCCGGTCGCACCCGTTGACCGATTTCAGCAATGCCCCCGAATAGGTTCATGGATGTACCGCTTGCTGCCCACGGAGTCCATCCGTATGGAATTGATCTTCCCCACCTCCCCTCGCTCTGAAAGTACGAAGCATGATCTACTTAGGACTATGCGGACGTAGAGGCTAGTCAACACCACCCCTCAGCCAGCCATAAGGAGGGTTTATGTGCAAGGGGCTGATATTCGTACATCTGTATGGACTTACATCTGTATGCACTGACAGCAAATCACTTCTCAGGCAGCCATGATGGCGAGTTTTATGCAATCTTCCATACTAAAGTGGGGAGCTAAGGTTCACGTATTATGTATGCACTGACAACACAGCACCCTACAGCCTGCCATTATGAGGGATTTTGTTCGACGTTCTATCGTGGAGGGGAGAGCTGACCTGGAATGGCAAATAAATGAAGTGTCCACCATTTGCCATGAAAAGGATCCATAGACCTTTGACCCTATCCTACCTTTCTCTGTCCCCCCCAATCCAATCTTATTCCCCCTGCTCTCACACATTCAACCATGACCGAAAATGAAGGCCAGCAGATTCAGGACTTGACATCCCAATTCTCCTCGCTGCAGTCCAAGTTCCAAGGCCTCCAAGACCTTGCGAACCGCCAGCTCGTCAAGCGATATGGTGAGCTGGATACCCAGATAGGAGCTGCCCTGGCGGCCACCTTGTCACTGGCCCGTTTGCTGAGCGGTGACTTCGATCCTCACAAGCCGCCAACAGCGCTAGCCTCGACCGTGCAGACAATGACATCCCAGTGGACTCACGCAAAGGATACTGCCACGCAGGGCTATGATGAGGTCTGCTCGTACTCTAGACAGGTACTCTATGTTCCGACCTCCCACTAAACGCAAAACTAACCCTCGATGTCACTCTAGATTGTCCAATTACACGATGCTGAACTTGGTAAATGGACAGAGCGTCTCAATACAGTGAAGGATAAACTGCAAGCAAAGCTCTCGTCAACCCATGATGCTCTCCGTACGAGCAGGGCCACGATGCAACAACTGGTCGAAAAAAATGAGAAAGTAACCGAGTCGGCCAGGATCCTTGAGAAGAAGCTGTACGAACAGAAACACAAGTATGATGAGGCTGACAAAGTATGATCCTTCCTCCATTTAGTATTCTAGATTCTCATCCTGTCAGTGGACGTGGCTATACCCTCCCGCACGCCTCGCCCTGGAGGCTCTCAAACCTATCATCGAGGCCATCACACACGATCTCGAGGGCGCTCAAACTGCAATGATGACTGCATCCAGAGAGCTCCAACAGGCACAGTCTCAGATTCAAACCCAGGAGGAAGAGGTCACACGTCTCGGTAATCTTGCAACCAATCAAGCTAGCCTAATTTCTAAAGGAACGGCACTTATGGGGCATTGTGACCAACTGGTGAAGGCGGTTGAACAGATGGAGAAGGAAGTTGCGCAGCACAAGAATGACTGCTCCGAGGCCTGTACGGAGAGTTCTCAGTGCTTCAATCGTGCCCAGATAGCCAACTATGCACTCACCAAGGCAGACTATGCCACCGCAATCCTGAAAATTGCGAATGTTTCGGCCAATGACCCTATCGCCCACGCTGTCTTGACTGAAATCGTTAACGAACTAGGCGATCATGATGACAAGAATGGTAGTGTCCGCCAGATTAAAACTGATGACAATCTGCACAGCCTATTGAACTACGTGAAGAGCAAGCTGCAGAATCAGAATGCAGTACAGTACACTCTAATGGCAGCGCCCTCCGGCAAAGCACCAATCCGTGGTATTCCTGTGGAAGGACGCCTGAAGCTGATGCGCTCTATGGTCGCTCCTCTACTCAAGCCCCGCGGCCAGCCAGGCAGTTCGGACATGTATGATGTGGACCGGGTTCATTTGCTGGCTCTGGTGTCTAACCTGTTTGCCACCTCAGCTGGTGTGGAGGGCTGAGAAATTCGACAGAATATAACGTATGGGGGGTGTCTCGCCGTCATACAGCTGCCACGGTCATAGCGCTGCGTAGTTTTGCCTGCATTAGAGTTGTAGTACGAACAAAGATCTTCTCAAACCATGAAGGGCTAGTCTGATATTTCGTCCGTTTGCTTTACCTCATCTCCATTTTTTAATCCCGTGGCACGCATTCATCTAGTAGATACTGGCCGAGAGAACATTGTAAAGAGGTGGTTCATAGAGTGGGTCTATACGGCCCTAAGCATGGCGGGTGAAAGGCCCGAGCCATCCCGCTACCGCTGGACCCACACATCCTTTACGACCGGGGTACATCCATGATGCCCCTCATTTCTTCTCCTGAATTTGAAGTGAAGGCATGCAAAAATACCCAATTCTGCACCTCAAGGCAGGAAAGGCCTTAGTACTACCACATTACCCCTCCTTCTAGCAATAGAAGGGGGCTAATGAACCTTCATGTGCATACAGCCAAGCAGCGCCACTTGGTACTCACGTGTTTAATCCCCTTTGCATAAGTACTATTCTTTCTCTCGAGGGTTACCCTGCCCCGTTACATGTGGGTATGCATAAGCGCATAACTGATACGTAATGTTGAAACATATGGCTGTTCGCCATGGTGACTGTGATATATCACACCAGCTTCCTCTAGTCAACTGATTATGAACAGCTTGGCCTGTGAAACCTCTACAGAACTTCCACAGTTGAGCTGTGAAGAGATCACGCAGACAATACCACAGCAATTGACAGTAATACTTTGCTAGTTGTTGATCAATTACCGCTCGGACACCAGCTGAAATCACTTGACAAATCGGTATATGCTAAGAGTCAATCATACCCAATACCATCGCGCCGAGAATCACCCCACTTCGAAGGCTTTCCAAATACAAAGACATAGCGTTGATCTTACCTCAACACCGGTCCATGGAGTGGGTGGCTAGCTGAACATCCTGCAACACTTCACCACCTCAACCGAGAAGCGTTCGGGTTTACTCCCCATTTTTGCTACTAATGCAGTGAGACCGCGCTGCATCTCAGCTCTGAAGATGGTGGATGTGCGTATTCGCATATCATTTGCACCTTCGCAGGAACGCATTTGCAAGGGCACATACCCATTGTAGTTACGCAGGCATACGTACCCACTGATAGAACATCCGATGTTAGCTACAATACGTTCGGTAGTATGCCAATCCATGAATGCTTGCAGCTAGATACATGCTTCACTATTATAGCTGCCCGCAACGCGGCCTGTGGTGTACAGAAGGGGAATGTTCGCCTGCGATGGGTCTTTTCATCTTAGCCTTCATCCTCGGTTCCCAGGTATATTGTACTTGGTTTTCAGGTAAATGAAACTAGCATCGAAGGTTCCGGCGCCAGGAATCGGACTGCGTAGCTTCCTCATCCATATCCGGGGCTGGTCTTGCTTTAGTCCAAGCGTCGATGTGGCCAGTTTCGCGTCATACGATGTTGAGACCCCGGTCATGGTAGCCATGTTTCTGGGCTGAACGTTTGGGAAGAACACCAAGATTGTCCCGCTTAATAAAATCGACCTGGCTACAGATCGGTACAAACTTGACAATAGAAAAGCTCGCAGTCCCTACAGCTTTACTCGCACCCTGAAGGGTAGTTGACCCAATCTACCTGCAGTGGAAATATTGATTGTTTGCAAATGGATAGCTTAAATGCTTGAGCAATCCAACTTGCGCCTATAACACCAGTTCCAATCACACCCACTGTTTTAATCACAGGTGGTTACATGCTGCGAAGAGGGAATATAAACACTACGAAGGTAGCTGCAACGTCAAGGGTTGATGCATATTTAAAGATAGGTAATCCGCGTTGATATGTCTCCTAAGAGAACTGCATAGGAGTAGAGGCTGTCGTAATAAGTAAGCGTGAGTGTTAGACGGCTTATTTTCCATGCACTGCTAGCATGCCTCGGAAGCAGAGCTGCTTTCCACAGGAATTCTACTATCATATAACACCTATCCATCCAATTCTAGGTGGGATAAACGGATAATCAAAGGTAAGGAAACGTACCTCGGAATCTAAATCTCCTCGGGCAACTGTAGCCCCACCTGGTTGACTGGCTAAAAACAGTCCTACTACCTCCCGCGGCTTCGTTCGTAGATGAACTAATAAACCATGGACTAGGTATCCGAGTATAAATGGGAGGGGTATTGTGTCCCGCTGGGATGCAGTATCTACCTGCCAGGTTCATTTTTATTCCAGGCCAGAAACATTTGGATTTTCACTGTGTTTTGCTGGATGAAGTGGCAATGACCATCCTTCAAGTCACAGTCCTTTTCCTCGTATTTACATTAGTCTACACGCGCTCCCGCCGTAGTGGTCCCATCGCTTCTCAAACTTTGCCTTCACCGGCCTCCTTCCGCATCTTCACACCATCAGACCTTCTCGATTTCAATGGTACCAATGGCAAAGGAATCTATATTGCTGTGCGTGGTCGTGTGTTCGACGTGAGCACGAGCAAGAACTTTTATGGGCCGGTACGTTATACGATACGGTTCTCACCATCGTTCTGCTGGCAAAGCATCACGCGCGGCAGCTAATTTAACCTTAAGGGAGGGCCGTACGAGAACTTTGCGGGACGAGACGCAACCCGTGGACTAGCCTTGCAAAGCTTTGACAAAGAAGTGCTCACTAAAGATCTCAACGGACCTTTGGACGACATAAAGGACCTCACTCGAGATGAGCTCGGTAATCTTGAGAGCTGGGAAGAGCGATTCTTGCTCAAGTACCCAATGGTTGGTGAATTGGTTTCTAATGATGACTTTGAGCTCCAGCAGCAAACACAAGTATCCGCCTAGGGTGGCACAACAATCACCGGGTATTCTCTGTGGAATGATATTGAGTTACTTGATTTTCCACGACCTTGAACTTGCAGCTATATGCAAGTAGGGACTATTGCTTTAAAGATATTATCTGTTTCTTATTCCATGCAGGAGATTTGGAGCCTTATAGCAGCCATCAGAGTTATTTTATTCTTCAAGGTATATAAGGGTCCCGTGTTATATATACCAATATCCAGAAGGCCGGCTCTGCTGTATCAAAGGTCAACGACATTGGTGAGTTGCTCGCTCAAGAGGGTTTCCAATACGCAGGCCTTATGAGGCAAGTTAGTTGACAGTTGGTTTTGTTATTTGGCAAAGGCCTTGCTTCAACTCGATCAACGCTCCTTTGCTAGTGTATCGAAACTGGATCACTCCTTTACTCTCCTTTACTGCCATGAACCTTCAGCTTTTCTGCTGGAGCCTTGACAATGCTCTATATAAATGTCCCCAGTACCTCAAGCTCAACATGTACTTGTTAACTATGGAAGGACTCCAGAAGACCTACATTATTGTGTCTCTTTATTGTGGAATCTCCGGAAAGAGTGTCAAGCAACTCTTTTTCGGTGGTGCAGTGGGACCGCTGTTGTCTGGTCAAGCGGCTGAAGTAATAACAGAAGACTCATCCGACAGCTTGGAAGGCATGTTGAGTAACCATGTCATTGGTTGTGTAAGGGAACAATCAGTGGCCCACGAAGGAGCTCTGCTTGCAAAGGCTCACCTCAGAAAATGAACCAGATGAAGGGGTTTTTAGACACAAGAAAGCTTCACGGTTCAGTTTTGTAGGACTGGTTCGTCGACAACAAAACTGGAACAAGGGGACTTTTCTCTTTGTATAGGCAGTTTTCTCTGAAGGGTTAGTAAGTATCACAGCAGCTTCCACCCTGCTGGCATGTCGAGATATAGACCTGCATGCATGATTTTTCCTGAGTCCCCCACAGGGCAGGACATGTTTTACATTGTAGCTTTGTCATATCAACCATACACCACTACACATTTCACTCTGGTGTATCGCCAAATCTGGTGGTATAGCACACATCTTCTTTACTTTTATGTCTCTGTTGCTATGAAAACCCTAATATAAAAATGTATATATTATGCTATTTACGATTCCTTAAAGCCATAGGGGTACAATGAGGTTTCTACGATTGTGTCTCGATACTTTAGGTATTATCAAGGTAGGCTAGGCTTCTATGAAGCCTAGACCCACCAGACAACGACAGCAGGAATGTCCATTGTATACATAATCCCAGATGACGATGGACTATATTGGAAGTACAGGTTACAATTTCAAAGTTCAAAACGACGGAGTATTTGGGCTCCTACTAGCTGCTGGGAGAGTGTTAATATATTGTCCATATCACCGGTATTCAATTCTGCCAGGTTTTATCACCAGGCCTAGTCTTTTTCTGTGTTATAGCTCAGTCAGATTTCAATTAGCTACATCATCCATTACCAACCTGGTCGTTGACCCACCATCGTATTCGGCTCCTTAGGGGGCGATCAGTCAGACTCTAGTTCCCAGCATCGCACACCCAAAGCAGCACACAAGCTTAGGAACCAATCCACCTTTTCCTTATAATTGTTAGATATCTACAGGGGGCAGGCATTGACTGGCAGAGAACCGAACGGCCCTGGGCATGTCTTTGAGACAAGCCCCTCGAGTCTAATGAAACAACATATATGATGCATGCCATTTACTTAAGCCCGGCCCTAGGTAAGATCATAAGAAGTAGTGAGAGTGTTGGATGGGTCCAAATTGACTAATATCTTTCGTGTCTGTGCTAAACTCCAATAATAACAGTACTAGAATGTCTAGTGCGTTTCCTTTAATATGTTACCTCGCCTCGTTAGTATTGTCAAACACTGGAAGTAGCTCAGGAGTAACACATCAACCTATTGTCTAAGCATTAGTGATCGAACAGTATGCAGAATCTGGGAATGCACCATACCAGCGTAATGCAGGCTAATAGAGCCTCGGCAGGTGTATGTACCGCGCCAGAAAGTCGCTATTTGCAGTCCTTGGTAGTTATACCGCTTTGGCACTTTTATCACTGGCACCACGAACTATACGGCTGAGGTCGCCAACAGGAAGGGTGAATGGGAAATCAACACTGGCGAGCATCTGAACTAACAGGAAGTACCATCCTGATATGGCCCCTACAAACAGGCAGGCACCACCTGTCTTTATCCGATGCGGAATCGTTGTCAGCTAGGTTATTTGTCTAGAATACGAACAGGCGCCGGCCTGATATGGCAGAAAGAGGCAGTACCGACCTTTTTCAATGACCTAGATAAATCTGCGTTCCCATTGGCTAGTTGCCATGAAGTTCCTGCGAGGAAGCTAAACCCAAGCGTGAGGGCAAGAAAAATGACCACAAAGCAAATATTGGTTCGTATGCTGCATATTAAATAGATGAAGCACAGGAGACCCATGAAGACCTCGAAGAATGCTAGAGTTTGGAAATCTGTTAGTATATCTGAGATATCCCCTAGGCAAATACGTACCATAGGAATTGTTGAACCCGGGGTTTGTAGGGTCTGATGGCTCATATGCCGTATAGGCTGCGTAGAATGGCGTCAATGTCGCAGCCAAGGAAAGCCAAAATGCGGCTATTAGCATGTTAATGAATCATCAAGGGTATAGGTGGAAGACATCCCTCTCATATACGCACCATAGGATGAAAAGACGACAAAGATAAAGGTATTTCCTAAAATAAATTCAAGAACCGCTGCCAGAATCATAAGTAATCCTCCAAAGAAATAGGCAGTACCACTGAATGAAGTAAGTCAGCTGTGCTCAATATCAAACGGTTAATTTAACAAACACTGTCGCTGCCCCAAACCCCCCCGCCCCTCGCCATTCCATCAGGTCACAGGCAAGCGGAGTTAAGCTTAAGATAAATCCCATAACACCACTAGAAGTGTTAGCACAACGGAGGTCGAGCAAGATTTAAGATTGTACTAACAGAGGGGTAGGGTTGCCAAGTATAGCTCTGAGTTCTTCTTTCCTGGAAGCTCGCGATACATGAACATGTCCTGAATACTCCAAAGGCATTCCTTCCTCTGTCATCATAAATCTCCTAGTAGAGTTTGCTATGCTCTCCTGAGGTTGCCGATTGCAAGGTTGGTGTGGGCCGATGATAGACGTGTCCCCGCTTTCGCCGTTGTGCATGGCAGATAGAATAATACTCACTGATAATGATAATGCCCCCTCCCGAACTATTGTATTTCCCTTTTAAATAGTTATAGTAGGTAGTTCATTGAACCCTCGGTACTTCATACGATGTGTCTAAATGGTTGCGCCACTGGGCAGCGAGCGGATTCGAGATGTTTACGGGTAATAGGGACGTGAGGAAGCTCACCCGCGGAATCTGCTTGCCCGAGTATCCGCGGATGACCGGATCTTGAGAGAGTGTAGGTTCATTGTCCTCGGTGGTACATTGGTTCTCCGAGAGGTGCACTTTCCACGGTACCTGCAATTTTTGTACTCTGAATCTTCCAGCCACTAATGCACGGATACTCCTACTTGTTTCTTATGTCATCAGCTTTGTGAACTCATTTCTACTTGTTCTATATGCCGTCGAAGTCCCCACTGGATATTTCGCTTGTAGAGATTACCATCATATTATGGCTGTACTCTTCACCCGCTAGAGTGCTGTGGATATAATTTGAGGACCGCATACCTTAGCCTAACCCGCAGCGCGGTCTAAAATATTTACTTTAGTATGAGTCTCTAGTGGCTTCCAGGAGCAGGGATGAAGCGATTTAAGCAAAAGCTTACTTTTTTCTCAGCGTACTTTCAACTATATACTCTAATAATGCTGCTAGTTAAAGACTCAGTTTTTTTACATTTTGAACCCCTTTGAACATTACCCAGGTGAATAGTAATGTATATAAGCCGTCCTTTAGAGCAAGAAAGATGAAGGCTGTACGAGCTAAGAATGAGTAGAAATAAAAAGAAAGCAAGAAGTCGGGCTAGAATAGGAAATGAAAGGGTTTTGATTGTATAGGAAGATAAAAATCGCGTTCCATAGCTTAGTACGCCCCAGCTTAATGAAGAGCCTGGGGAAACTATGCCTCTACGATGAGATCCGCAACACTGTCGTGGGTAAGACTTAAGGTCGGCATGAAGTTCCTGAGGCATTTACCTCTGCAGTTTTCACCATTAATGCGAGCGCTTTAAAATCGACGGATAACGTCAAGCGAGGTAAAAGTATGTAATGTCCACCATAGGAAACGTGCGGTACAGATCAGCCTCTACACCTCTGCGAATAAATAATTATACAAGGGAAAGATAAAAGAAGGGAAATAGGCGACTGAGATTGTCCGCAAATATTAGCGAGGCAATTAGATATATGACTCACGCCTGTATAAGGAAGCTGACCACTATCGTAGGGTAGGATTACCGCTAGCTTCAAGAATTAACAAAATTCGGCTGGATATCAATGTCCAATGTCAAAGATCCACTCGGAAGACCTGCATGAGTGGCCTTGTATCCCAGCACTCCATGCCTAAATTTCCAGAACGGAGCTCACGCTCACTTCCCACTTAACAGGAAACCTGTACAGGAAATGTCGCAAAAGATGGGGGCTATTTCCTGTCGCTGAGCGTATAGATTGCCACGCTAGAAACTATCTCGACAAGATTATGAACAGGCCCATCGAAGATATACGGAAGAAATGGGACGGCGAATAAACCCATCTAAGCGTGGCCAAATTAGTGACCGAAGACTGGAGCATTGAAAGGCCGGGACAACTCACTCCAACGGGCATACAAGACCGGGCCAATAATGTCTTTCGCCCCCCTAGATACCTTCCCGAATACCTGACAATCCTGTGTATTGTGAAAGTGGGCAGCCCGATGCTTGCTAGACCTTGGAAGATTGCTTGCTTTACCATGATGAAGCGGTAGTCATCACCCAGGGGAATGTGCCTGGCCGGCCAGGGTTCCAGACTGTCCACACAACCATCGTCATCGTCCCAGCCGGCGCTCTGACCTTCAAGTGCCAGTGTGGACGACTTGGGGGCATTGACAACTACGGTTTGCCTAGGGACTAACGGGATGTTTGAGTCCCGCGCGTCCATATATGCCTTGCTCGGCGGCGCAAGAACGTCACGGTTTCGCAAATATGCCTGGTGGCCTTCATGTACTACATTATAAATTGCATACGCCCACGAGACGGCGGAAACTCCACGAGTCAGGTACGGGCGCTCAACAGATCGGAAACTTTCTGTCATACTGCAAGCACGGGTGGCATATCGCCGAGCAGCGTGAAATATAGTCCGAACTTGGGAGGTATAGGCGATATATCGATATGGAGTGAGGGGTGCGCCTGGTGAGCTGTCTACTATTTTAGCATTTGTATCATACATAGAAGGTGAATCCAAGGGGACAGGGACATGAGCTGTGGATACCACAATCGGTTTGAAAGTATTGAAAACGGCCCATCGCTAATGAGCCACTGATGCTGTCTGACAACATTGTACGGACAGAGACAGTATCAAGATGCAGACTGAAATGGCAAGGAGTTCACTTTGAAAAGATTTATTCCTCTGGGAAGGGCTGATACAGAGAACTCACTATGTAAGGCAGGTTTGATCGTAATATTCATCATTGTCCACTAATGCTTGCAGCTCGGGTGATAGAGGCTTGCGTGGTACCGACTGTTCGTTGAGATCTGGCCTGCGGCTATGGGCGACGCTGTCTCCTTGGCAGCTTCCTTCGGCCATCATACTCAATGTTTCGATACAGTAGGGAAGAGAACTTGCAGAATAGACCACGGCGTAAAATGTAGTGTTGTATAGGCCGAAAACTGATATGAATTTGGTGGAATATTAAAAAGACAGCCATGATGATTAAGGCCAGCCCGATTTCTATTGCTTATAGTTTCTCTTGTCCTTTTTTTCCAAACTTGCTGCCCCATGGGTTTTCCGAGGCAGCGAAAGATACGATCTCAATGAGACCGAGGTACTACAGTACCGTGGGATGACAATAATGGGTGCCATGACAGTATGGTACCGAGGGAAATGGTATGTACTGCCGGGCCCCGTCAATACAAGTTGACGGCAATGCATGCGCACCTACAGAGGAATCGACATTTCTGGTGCACTATCGGATTTTTCGTCCGTTTTGAGTTGCGCCGTCCTGCGCATATGGGTTCCGTCTGCATCGAATGACACTTGTAACGGGCTAGTCTTTGTTTTTCTGCAATCCACGATGTCTACTTGCTTCCTCAGGTGCTCCGGAGGAAGTGGAGAAAGCATAGAGATTCCTCATTCTGGTGACAGTTCTGATTGAGCCTGCCACTCTACCATTGGGATGAGCACCAAGGTCTTGGTAAACATCATAGAGACTTCTAAAAACAGTCACCCTATCCATTGTACCAAGAACGGGTGGAAGATAACCAAACCTCACTTATTTTGGACACTGGGCTGAGTATGCGAGAGAGATTAGCAATGTCATCATGTTGGTTGTGAGAGCAGACGGTGGCTAAGTTGGCAGGGCCGTTGGGAGACCGGGTCGTCATCAACCGATGTCATTGCCGCACAATGGTCTCAGATCTTATTGCCTACATCCAGATTACGGCCACGGGAAAGCATTGCTAGACTCTCTTGTAATATCTAATCTGGTCATCCTAAATGGAAAGCCTGGAACCAGGTGAATATTTAAACCGGCCTGAAAAATCTAGAACCTGTAACTCTCCATCTATACGTATCAGATATGTTATCGCCACTACTGAGCCCTCTAATTATTGTGTAAATGGACCAGACGCCTCTGGAAAGGTGTTTCTCGCCAGATGGATTCTGTCAAAACCCTACGAAAGGAAGACAAGATGAAATTCGATGAGATTCCCGAATGCCCACCCTACAGTGCAACATTTGAACGGGCTACATCTTAATCCTTCCCTGAATATTAGAAGACTAGGTTATTTGAAACGTTTTCAGATCTATAGAGGTAGAGATGGACAGGTTAACGTTCCTAATGACCCTTGAGCAGAAACTTCCGGGGACAACGAATGGGGATACAATCGCAGTGACTTGGACACCACATGTGAGCAGAAAATATTTCAGTGCATTCAATTCCTCAGTACATTCTATGCTTCGGCGCATTCTATAGGCAGTAAAATATGCACGAACGACATTCAGTGCTCCTATATTCAGTAAATACAGTACAAAACAAGCCTCCGTGCTTAGGCGATGTTGCTCTGGCTCGATCTTGGTGGCCACTTGACCCGTCTTTCTGCACGTACGTAAAGGTTATTCGGTCGGATCAGCTGGAACATGGGATCATATTCAATCGGCCCGTCGCCCTCCCGTGAAAACTTATAGCGGTAAATGAGCTTGGGCAGGAAGACCTTGATCTCCTGAAGAGCAAAGTTAAACCCGATACACATGCGGGGCCCCATGGCAAATGGAATATAAGCGGCCTTGTGGCGGTTCTTCACCTCCTCCGTGTCCCATCGGTCCGGATTGAACCGGGCGGGGTTATCCCAAATTGCGGGATTATTATGGATGTGATGAAGTGCAGGAATAATAACTGAATCTTTCGGCAACTTGTATCCCCCAGGGAGGACAAGGTCAACCTTGGCAGTACGTCCGGGCTGGAAAGACGGGTTATGCCGACGCTGAGTCTCCTTGATATACTTGTCGAGGAAGTCTAATTTATCTGTGAGCTCTGCGGTCATCTGGGTATTTTCATCAAAGCCGTGATCAATTAACTCCTGGAGAAGTCGCTCCTGCATGCCCTCATAGGTACAAAGCCCGTAGATGAGCCACGAGAGAAGAGAGCTTGTAGTAGTAAACCCGGCCCCAGTAGCAACGACAAGAGCCCACACCAGACTGGATTTAGGTAGCTTTTCGCCCTTGTTATCCGTGGCCCGGACCGCATAGTCTGTCACGAAAAGTCAGTTCTCTTGCCGGCAAGCTAAGACCCTTATCCCTATTAGGCTACTTACCAACCATGTTGCTTGCGGCTAGAGCTGCGTCTTGCAGAGGTAAATCATCCACTCCACCTCGAGAGGCCTTCTGAATAGATTCATCCACCATCTCTTCAATGCGGGCCTTCAAGGCTTTGAGGCGCTTGGGGTCACCAAAGGGCAGAGAGCTGTACCAGTCACCCTTGGAGGTAACCTTCTTGTTCAGCGAAAGGAGCTCTGCAATATTGTGTACCATTTCATGAACCGGGGCATCTGGTGAGCTGAAGTGCTGGAAGTCCAAGCCCAGGGTGAGCTTTCCAACCGCTTGCGAGCCGAGTTTCAGCATATGCTGGTAAACATTCCAGGCCTCACCTTGCTTATCCAAGTAATCAAATACTATAAATGAATCCTCGACTGTTTTTTGCATAGTTGGAGCGTAATGGCGAACAGCCTTAGGCCCAAGAGCGGGAGGCAGAAACTTGTGGGCTAACCGCCACTCCTCAGTATCAGTGTCCCCAAGGAATACTCCAGCCGATGGGGTCTTCAAAGCGAACAAAGGGTGCGATTCATTGATCTTCTTGGTGAAAAAGTCGGACTCAGAGAAGGCAATAGCCGTAATCTTGGGGTCATTCGTCTGGTATGTGACACGACCCATGTTGCTTGTCTTGATTACAGGCCCATACTTCTCAAAAAGGCGCTGGTGGTTGCCGAGATGGTCAGGATAAACTTCGAAGAATGTTCCAACGAAGGGTAATGTCCTAGGGCAGGGTGGGTCGCGGACAGCATGTCCGTCAACCGTAATAGGCACAGGGCCAGTCGCAGCGACTATTTCCGATGTCTCCGTAAGAACAGCACCATTACCCTGGAAGCCGATACCTAAAAAGACAGTGATCTGGCGTCAGAAACCAGAGCATTATAACTCGAGAAAGTCGCCAGGTTCAGGTCAAATTCTTGGCGATCGAGCAACTCACCACTCTGATCCACAATGGCAAAATGAGCAGCAATCAAGAGTTTTACTTCATCAATGCCCTGTGAAGTATTGATATCAATCTCTTTAGCGGTAGAGACATCCTCTCCAAGGAGGAAGAATGTCTGTGAAGGCATGGCTGAGTCTGCTGCGCTATAGTCTCAGGAAGAGAAGAGTAGGTAAGTTAAGAAGCGGATAGGGCGCAACGAAGAATGAACACCGAGCAAACCGAATCTTTATATACTAAGGAACAGCATATGCACGAGCGCATTCTTATTAAGATCGCAATCATCATAGGACATTATAAAATCACAAAACCTCGAAAGTTTGAAAAGGCCTGCTTGTTGAGAGATCCTCGGACTCTCACATTGGACAGTCAGGGCTACCGCTTTTCCGGTTGGTGCTCATACTACCTCGGAAAAGCAAGGCACCTCGGAAAAGAAAGGCCTAGCAACAGGAATACAGTTGGAATAATGCCACTCTTCATTCTCCCGAGGGGTAAAACGGTAAAGCTGGGAGTGTGGTTCGTTTCAATGGTGCCTTTTCAGTCTAGATCTCTGCTGGTAGGCACCGCTAATTAACCTCGGAAGAGAAGCCTGCAACTGGCTCTCCCAAGTATTTCCTGTTCTCTGTCCCTGACTGGTCTTATAAGAAGGATTTGAGGAACCTCGTGGTTTTTCCTTGGTCAACGTGTACTGAGTAAAGTCCGACTTCAAGATGACAGAATTTACTATGGAAGATGTTGCTGCCCATAAGACCAGAAACGACTTGTGGGTTGCCATCCATGGAAAAGGTGAGATCTTCTCTTCGCCTTTCGTCCGTCATCGAACACCCTCGTTTAACCAAGTGTCCTTAGTGTACGACATTACCAAGTATGTGCAAGACCACCCAGGTGGAGCAGATGTTCTGATCGATGTGGCTGGGCAAGACGCAACTGCCGCATACGAAGATGTTGGGCACTCTGAGGATGCGAACGAGATCTTGGAAACATACTTTCTCGGCACTGTGAAGGATGCTGTCGACTACAAGCGCCCGTCTGCTGTGCGTCTGATCCAACAGACACCTACTAAGGAGGTCGACACCACACGGCCAAACGCTACTCGTACGCTTGCAGTCGCGGCCGGTTCCCTCGGTGGAATTGTTTCGCTCTACGCTGCGTCCACTTCCGCCAGAAGCCACATCAACCTACAGGATCTCCTGAATACGCTTCCTCGGCTTTCGCAGCTTACGTCAAACAAGATTGCCGTCCCCCACTTGCAACAGGGAGGGTTTGTCAATGGATTCGCCGTGGCGGCTATGCTCTCTGCTGTAGCTGCCACCGTGATTGCATCCGGACTCTCCAAATTCACGCAGATTGATTCTGGCTTCACCAGATATCCGCCAAGAATCCACCCCACCACAGTCGCCAAGGAAAACCCCCATCTAACTCCAGGATTCCTTCACCCGAAAGAATACAAGTCTCTGCCCTTGGTCAACAAGGTCCTCTTGGCCCCGAACGTCTATCGCTTTGTGTTTGAACTCCCGAATAGCACGGATGTGATAGGGCTTCCCATCGGCCAGCACGTTGCCATCAAGGCAACCATTGATGGACAATCCGTCTCTCGGTCCTACACCCCCACTTCCAACAACCTGGATCGTGGAAGACTGGAATTAGTGATTAAGTGCTATCCCGACGGCCTGCTCACCGGCCGATACCTTGCCAACTTGAAAGCTGGTGACAAAGTACAGTTTCGTGGCCCAAAGGGTGCTATGCGCTACAGGAAAGGCATCTGCAAGAAAATTGGGATGATTGCTGGTGGGACTGGCATTACTCCTATGTACCAGCTTATTCGTGCTATCTGCGAAGATGACACCGATACTACCGAGATCAGCCTTATTTACGCTAACCGTGCAGAGGAGGATATCCTGTTGAAGCAGGAACTCCAGGCTTTCGCTGCCAGTTATCCGCAGAACTTGAAGATTTGGTATATGTTGGACAACCCGCCCCAGAAATGGGCTTATGGGAAGGGCTATGTCACAGCCGCTGTAATGCGTGAAAAACTCCCGGGTCCCTCCCCAGACACAAAGGTTATGCTTTGTGGCCCACCGGGCATGATCAATGCCTCGAAGAAGGCTCTGGTGGGCTTGGGCTTTCAGGCCCCTGGTGCAGTCTCTAAGATGAGTGATCAGATATTCTGCTTCTAGACACTGGTTCCCCATGCCGGAGTTGTGTATTATTTATTTGTGCCTTCGACCTTGCAAGCAAAATACCTAACAGCTATCTTCGTTTCCTGTCCTTTGTTTTGTTCCTATGATTCTTTGATAAACCTTTAAATAGACCTGTATAGACTCTTCCCCACTTGACCCGGTCACTTCCCCTCGCTTTAATAAATATACTAACAGAATATTTATTATTGCACATAAAAGCCTACATGCAAGCCAAAAGACCTACCTCTGTCTATTGTTGCTCCGAGAAATTCATAGTTTGCACATCTTGCGAGCATTTCCACAGAAAGTCTTGATGCTTGTATGTATGAAGGATGTTCAACTTGGCAATAAATGGCTATCCGACTGCTGCACGTTCTCTCCTTATCTAGATAGTGTTGCTCGATGGCTTGCAATACGAACCCGAGCTACAGGGGTAGTCTGCGGTAAATAACAGCAAATATCGTGATTGATACCAACTAGGAAATGACAGCTTCTGAGCTTCTACTATGTACTTTTTGCACAAAAGTCTACATAATTTCCCGCAACCACCTAAATATTTATAAAAGGGGGAATATCCTAGTCGCCCGTAAAAGATATAGTCATTATTAATTTCTACGTTAATTGAGTATGCGATGGTTACACCGCATGTGGATAATACTGTATATTTGCTTTTAAATTAATAGTCTGTATGCCGCCCCTTTGCCTCCAAAACAGCAGTTATATAGTCCTTGATAAGGAATCAAAATAATCATCCCCTAAGTTTTCCCTTGCATCCTCGAATACCTTATAAAATTGCACTTGTAATCAGCTATTAATTCTACTAAATTAGTAAAGGTCTGGATTCACGCAATCGTAAGTTACAATTTGGGACGAGTGAGTTCTCCGAAGGCACTCGTAAGTTTACTGGGTAGGAACGCCTTTTTATACCCTGTCGCTCGGGTTCGATTAACTACCTTGCTCGATTTTATTTATCTGCATTCTCCTGTTTAGATATCCTGTTTGTATGGTCAGCGAATGGCTTCGCTAATAAACTGAACGCTTTCAATCGTTCAGGTGCATAGTGAACTGGATCGAGATCACATATATACGTTCTTTTAGATTAGCCCAGCCATACTCGGTAGGGTTTATATCGGGTGAGTATAGAGGCCAGTGAATAAAAGGAATACTATACTCGTTAAAACAATTCTTAGTATTTCAAATCCCACCCATCTCGGAACACCCGTAAAAGTTGTGTGATGCAAATCTGGACTTTTCTATAATTTTTGCCTATTTCTATATAGAACTGGTAGATATATAGATATATAGTGCCTTAAAATCAACGTAAGTTTCGAGGCTAAACCTGATTAGATAAGGCATTGATTCCTAACTATCACTTGACCCATTATGCCTATTAGGCCGATTAGCAGTTTTTCACCGTTTTATGGGCGGGTGTGAGTTGTCACAAAAAATACCTACCTTGGAGTCGGGAGTCGTACATTTTGACCCCAACCCGATATCAACTCTATGGACCCTACTTATTCGGCAGATTTCTGTCTAGCCACCACTCCAGATTACTACGCAAATTGCAATAGAGATTGTTTGCCCTTTATATCAGGGATAATATACTTTTCCCCCCATTTTCTCTTTAGGTAATTGACATGCCATACCTATAACTTTTCTTTGCTTTGCTATGCTCAATGGAACATTTATTAATCTACGTAATCTTGCTTCACTGTTTGTACGTCCATTTTGTGCATACATATACCGCTCATAGTGTAGTTTAGCTATTTCCTGAGCCAAATGAGGTCTTGTCTCTGCTCTCCACTGGCCATACCCAGATTCTTCCAACATGCGCGCAACAGTGCGTCCAGAAGCAGCCTTGTCAAGTAATTTGAAGATATTTTCTTTTTAGAAATGGGCCGGGCTTAACTTGTAAAACAATACATCGATGATCACCATCAGAAAGAATCAGTAGCGGTCTGGAGTGAGGAGAGCTAGTCTCAAGAGTAGAATTTGATATGTTTCAATGGCGGTGTGAACTGTTGTATATGACCTATCCATTGCGCCTTGAACATCAGCCATTTTGTGGCCGGCGAGCAATCGACCAACGATAACTCAACTCTGAAATGGTTTTAATTCATGCCTTATAATCCTGTTAAAACTACTAGACAGTAAAGGAGTGCGGGGCATGGTCCCGGTGTTTCAGAAGGTGAGATATAATATTGGGCTGCGCGTCGCATAGTGCGGAATTACGTCAACTTTTGTGATCTGACTGTAATAAGCATTCATGTCATATTAATCTCAATGTTCTAACCAGCATGAGGGACGGAAGTTGCGTCACCGATATTACGCCGGGGATCGTCGAGGGGACATCGCTAGTATATAGAAGAACATTGTTCTTAGGATAACGCCCTTCCAAATATAGGCAAGCTTGATCAACAGTCACCTCGGCGCCTCTCATACCAATCGGAACGTTGGAGCAGCCCGTGAATAAAAAGAACCAACTTTTGAAGGGTAACATGTTGCGGTGTTTCAAACAAACAGCAGTAGGAGCTTCATCGAGGCTCACCTCGGTGTTTCGCGTTAGCCAATCGGGAACCCGCCTCGCAAAGTGTTACTCCTCGGAACTTGTAATGGAGCTCTATCAGGAATTTGTCTACACGTCCCTTTACGAAAGGTCCACCTGCCGCGGCCCTTCTACGGAACACTGGCCGATCGTTGCGGTATATTCTTTTCCATAACGTTGGTCTGCCGATGCCACAAGATGCCGTGATAAGGAAAAGGGAAATCCATGAACTATATATTAAGAAAGAGTCACGGCACCTTCTCCAACTTCCTGTAGCATCTACTTCCTTTTCCACATTCTATCAGCTGCTAGGCTTTCTGAGAACCATATACACCTTCGTTTGAACAATCTAGTTCTGGCCACTTGGCTTAGTTGTACCTTTTTACGCGAAAATGACCCGCACTTGGCAGCCGCCCACGGACTATGGCAAACGTCCTGTTGCCATTCTAGGCGCGGGCGTGCTGGGTCGTCGTATCGGTAAGCAAGGCATTTTCAATAAATGGTGACATTTATGTCTACGATGTCCATAGATCCTAACGTTTCACGAATAGCATGTATTTGGGCATCAGCAGGGTATGATGTCCAGGTCCGTGACCCTAGCCCAGAACAACGCGCAGACTGTGTCGCGTATGTTGAAGGAAACGTGGTGTCCTATGCAGAAAAAACCGGGAGGTGCCCCGGTAGCATTAAGGTGTTCGCAGAGTTGAAGGATGCAGTCAAAAATGCATGGCTTACCATCGAAGCCGTCCCCGAGAAGCTCCCCCTCAAGGTTGATACCTTTGCCGAGCTGGACAAGCTTGCTCCTAGTGACTGCATCTTAGCCTCTAACTCTTCTTCATACAAATCTTCTGAAATGTTGGCCAAAGTATCGGACTCGACCAAGCGTCGCGTTTTAAACATGCACTACTATATGCCCCCCCAAGTCATGGTTGTGGAGCTCATGACTAATGGACTCACGGAGCCGTCTATCTTCCCGTTCTTGGTCGATCGTTCGAAGGAGGCCGCAACTATTCCCTATGTTGCTAGGAAGGAGTCCACTGGCTTCATTTTTAACCGCCTCTGGGCCGCAATTAAGCGAGAGGTTTTGACCATCCTCGCCGAAGAGGTCTCGGTGCCGGAAGAGATTGATTCGATGTGGACGGAGATGTTTATCAAGGGGGCTGTCACCCCGTGCAAGACTATGGACGGTACGCATCGGACTTTATTTTTCCCTCTCCTCGCTGTTGTCTGTGGCTTCCTTGTGTCTCACTTTTACTTGTCCTTCTGCCTGTGTTTGATAGTGCTCATCTTTTGAGTCTCTAAAACTCTCTTGCCATAGAAGCTAATAACGCTGCTTAGACGTCGGCCTGGACACCGTTGGTTTCATTGAAAGTCATTACATCGCCGAGCGTGGCCTCTCTGGCGAAAAGACGGTCAAGTTCTTGCAGAAGAACTATTTAGACCAGGGCAAGCTCGGATCGAAATGTTCCAAAGGTGGTCTGTTCCCACCTGCAGGGACCAGAAATGGCAGCGCCACGAAGGCTAAGATCCTTGTTCTTGACATTGGATTGTCAGCACGAGTCCCGAGCACGAACGGGGGCGAAATCCTCGAAGTATCTGCCGATGGACGTGAGCAGAAGGTCCTTGTTACCGCCCAATCTCTCCCCGACGGTCTTGCCATCGACCCTTCTAGCGAGCGCATGTTCTGGACAAACATGGGCGTCCCTGGTAAGGATGATGGAGCAGTCTATTCTGCTAACTTAGACGGCACCGACATTCGTGCCGTCCTAGCTCCTGGTACTGTGAATACCCCGAAGCAGCTGGCATTGGACACCAAGTCTAAGAAGATCTACTTCTGCGATCGTGAAGGTCTTCGTGTTCTGCGTTGCAACTATGATGGCTCCCAACTTGAAGTCTTGGTCCAGACTGGTACCTATCAGAATGCCGAGGATGGTCAAGATGCCACAAAATGGTGCGTTGGTGTTACCGTTGCTCCCAGCCTCGGCAAGTTCTACTGGACCCAGAAGGGGCCATCTAAAGGTGGCAAAGGCCGCATCTTCACCGCGAACATCACTACCCCGGAGGGACAGTCTGCCACGACACGAACTGATGTTCAGTGTATTGCGAAAGATCTACCCGAGCCCGTTGACCTTGAGATTGATGAGGATTCTCACTCTCTTTACTGGACCGATCGCGGTGAAATTCCACTGGGAAACTCCCTAAACCGACTTCGTCTCGACCACTTTGGCCTGCCGGTGCCCCATATGTCCTCCCATGGATACGACATCCTCCTCAGAAACCTGAACGAAGCTATCGGCTTGAAGCTCGACCTGGCGAATAACAGTATCTACCTGACGGATCTCGGTGGCAATATTTACAGATGTAATGCCGAGGGGAAGCAGAAAGTGAGATTATATGCGGACGAGAACCGAGCGTTCACCGGGATTGCCCTTGCTTAGGGTCTGGTATTGGTTTGCCCGCACTGTTTTCGAGAACACTTTCGTGGATCTTTCTGCGTTTCATTCACATTAAATAGAATTTAGATCATAGTCACCAGAATTTGAAATCAATAACTCATCTCTCTAATTAAAAATATTGGCATCTCCAAATCCGTTAGTGAACTCATTGGGTCTTCAACCTTTCATCTATACTTGCCCGAAGATCTACAGGTTGATTACGTCGACTATATGGCTCGTTTGCTACGTTAAACGACCATATGATTGCTGGTCAAGAAGTTAAGCTTGGACGGGCTGTAACCCTGTCGATAAAGCTGGATTTCACTGGCAACACACCCAGAAGCGCGCACAGCGGTTTCTAAAATAGAGCAATTACAACAACAGGACCACACAACAATGGCTACTCATCACTATATGAAAGACATATATGACTATTTTGGCAATCCCGAACGCGAGCAGGGAGGCGAATCTGCCGACCCCGACGATCTATACTAGATGAAGCCTCAGCAACAACCTGATCTTGACCACTGATATACTTCATAGTTCTTATAGTTGAAGGTATAGAGGCCTTATTCTTGCCTCCAGCGAGATGAATAATATCATGTTACACTTATGGACTAGCCTTTTTGGGGTAAGATTTTCCTCGTCCTTCCGGTGCGGCTTTCAGACGTTTGCCTACTGATGTATCTCCTTATTTAGAGCTCGAATTCCCTTCCATTCTTCCAATAAAAGCTATTTTTGTTCTTCTCCTGTTCCCAAGGAATCTTTCTATATGCTTGGCTGCTTTATCAAGTGATATAGCTTCCTCCTTCTGAGTCTGAAGATCTCAAGCTTGTTGCATCCTATTCGGCGAGTAGACAATTGCAGTACCACCTTCTAAAGCCCACAAATCAAATGGAAGAGGGAAGTGGGCCGTTCTCATTAGATAACATACCACCGAAAGAAAAGGCGACGGTGACGTGGCCATATGGAGAAGGCCGGACAGTGAGATTGGCTTCTCTCCTGCGCTTCAGCGGCTACACACGCTATGCATGCCTCCCGACTATCCCTGTACGCTGCATCCTTTCTGCATTTCCCTCGTGTCCGACCTCAAATTATTTTGACGGAGTTGAATAAGTCAATAGAAGATATGTGGAATTGTGTCATTACATAGCGTGTTCCATTACATGTTCTTGGGAGACTCTGAAGAAACAGTCTTACCACGAACTGGACTGGTGGCTTTCGTGAGAAACTACATTCAAGTATTCCAACAGCTGCCACTTATGTTTGCTCTGTTCTTCGCTTTTAGTGCCAGTGGGTATAATAAAGAATATATACCCATACAGAATTCATCCACTTACCGTTTTATGATTTTATCGAATTTCTGAGACTTGAATGATACCGGGATATATATCTCCACAGTGCGAGACAGGCAAGTCTGTGTAGATAGACCAGCTAGGTTTAAGCGATCCGATTGGCAGAGGCGGAAGGATATGAAGGTAACCACCGCAGCTCCAGTACTTCTTCCTTCCTACAGTCTTCCCCGGGTCAAGAGGTGGTCATGGAGGGTGAACCTCGGAGACTCTGGGTGCGGGCGTGAACCGCGAGAATTTTGGGGCAACCACAAAACTGGAACCGCGGTAACTTCGAAACGACCGACAGAGTAGGCGAGGCAAGAAAAGTTTGTGCACCCCGGTCTCCCCTACGTGGTCCCAGGAGAGGTATAATCTAAGAGTTCTCGGCCTCAATGTCAAGGTTATTCTTGTGTCCCCCTCCATTGGAAAACACACAGTCATGGAAGAAAATCGCTCGCAGCCACAGCGTCATGAGGTCCAGAAAGTTCGTGTTAACCAAGCCTGCAGGGCTTCCCACCATCGAAAAAAGCGATGCATTACCACTTTGACGCGTCACCCGTGTACCTACTGCTTCACGTACGGCTATCGCTGTATCCCTAGGGCGCGCCTAATGAAGTATGGTTTTCGGTTCTTCGTTACATTAAGAGAGGGAATGATAAAGCTGATTCAACAATGTCCAATTGAATCTACAGATCTGCCCGAAAGCATACAGTCAAGACCTCTGGCAGTCAACACCAGCAACAGCCCAGTTATAAATTTGATTCACCACTGCCGCCAGGTATCGACCACGAGGTCCTGCTCCCCCGCTGGAGCGCAATCTATTCGCTTGTCTCGGAGGTGCTGCGACTGATTCCACCCAAGGGACCGCAGCCAGCTTGTGATGGAAAGTGCACGTCTGCCATTGATGAACAGGACTCCAGTGAGAAGTCTAGTCATCAAGGTGAAAGTCGCCTATCGCGAGCTCGAGGCTCTCAAAAGCATACACCCTGTGAGGTGAATACCGTCGACTTTGATATGAGTCTCTTCCTCACCCCAAAGTCTTGTGTAGATGACCATCCGGTTTTGCCATGAGCTTCTGAAGGAAGCAATGCGACGAGTGTCTTCTCCGACCTTGATAGTTTACCTAGGCTATGAATCGAGTTCTAGGGGCAGGCAAAATACTCCGCAAGGTCATGAATTTCCAGGAGCCACCAATAATGACACTAAAATTAATCTGCCGGTATAAAAAGTCGAAACCTGTCCGCCTCTGAGAAAAAATACGTTCAATGCTCAGCATAGCCGGGAACTGTGATCCAGGTTGAATGGTTGCGACTGCTACGTGCCCCTGTTCCCGTAGTCCCGACGCCGGTGTGCTTGGCACCTGGTCTCCTACTTGCTAGACGAGTGAAGGTAAGGCCGTTTTGAGTTCCATCAAGCTATGGAAGAGATATGAATATATAAACAGGACACAGAAGGCTGAAAACAATACCGAGCTACAAGAACGATGATGGCCCGCGTTAGGGGAATGGCCCATAGAAGATTCGGTTTGATCGGATCATGATGTGATAGAAGTCTTCAAAAAGATGAGATCATTTTAAGATCGTGTCAGTGTCGTGGGATTGTGGTCCCATTAGAGTGGATACCTATCTGGTTCTCATGATAATAGCTAGCATTGTAGGATAGCCCAATGCATGAGCCCTCTAGCGATGCGTCCCTTGCCACTTTTCTAGTTTCGATTCTGTCGGATACGGAATATGAATTACCTTTAGCGGATTCTCCGGAATGGGAAGACTTGCAGGAAGTGAGGTACGCTCTGCCCAAAGAATTGAGATTGACAAAGAATGCTAATACTGATACGGTAATATCCTGTTACTGTCGCTGGTTCGGTCACGCGAGAGGAAGAGCTATAGCGTACGCCGGCCAAAGCTGAGTGATATTGCAGATTACCTTAACGTAAGATACCTTCAGAGTGGAGGCGTGCTTTATACGCTTCCCAAATGTCGGCTTTACCATACGAAGCTAGCGTGTCTCAGGGAGGGCCGAAATCAATAGAAACCCTGAGTCACCTACTATATATAAAGGAAATATTACCGGTATCGGAATCTGCCGCAACCTCAACAGGCATCATTGTTCACCCTAGCAATTACAGAAGATGGAATGAGACGCAGCGCAAAGTCTTCACGTATGGATGGCTGATCAGGTAATAAAATATTCAGCTTCGCACGACAAGCCAAAGCATAGGTAGTATTTTGGCTTAACGTATGACTTTATGGAGCCCTCTGCCACAGTTCAATCATTGGCTCGATCTCTTAAGACTACGTTCCGTTTCTTCCGGCATATGTCAATGGGAGCTAGAAATTATGACATCGGACTGCGTGCATTAATGCATTGAGATCCAGATTGACTGCCATTTTCATACAGCTCTCCCCTTTGGAGACCACGTACAAGTTAGGTGTTTGGAGGAGGATGCACCTCATCATCGTCATCTGGAATATATACCATCCATTCCCGTACGGGCACAGGCATCTGTTGGCCCAGTGTGGTTGTATAGCTGGGCATAGTCTGGAGAGACCGGAAATCCATTGTCATGGCATCTGGGAGTGATGAAGGATCCGAACTGAGTGTCTCGGTCATGGAGCTCTCAGTTTGTGCTATATGTTGCTGTTGGCTAAGTTGTCCAAATATGGTCGCATGAACTGATGCAGATGTGCTGTGATCGAATGGGAAAGCTGCGCGTCCGGTTTCACTGTCAGGTATAATTCCGCTTGACCCTTCATTGCTATGTTCATTCGGATTGGGTGCCGCCATCTGGTTGCTCGGGTCACCTTGCTCGGCTCGAATGTCTTGCCTGTTCCTGTCCTGGTCCAAAACACCTAATCGGGAGAGTAGGTCGTGCGTGAGAGGTTGGCCCTCGGTTTCAGGCCGCACTGCAAGGGGGGGACCAGGCCATCCTTCTCCGTCCACAGACCGTCGGTAGAGCTCATGGAGCCCGTCTACCATCTGGCTCTGGTGCTCTCCCATCATCTCCACATATCTGACCCTGCATCAATATGACAGGTATACCGAGTAATCGTCATTAAACCTTACCCTCTGGGATATGATCTCATAGTGGACCTGACCTGCCTGAAAATGCACTCTGCATTGGCATCTGAGCAATTATCGCACGGTTTCCTGCCATTACACTGTAAAGCTTTAGTAAATATAGTCAATCGTCTCTTCTGACATGATATGATCTGCTAACGAACCCTGATTTTTCTTACTCTGCATCTGTCGCATGCTATAGTGATTCTTGTAGAAGTCTGAGGTCTGAGCCCTCGGTCATTATCCATAGATTATTGCCAAGGCAGAGCTTTGTGCGGGCGGAGCGTTATTATTCGATCGAGGATAGGAAATAACAAATGTAAAGCAACCGTTGGTCGTTTGCAGGTAGGAAGTCTGGTCTTTGCCCAATTTTGCATCGTTTTGGAAGTGTTTATATTATATTCTGTGTCAACCCCCTTTTTGCCTGTATATCTCGGCACCTCGCGTGCAGTTACCGCGGAACTTTTGCATCCTTTCTCATGTAGCCCGGATGCGCCCCACTCTTGTCGATTATTACCGCGGAAAAGCATCTAAAGTCACAACGGTCAGTCCAAGTAGAGAAGATCATATTTTTATGGAATGATAGGAGTTCAGTATTCCGTGCTTGATGGTATCAGCTTCACAACTTGAGTTGGAAAACCGTCACAGCTTCTTGACAGACAGATCAAGCTCTTGGTGACCCAGCACCAGGAAAAGACATATGTACATGACTCTGTGCGCTTTTTCTTACTGTAGTTGCAGGACCTCCCTTCCGTGAAATTCACATTGGATAGACGAACATTTGATCTTCCCATGTAAAATCTATCTGGTTGATTTCTATCTCCGATTCTTAATATTTAGAGGAATGAAAAAAGCATGATCAGAGTAAGCGACGCTTTTGTGACCGCTTAGTTGCGCGAATCTTTTTTAGCATGTTCAAGGGGCAGACAATCCTACGCCACACCAGTGATCGAGACATTCCTAGGACGAGGATGCGATAAAGAAGGGATATTTATTGAAACTATAATATCCCCTGATCTTTCTATATACATTAGGATTTAACGCGTATGATGTTTTGACGTATTTTGGGTTATCTGTAAATTCTAAATTCTGGGAGGGCCCAGATACCCCAAGAAACGGCATGTTAAGGATCGCAAGATACGAAAGTTAGAAACAATTAGATATATTCGTTCGTTAAAGGACAACTTCGTCTAGCACTTTTTTGGCTGTCGCCGCAGCTCCCCATTCACCGTACCCCAAGGGTGCACAGAGCCGTCTGAAAAGGTGACAGGTCCTTTTAAGAACTGCTCATCTCCAGTCTGGTCTCTTACGTATATACCAGAGGCTATATCTTTCATTGACTCTTCCAACTTTGGCGGTTCCCCCCATTCCCACGATAGCAGGCCACCATATTGCTTTGGCAAGTTTTGGGGATCAATGTAGGTTGACAGGGTCATCTCGGTCTCTGAATGAGGCAAAATGAGTATTTTAGAGATACTAGCGGGGTCGAACCATTTTTTTACGATCCCCCACACCTTCACGAAAGATGGAGGGGCACCGACAATCTGTCACAAATATTCATGTCAGTGAGTCGGGGCGGGAGATCGGGATTCGCTAACTCATGAGACTCACGAAGATATGACCTAGCGTTTCTGGATAATGAGTTGTGGCTATTGAGATCGCCCCCTGCAGGTACTTTTTAATCTTCCAAAAATGCCCGAACCCTACGCCCGTTATGTCAATGATGTGTGTTGAAGCCGAAACCGGGGCCCTGGCATGAGAATCATGGAATTCGCTGCAAAGGGGCATCACGAATTTCAACATATTTTCGTACAGGGCATGAAAGGCAAGAATATGACACGGTAGATCCTGTGTTTGAGAGACGGTCGTCACAGTGGTGTGATCATACGTGGATATATAAGCCTCCATCCTCTCGGGTGTAAATTGTTTCACAGGAAAGACGTACAGGGGAAGACCCTGTCGGTCACATCGCCCTGTCCATTGAGCGAACTAGCAAAGCTGTCAGCTCAAATTCAACAAAGGGTGCTTGGAAGAGATAGCCAATCGGTAGACGAACGATGCATAAGGTGAGAAACTGACCATCTTCCGGTAGTCTTCGTAACACTGCACATCCATGTAGAGATAAGAATTGTCGATGGCATGATTCGCCCTCCAATCTTGGACAACACGAAATCGATCGATTGCCTTGTTGAGATCGAGATTGTGTGCACGTAAAAACCGCCTATTTAATTCGCTTAGTTAATACCTAATATTTCTCAAGGAGCTGTGATTGTTGGACGCACAAGAGGGTTGTATCGTCGATGGTTGGTTGTCCATCCTCAAGCCGCTTGCAATAACCATTCTCTTGGCAGTAATGTCGGAATCTCCTCAATACTATGTCTTCCTCCGGTGATAGCATCTTGGCATGATCGATACGCTCTGTTTTCTCACCGCGGTGCGATGAGGAATCATTGAGATAGGTAGAGGAACGCTCGTCCATATCATTGAACGGCATGCTGTTGGTCTTTCGACATACGACAAAAGCAGTCTGTGACCGATCCACAAGCCCCACGAACTTCAGAAGAATGCACTGGGAAGTGCCCTTTCTTCTTGGCGCCGGAAGATGTTCTGGGCATCAAATTTAAACACGCCAAAGGTCGTTGAACGGCCTACCTCGGCATGATTTGGGAAACCGTGGTTGTGCCAATCAGAGGATTGAAATTTGCCTCGGGATTTTTTTCCCGAGAAAAGAGAGCTCATACCAGCCATTCAGACTGAACCTTTGGGAAAGATCGAATACCCTAGCGAAAGATAATAAGCTCGATTAGTACATGGAGCTAAGGCTCCCCGCCGACACGAGCTGGAAGATGTGCCAGATTCCCTCATGTTTGGGAAGAGCTGGAAAGGCGCAGCTTGCCTGTCACGAGGCAGGATTTTTAATTCGAAGCAATTATGGGCATAGGATCTTGGGTTCCTTACACATAAGGCTGGCTTCTGGTAGCACAGTAACGAAAGTCTCTGTAATACCGACGAAGCTTCTTCCCGTCTCAGCCTCGACAAAACCCGGAGGATGATAAGCACAAAACTAAGAACAGCCGTAACCTTAAGAGTCGGATGCAACGTGTTTGTGATATTGAGATGATCCTTATAGAAAACCACTAGACACTGAACTATGGCTATCTCCAATTTCCCATCTTGTATTATCTTGCTCGCTATTCTCATATCTGTTGAAAGTAGGGCTGGCCAGACGGCTCCCAGTCATGTTCAATGCACGGTTGCGCAGAGTGGTGAGCGGAATACGCATTGGAAAACTGGCCAAAATTTCAAAGAATAGCAATAGTGGCGCACAAGCTCCCGGGGCAAAGTATATAAAGAGTGTGAAAGAACACGACTAAGTCTTGTTTCGGGGGGGGGGTTGGTTTTGGATTATAACCAATGTTGGATATCAAACACATAGTAAGGGGGGCTTGCTTCATAGATACCTGACACAGTCTTCAGTATTGTTTATCTAAATATGTCTTGGGGAATCGTGAAGAACGACGGAAAGAAGCAATAGGGACTAATAGACTTGAGATAGATATAAATGATCGTTGATATTCTTAAGTGTTGAGCTCTGCCAACCCTACATCGCCAAATAAAGCGAGTTCGTCAATTGGGTATAGATCGTCATCATCAGTCGCACCAAAGTTTATACCATCCAAAATGGAGAGCCGGCGAGTGGGACAAGAGAAAAGCGAGGTTGATGCGTGCCCTGAGCTAGGTTGCAGCTGAGGTACCCCCAGTTCTGTGCTTCCGAAGTAGCCTGAGGATAGACATGGGGTTTGTTGAGAGTCGACTGCCAATTGTGATAGCGAGAAAGAGGGTGGAACGTGATATAAACATTCCCCATACAAGACCTCGGAAGGCACATATGCTAGGGTTTGCCCCAAATAAGAAATATCAACATTGTCCCTGCTGTCCACATTGTCAAATTTGTCTTGTGGATGTATGATATCGGGCTCCTGCTCTGTGTTCAAAACACCTAGGCGAAAGAGTATATCATGTGTCAGAGGGTGTCCATCCGCTTTCTGCCCGAGCGGTTCACCGGGCCAGCCCTTGCCTTCAATAGCCCGTTGATACATTTCTCGCAACCCCTTCGTTAACCAGTCTTGTTGCTGCTCGAGCATTTCAACATATCTAGAAATCAAAGTTAGGCACGGGCATACGCTCAAAGATTCCACCTAACCTACTCTGGAGGACGCTTTTTCAAAGACGTTTTTCTTTCAAAGATACAGATAGCATCATGGTCCTCACACCGACTGCAAGGTTGAGCACCATTGCACTGGCCCGGTCAGTATATTGAACCATTCTTACTTTCAGCGGTATTATCTGTCTTACCTTAGCTTTCTTTAATCTACAAGTGTCACATGCTCTAGGAACCCTGCTCCGAGCATTGCGTCCTTGGTTTAAGTTAGCTGTAGTCGAGGGGGGTGTGTCGTTCGTTTTGGTCGCGTGTGGTTCGTCCATATATGAAGCTGACAGAACGCGGTGCCGAATGTGTCGTTTGGAGTAATGGTTGTTTAAATTGTAGAGGGTGTTCTATATGAACGCTGGACCAAATTAAGCACGAGCGCAGTTATAAACCGGAAGCAAAGAGCCTAGTCAAAACGATATATCTGGTTCCTGTATATCGATGGACAAAAGAGAGGTCTTCGAGCGATGATATAGTGGTCATTGACCCCATCCAGCCTGCATCCAATAATGTTAGGCCTCTCGTTTAAAGGGTCCCCTTCCGGAAAAGGAAGTCAACCTGGGCAGCCAAGCACTACGCCCGGACTCTCATTGCCTATCGACAGTTTGTATGCCTATCTTACTCATCAAGAAAAATAAGTTTACTGTGTCTTATTATTGCTCGCCAGTGCACATGTTTCTGCGTTGAAAAATAGAGTATCTCTTGCCTTACTGCCTTCCTGGAGATAATTTCCCGTCAGTGGTGAGTCATGAATCATCCATGATGAATTTCAATGAGTAGCCAGGCTAAGATCCAGGGCTTTCATTGAAGTATCCATAATTTGGAAGCTGACCAGCTACTTCACTGGCCCTCGTAAAGTCACAATGTGGGGTTGCTGATGTCATAAAACCCCGTTCCGAATCTGGTGTACGGCGCGCTGTGTAGGCTAACGGGATACGATTTGTAGGACCAGGGAAAATAGAGTGCACTGGAACCAAAGAGCAACATGGTATATGAAATTAATGCATTGAAACTTGCCCTGTTCTGAGATACATCGTGGGTATTGTTCCGAATGAGACATGAGATCTGGTGGACTTATTCTTGTCTTGCTTTCTGACCCACCATTTCAAGGCTCATGCGGAACTCAAAATATTCATCATGGTCTGATCCACGTGCTAACATGGCCCACTATTCAAGGCTCAGACGGAACTCAGATTATCGGATGTTCCCGAAAACGATGTTAACTCTGAATCTCGCTGACCCACCATTTAAGGCTCACGCGGAACTCAAAATATCGATCACAACATGATTCACGTGCCGTTAGCGATCTGCGAGGTCGTGCCCAATGGGGTCAAAGCACATGGCCCACTATTTAAGGCTCAGACGGAACGCGATAGCGCAATCAATGAACCTTAATCCATATCAGGCATTAGTGGCTCTCCCTTGTCTGACTCGCTGTATGAGGTTCAGGATAGGTTGCGATAAATATTTTCGGTTGATTTTTAGATTGCAGGAGAACTATGACCTTCTCGGAGAGGAAATTCCGTATTATCGGCCGCGGATCGTATCAAGTATACCTCACGGACCAGCAGCCCTTCACGTGTTGAACCGTGGATTGATGACAGCTTTAAAGTCAGTATAGTATATGGGGCTTGGGCTTCTTGAGAAAGATTCGAAAAATGGAGCCAAAAAAGGCGTTTAAGTGAATACAGTATAGTATAATTCACTGGTAATTCGATGCTTTGTCTTTCTATTGGTCAGGAATTTACGTTAATTACTGTGGACCAGAACCCTTTGGCATATCTATGGGATCTCCTCCCTTCATGACACTTACCCTCCCAAGCAAATTAAATCCGTTAGCACCCCAAATTCCATTTCGCTGGCTGTAGCAAACGTCGCTCTGCTAATTTGTGCACTAGGCGGATTATACCAGGAGTCAAACACGTGCCGACAAAGGAGCAGCTAGACTAACAGGGCCTATAGCTTTCCAGGTTGATGGGCTTTGAAATAAATAATAAAATAGAGCAAGTGGTCTGAATGTTGTTCCTACATTAGGTTGGATTCCTTTGCAGCTCATGCCACCTTTGAATCACCATATTCTGCTCCTCCGTCGAGGCGGCACACATCTCTTCAATGCCCTGCGTAATACGCGATCGAATAATCTCTTTAGATTTACTTTTCGAGAGAGATCTGCGAACATACTTGTGGAGCCCATCTAGAGGGAATCCTGCTAGCCCACATAGACCTAGATATATTCGATTCAGAGTGTGTTTCATACTCTGAGAGCAGACCTTACCTGCAGCTGGGTTCAAAAAAGCCCCACCTACCCCTTTTCCGATTCCCTTCACTAGGCCTTTGCCTCCTGATTGCCGAAGGCCCCGGGAGGGCTGCGTGACAAGTCCAGACATGCCATTATACATACCTTGGTATAATTCCTGTGATAAATAAGGACATTATTCCTTGCGGAGATATGGTAAATATTTGCTTACCTTGCCAGCCGCTCGGAGTCCACTATTGATCCCGATAACTTTGGGCACTGGTTCAATTGTGTCGTCATGGTACAATTTGGGTGCATTGTGAAACCCTTTTGACAAACTGAGGGCAAAATCAGTTGGCAGGACTAGCACATAGTGCAGTGCATATTTTGCCGATTTGGCAGCCTGGTACCGCGTGTCCGACAAGGCTTGCCTAGCACGACCGTATTTGTTACCATGGTGCCTTTTTTCTCCCTCCACCATTACAGGTTGTCCTTGTATGTCCTCTATATTCTCGACAAAATGGGATCGGTTCAAATCTCCCGCCGTTTCGGCAGGCATGGTACTTGCCCTTCGGTCTGTGCCGAGGCCTCCGACAGATTCATCATGACTACTAAGGTCTGCTGCTGCTGCTGCCACACCTGTCCCTGCCTGAGAGTCTCTCCTGCCCTCTTGGTTTGACAGGCACTCTACAAAATGTGACATCGCCCATTCCCTTCCTCTGTAATCACGTTGAACTATCTTGGAATGAGACCCCGGAAAGACACCGACTATCAGGCCCGGTACGCGAGCAATGCCAATCAGAAGATCGGTGATAATACCGTAAAGAACCTCCGCGGTGGCTGAAAGAGGACCTCTCGGGTCGCGGTTAGTGTCATATTCTCTGACTCGATATCTAAAGCGGTCAGATTAGGTGGACAAAAAGACAGCAAGCGGGAAAGGCTCCGAAATACATACAACATTACATCTCGCGGTTTGACGTGGCCCGTGTGCACTAATACCGATATTGCGAAGGCGCTCAGCTTGATGTGAGAATGTCGGAGCCACCACACCGCCGGCCGATCGGGGCATATGGAGCATCTTAGAGCCTCAACATTCATATGCTGGTGAAAACTCTGCACTGCTTTCTGTACACCATCCTCTGCGCGCATATCCTTCCCGATTTGCCCAGCACAATTCTTAGCCCTTTCTCCCAAGGCGTCTTGAATCCCCGCGGCTAGCCTTTCAGGCGTCAATTCCTTAAATGGAATGGGCTGGGGGCCAGCGCCGGCTCGAGCAACAATGGAACCCCAAAATGGTTGGTCGCCGAAAAAGGGCACGATGACCGTTGGGCAACCAAGAAGGAGACCAGCAGCCGTGGTTCCAGCACCGCCGTGGTGCACAACGCATGAGACTCGCCGGAAGAGCCAATCATGGGGACACTTTCCTAACAAGAAGATAGTTTCGGGAATGTCAATTTCTCCAGCGCCGAGATTGCTCCATCCTTTGGAAACAATTGCGCGATGACCCGTCTGGCGAACAGCCTCAAATATCGTTTGTGTCAATTTGCTGGGGTTATCAACTACAATGGATCCAAATCCAATGTAGATTGGGGGATTTCCTGCCTTTAGAAAAGCATCAAGCTCCTCCGGCGGCTGATAGTTCGACTGGGCCGATAGAAATTGAAACCCACACACATCGATATTGTCGGACCAGTCCCGAGGTTTCGGAAGGAGAGAAGGCGACCTTTTTGCATTAGATCAACGCCGCAAAAAATTGAAGGACTTGCTTACCATAGGTATGTATATGGGATATGCAGTCGATGGATCATACTGGGTGCTCGGATGGCATCCAATGGATCCAAACCCAATTCTTTCTTGCGAAACTGGTTAATAAGGTCCCCAAGGCCTTCCCACATCATTACCTCCACTATCCCATACGAAGCAAAGTTCGCCACAGATGGCTTAGTATTTTGTGAGCGCACGTTTGCCAGCGGGTGTGGAAAGGATTGGGTCGGGGACCAAGGCATCCTAAAATATTCAGATCGTGTCTAGATACTAAATAAATATACGACTCACGTAAACATCATATTCAACGGAACGCCCAGCTTTTCAGCACAGCTGAAGTGAACAAACCCTGGTGGATTTGCAATAATAACATCGGCGACGAATGGCCGTGTGCAAAAGTCGATAGCACCGCCGCCCTGCCCCCGTTCAGGAATATGGTGAAGATCTGTTCCATTTCCCGTTTCATAGCAAGAGCGCCAGCATCCCGAAAAGATGGCCTTCATCTCCCGTCGCCGTTTCTGTATTGCACCGCTGCGGATTGTGCTCATTCCTGGTAACAAACCAGGGTTCTGAACCATAAATGCCATTAGCTCTTCCGGATTGCCGCCAATGTTAAAAAATTCGAGTCCTTTATCGGTCACATCCTGTTGGAATGACAAATGTGTGGCAAGGCGAACTCGATGCCCGTGTTTCTGAAGTTCTTTGCCCAGAGCGACAAATGGCTGGACGTCACCGCGCGATCCAACGACCTGGATCACAATGTTCAGGTTCAAAGGAAATCTGCCATGCTCCATGGGAACAACATTCGAGGGCCCCTGCTCTCCTGTGGCTGGTTCCAGAGGTTGTTCAACATGTCTCATCAGAGAAGCAAGCCAGGGTTTGTTATCTCGAAACTTAATATCCAATCTCCCGTCTTCTAGCTTCCTCGTCAGTTCGTGAAACAGGTGAAGATTTGGGATACAACGAACCCTTAACGCGGACTCCAGTACTGAGTCCTTGCTCACGAACACTCGAAATGTCATTATAAACCGAGGCTCTAGAGCCAAGATGCTCGCCTTGCCAATCTTCAGCTAAGACAGCATTTTGCCGTCTGGGTTCTTCCGTCGCTGACATCTCTTGGAGCTTATGATACAGTTCACTGAGTGAGTTTCCGAATAGTGTGTCAGTTTTTGATAATTAGTTCCACTCCTTCATACGATGTCTTTAAATGATTGTTGCCCTATAGTGAGTTTGACCAGATCCATCATCCCAGAGTTTGGTCGAGAGAACACTACTTGGCTGTATTACCTCTATGACTTTCACCTGGGATATTGATTAATCACCGGACCATCCAATCCGCGTGTGCCACTCGGTGGACCGACCAAACGTACAATCTCCGGATATTGCGGAAGTTACGCGCCAGAGCTTTCAAGCGCAGTCATTTTTTGTATTCCTATTTCACCGTGCGTCAGTATAACCCCAATATTGCCCTACGGAATACATTGTGATGAAATGGGAAAGTTGATATAATATGTCCGGAAAGCCGGCCCGTAAGGTTCTGTCCAAATAAATCACAATGCCCTAAAACGTGAAAGCCCAACATTAAATAATACCGATCAAGGGAATTTATAGTATCTTCAGTCTTTATTTCCCCAATCCATCGCATCAGGCTGCCTTCTAGGGCATTTCTCCGAACTAATACGCCCCCTCTCTGCAGACCTATGCCAAGTGCGCCTGCAGGTTCTTTCGCCAGACATGGGGCGCTAGGGATACATGATACAGGCGGAAGGACTCGTCATTAACGTAATGTATGATGATAAAACGTGTGCTATAGGTCAACCTTAATCCCAAGCCCTGTTTTAATCGGGTACATTCCGCGAGGCGTTGTAGCCATGTTTCGATGAAAGTCTGTAGCGTTACAATACAATAACCCAGAATACATACGATGTACTGAGGCTCTATTGGACCATATGTAATGGCTTGCGGATCTACCTACGATCGATATTTTGCGTTTCGTCTAAGCCTCTGGATGTTGTGTCGAAGCCAGTGGTTTTGATTGTGACCCGCTTTTGGACAGAGACCCAAGATTCGACCGACATTCTAGCTTCCGTCTGAGCCCTGAATAGTGGGCCATAGTGGGCCATGCTAGGAACTGGATCATGATCGATATTTTGAGTTCCGCGCAAGCCTTGAATGGTGGGTCAGAGAGCAATGGCCAGTGGATTTGAGGTTCAGAGTTCCGCCTGAACCTTAAGTAGTGGGTCAGCCATGGTATAAAATTGAGTTACTCTGTAGTTCGTATCCAAATAGCGCTACCTAACCATGTGAGGTTCAGGAATATCTGGTATGACGTTACAAAGTCCTGAAGCCAGATCTGTTAGACTCTTGTCGGCCCATCAATGGATGTCTATCCGATAATCCGCCGACCACTGAGCCCGCGGCCCACTTTCAATGGGTTGATGAAATCATCGTCAATTTATCCGCCAAATAGGGAAATCTTCGGCCGAGTGCTAACTTTACTAAGATTTTAGATCTAGAAGGGATGAAATGACGCTTTAGTTCTTATCTACCATTGCAGCTAGAGTTCATAATAATCTAGCTGAGGTGTTCCTAATGGCGTCATATCCTGACTAGCGAATCATATTTTGATATACTGATTCTCGTCTAAATTTTCTCGAATCCCCCGCATCCCAGGATCGGAAATGTTTGCTTATCTCCAGACTCCATTTGTTCCATTTGCTACGGGAGAGGAAGGCCTATTGGAGCGGGGCGATATTCTCAGTCGTACCGAGGCCACACGTAGTTGAAAAGTGGAGAAGATTGACCCTAAAGAGGCATCCTTCCGCTGGACATGATCGTTCGCATTACTAATAACTTTCCTGCAATAAGGATCCAAGGGAACGCGATTCAATATAACTAATAACTTCATAGCACTTAAAAACTTATATCGAAAGGAGATGTGCAATTTGGAACACCAACATGCCACACTGCCGAGATTATTAAATCCCTATTCAATTAGCAAGTCATTCGGCTTGGGTCCAGCCATGCAGGTCATAGATCCAGCATGTAAAGTTTATCCCACATGGGCCAGTGCAATGCCTGTAAAGGTAGCACCAACATTACACAGCGTTCTCTTGTTAGCTCCAGTTAGATCGGACCGATACACTGATCCTCCAAGGTCGGTATAGTATATATGCTTGTTGACGTGATCAATTCGAAGACCAATTGCCTACATGTTTAGGGAACCTCAGCCAACTTCCTTGCCTTGAGAACATTATGGAAAGGAATACGAACCTCGTGAAGATGACGGCTAAGAATCGTCGCCTGCTTTGGGCCCGGGGAACCGACAAAGGCCCGGTTGAGCGAGTTCCCCTGAGGATATTCCCCTCTATCGGTCCAGTAGAGCATGTCTTCGTTAGAGTCTATCTCCAGATCGATAGGCTCGGGTAGATGCTCAAAGAGCAGTTCGATGTCGGAACGATTCGACACGGTTTCACCGGGGGGCATATCAATATTGGCACGAAAGATGCGACCTTTGCCAGACTTGCTAGGCCCTTTTTGAGTCCAGTAGAACTTGCCCCGGTTGGCATCCACGCAGACTCCAACGCACTAAGAATGACGGTATTCATTAGCCAAAGCAGTTCTTGTACAATAGTTGGATGATGCTGGATCTACCCATCTTGTTTCGTCCTCCTTTTGTTCTTGATTATTAAAATCACCTGTTTCGACGACCACCTCGTGCTCACTGCCGTCGAAATTGGCTCGATGCACTCGCATTCCCTCCCGATCACAAAAATAAATCTTTGCATTCTGGTGGTCGATTGCAAGTTGCTTGGGGGTATGAACCTGATCCCTTGAAATGATCTCCTTGATATCTGATCCATCAATGTTTGCGGATTGAATGGACCCGTTGTTCTTTGATGGCTCCCCCATCTGTGACCAGAATATGCGGCCACAGGAGAGGCTAATATCAACTCCATCTGGCATTTCGAGATGGTGCAAGAGCGTCCGCGAATAGGAGCCATCGGCTGAGGCGACAATAAGTCTGCCAGCGTGGAGAAAATCCGCAGTGATCCCCTCACCAAACCCTATATCTAATAGGTAGAGAGTGGGGGCAGCCAGATTATCCGGTTTGGTTTCGCCCTGGCGTTGGATCTTGGTGGTGTATCCAGGGGGATAGAGGCCACCTTTGCCAGACTTGGCACCTAACTTCCCCTGCTGGATGTAATTCTTTCGAAGGAAGTCAACGGTATCAGCACCATCGAGGTGACGCTCTTGGATATAGTTGTCCTCGATAAATGCGACAGTGTCAAGGCCAACTGAATCCATCAGTGCGCATGGGCCTGGCTTTTCCTTTCCAAACATCTCGGCCTAGTTTTACTCAAGTTACTGTGTCATTCGCTTCAACGGGGGCTACTGGTAGACTCACCCACAAAGTGTCGATTTCCTCTGGGTCACTGACCCCCTGGGCAATAATCTTCAATGCCTCACGCTTGATCGCGGCCCAGAGACGGTTGAAAATAAACCTTTGTATGGTCAGTCCAAAATGAACTCAGAATGAGATACAAAGGATAGCCGGGCTGGCTACACACACACCCAGTCGATTCTTTGCGTGCCACTGCTGGTAATAATCCGATCCGTTTGTGCTGCTCAACAAGAAATGGGAAAATTGCTTCGTGTGTATAAGTGCTCGTCATCAATTCCACCGTCCTTGTTGCTGCAGGCATGGTGTAGTGGACGTTTAAAACCCGTCCCTTGCTTTCATCATCCATCTGGTCCAGCATCATGCTTGATTTGTATGAGGATGAGTTGGAACCCAATATGCAGTCCCTGGGCGCTTGCTCTGCAAGGTCCTTAAATATCGAAATTTTCAGGTCAAGCTTTTCTGGCACTGCCTCAACTACAAACCATGCATTGGCAACAGCGGAGCTGAGGTCTTCGACTGCACTGTATGTGCCCGGTCTTACAGAAGACACCCCAAGAATCCTTGCGAATTCTGCGACATTGTTGTCGAGGAAATGTAGGGCAGCCTTTCTCTGTTCAGCGCTGGGATCCCTGATTATGGTGTTGTATCCACCAGCCACCCAGGAACATGCAATGCGACGTCCTATACTGACATAAGTACCCTGGCTAGATTTAATTGCAAGGGTGGTTTTCTTTCTTACCAAGAACGCCAGCTCCTAGGACGGCAACTGTACGTTCATTGACCTCTGGTGCCTTCCACAGGGACATTATGATCTGCAGTTGGAATATGCTTTGGGTATGATATCTGGTTCTGACTTGGCAGTGGGAATCACTTGGAACTCTTGAAACGGAAACCTAGGTTGAGATAACAGGTAGAATTTATGTATGATATTGGCCTCAAAGAGAGCCGAGGAAGTCCAGGCAGCATGGACTTCTAGACCACGTATCAGGATGATCTACGAGACGAAGTCCCACGTAACCTTAACCCTTGGGAAGCTCTAACCCCATACAATCATACGCGTAACCATTTTGGGCGGCTAGGATGTCGCGGAAGGTCCCCCAAACAATTCGCTCATATAATCTCTGTTGGCTAAAGTTTAAATTGGTATGTTTGTATGTTACGACTAGTCGTGGCAAATCATGTTGACATTACTGGGACGTCAAATCATGATATCAAGACTGCTCCGTGACGTGTTCAGTCAGTTGCATAAACTTGCCTTAGCCAATCCGTTCGTATGTTATGGTTGAACCTTCTCACGGAAGCCCGGAGGTGATGCAAATTGAGTTAGGTATTGTTGTCATTGATCATGGGTAAGCTGTTAGACAGAAAATAACTGGGTGGCTGAGGTTGCCCCCGTCTACCCTGGTCTTCCTGTTTTAATAGTGCAGGGACTTGAAAATATAGTACAAAGGCTGCCCCTCCCGCCAATGAATCCGTACCCGACGAACAACAGTCGATAGATAACGGGTTTTATTGAAATTTCCACTTCTGTACTCTCATACCATCTTCTCCACTGTTTATCCCAACACCAACCGTGATGTCTGAAATCAAAGATACCGGTAGCCTGGAGATCATTTCCAAAAGGGAAGCGGCCAACCACACCACCAAAAAGGACCTATGGGTGATCCTTCACAATCAGGTACGCTGCCTTCACATGGACAAGTAAACAGACTGACAAAGGGGTGGGTAGGTCTACAACGTCACACCATACATTGAAGACCGTAGGTTTTTCTGTATCTTTTACGTTTCGTGAGTTGATCGCCAGGCTAATAAAGTAAAAAGACCCCGGGGGTGTGTCAATTTTATTAGAATCGGCCGGCCAAGACTGCACCGAGGCGTTTGAAGACATTGGTCACAGCACTGATGCACGAGAGGTGCTGGAGAAGTATTTAATCGGCAGGGTGCCGGACGATGTGAGAGTCAAATATTTCTGCTTCATGTCTCGTTTACGATTTTGGGATTAGCAACACTGACAAAAAATACTACAGGAACGTACCGAGACCCTTGTAAAAACTGTGGCTGAAGTTATTCCTCAAGATGACCGGGAGACCGAGAGCCAGAATATAAATAAGAAGCACATCCGCGTCATGTTGCCTACGATTTCCACGGGTCTTCTGCTCATTACGAGCCTTATTTGGGTTGGTGGACGAGTTATTAGAGGAGTTTCAACTCTTCAAAGCTCGGGAGGATTCTGGGTGGGGTTTGGAATTTCCTCTCTTGCCAGTATATCAATGGTAATGGCGACAGGGGTGTGGTTTAACACCCTTCTCAGGAGTAAAGCGAAGGATTCGTTCCCTACTCGCATCAAACCCGGCATCAGTGTTGCCAAGAGGCGATCCATCAATTCTGGTGTCATGAACCCGCGGCAATTTCGGAGTTTCCCTCTTATTGAAAAGCACCAAATTTCTCCGGACACCTATCGGTTTGTCTTTGGTCTACCTGAGCCGGGGTCTCTTCTAGGGCTACCAACAGGCCAGCATGTCTACATAAGACATGAGAATGCCAAGGGAGAGATGGTTAGCCGGAGCTATACACCGGTATCCACTAATCGCGAAAGAGGGCGCATGGAGTTGGTGGTGAAAACTTACCCGAATGGGTTTATGTCTCAATACCTTGCGAACCTTGCAATTGGTGATAAAGCTGATTTTCGGGGACCTGGTGGGAAGATGAAATATACTCGATATCTGACACGGGAAATTGGAATGATTGCGGGTGGATCAGGTACGTACCATACCCATATGCAATCGGCGCAGAACTCGACGACTAATGTGAAATGGGACAGGAATCACGCCTATGTTCAGGTGAAAAGTTCTTCATCCACATTCAAAAGAACCTGTGCTAAATGTGAATGCAGTATAATCAAAGCCGTTTGTACGACCGAGAAGGATAATACGAAGATCAGCTTATTGTTCGCTAATAAAACGGAAGATGATATCCTTCTTCGCAAAGAACTGGATGAATATGCCCAGAAGTTCCCCCACAAATTCAAGGTGTGGTATATTGTAGATACCCCTCCTCCTGCCTGGCAATACGGCACAGGGAGGATTGACGAGAATTTGATCAAAAAGCGATTACCGAGTCCGAATGGAGAGGACTCCAAGATTCTTCTCTGCGGCCCCCCGGGGATGCAAAAGGCTATGGTGAATACGCTGGTCGGCCTGGGATTCCGTCGTCCTAGCGCTGTTGCACATGTCACCGACGAGATTTTCGTCTTTTAAACTGCTTTTAACAACCTCTTTTTTTATTTAAAGTACCCTCACTTGCGTTCTATGGGTTCTGCATTATGTCGACAAAATACGTGGTGTACATACTACACAACCAAGCAAAGATGCAGCCGCTGGCGTTAACATGAGAGTCAGGCCGGAATGTACTATGCTATCCGCGGGCATATATTCACGAGTACTACCTGTCATAGATGTGATGTAATATAGTACATAGGCGATGGTCAGGCGGCTTGGGTTCGAGGTGGTCATTGGTGTGGTCGCTTTGGGCTGAGTGGTCTACCTGAACATCTTTCGGGTTCTGGCATAATATTAAACCTCTTGTAGTTATCATCCAGATTGCTGGTGCACAGTGTAGCTGTTTTAGGGTTGGATAATCTAAATAGCAAGGAAAGTCTGTATCACTGGCTGGCGTGGACACATTGCCTACCTGGCTTACCGATCCGTGTGGGCCTCCAGTCTCAAATAATTAAACTTGCAATTCCGGAACATCCTATAGAAGCTGGCTGGACGTACTGAATCTAAGTTTCGACATTCTGGTCTATGGACTGAGTGATCCAGCGAACCCCATTTCGGATTCTCAGGGTAGGTGTGGGCCCGAACACAAAATTCAACCAGAGTAACTTAACAGAAATGCGACAAAATAGTTTCTTGGGCATGTCCCGAGCCTGCCGTGGCATCCAACAGTGTGCAACGATTAAGGCGTGTTACACGTAATACACTACGTCACTAGAACAAGTTCAAGATGGTTCTTTGGCCTGAGACAGATCTGCAGCCACTCTATCTCCCGTATTTAAGGAGACCACAGCTGCCCGTGGTGTTCCAAATTGATACTTCATCTTCTCTACTTCGTTATACTCGCAAAAGAATTACGGTTGGAATCCGTTGTACTTACAATATAATTCATTCGCCATGATTGTCGACTTGTTTCTCATGGGGAAAGATCCCAATCAAGCCTCCCTAAAGATTGATATTGATCGGGTGGACGACTTAGACACCTTGAAAGTCAAAGTTGCGAGTCGGTTCAACATTGTTGTACCGAACAGTATCGATTTTCAAGATCAAGCTGGCCGTCAGCTCCTTGATATTGAGGATGTTCTGGATTGTCCCGAGGCAGTGGGAATCCTGGTGGATGGACACTCAGTCCGAGAACCTGTAAGCTGCGTCTTCCGCGGAGAGCGTTCCGGGATGTTAATACAAATGTGCAACACAGTCTGGACCGAAGGGGCTACCCTTTGCTGGTGCTTACTATGAGGTCTTCCCTGACCACGTTGGTAACCACGAGCGAATGTTCCACAGATTTGGCGGCGTCATAAAATATACCACGTATGGCCGCGATAACTACCTGACCCGCGACCCACGAGTCGCCGAGGTAGCGTTCGCAGAAAGCCCCTTCTTCACCAAGGCCACTTCGAACCCCAATCATCCGCTCCACCCTATCAGCAATCAGAACTCACTGTTCATATGCGATACTAATGAAAATTGGCGAATCGCCCATCGGTTCATAGCTCCGGCTCTCAACCCTAAAGCGATCAGGCACTACCACCCTATCCTACAATCCGTGGTGGAATCGTCATTTCCCGTGTTTGACGAACTCGATGAGCAGGGTGAAGCTTTCAACACTTACCAGTATATGATGAAACTGGCTAGGTATTTCTCTTAATCCTTTCGAATGCTTTTTATTAACGTATGTCCTAGCGGAGCGATCGGTCAATGTGCCTTGGGAATGGTGAGCGCCCGGGTCCTGGAAGTTGCATAGGTCCTGCAAAAGCTAATCGCGTGCAGAATCTACACCACTTTGATTCTATTGACGCACCAGTACATGACCTGGTAACTTCTATACAAAAGACTCTCCAATTGAACAAAAAGGTTGCATCTAAAGGAGACTGGTGAGTTTGTTGCTTTGAATAAAGCCTGCACACATGTTAACAGATCCCAGGTACGCCAAGGTGCCATTCGGTGACCCTAAGGAATTAGATCGAACTCAGAAGCATGTTGTCCAGCTTCTCAACGATGCTTTCGATACTTGCCCGAAATCTGGCGATGAGGATCTACCTATCAACGAAGCTGCTCTGCGGGCCGCATGCATTTTTGATTATCTCAACCGGGCAGTTGATGACGCTGGACAGAAATTGCCTAGGGAGCTCGTTGCGCCCAACATGCTCCCAGGTGAGAGATAACAGTCAATATATTCTTGGCGGTTATGAATTGAGGACACGCTGACACTAGTTCTATGCACACAGTTGTGGGAGCGGGATTCGTGACAACGGCTTGTCTGTTGTCTTGGTTGATCTATTCGCTCTGCACTTATGAAGGAACGCAAGACCGTCTCCTGCAAGAACTTGTGGATCATGGAGTTACCCACAATACGACGTGGGACCCTGATTTCGCTGACAGTCTTCCGTATTTAAATAAGTTCATCAAGGAGACGCAGAGGTATGTGTTCCTCAAGTCGTAGCGGTAATATTTTCATAAATTTTTAGCCATGTTAACAATACACCCTCTGTTAGACTACATAACCCCTCGTTCCAGCCTGGAAGGGTAGCAAAGGTTGACTGTGTCGTCCCAGGTGGATACCAACTTCCAAAGGGGGCGGCGCTGATTATTGCTCTGTACGCGATCCATTCTAACCCTGATATATGGGATAATCCCCATCGCTTCGACCCAGACCGATGGGATCATTTCAATCCAAAGGACAAACCCAAATGTTCCTATATACCCTTTGGGACGGGTCCACGCTCCTGTATTGGCTTCAACTTCGCTCTTGGAGAGGTCAAGGTCGTGCTCCCATCCCTGGTTTACAGGTATGAGTTTGTCCGTGAAGGGGAGAATAGCATTGAGTATGACCCTCAGTATCAGCTAATCCGCCCGATGAATTTGTATATCCGGGCCAAGAAGAGAACACACTGGCCGAAGCCAAGCGCGGCTCCAGCGTAAAGAAAACGTTATGTTATTTTTCCCAGCTCGGGATTTATGTTGTTATATGTACCCTAAATAGATACGACAAGGAAAAACATTGCCAATTGCTGTTAAACTTTCACTATTTATTGAATAACCACCACTTGGAAGGTGCTGGGGTTCCCGGTAAAAGGGAATATAGTACGTGGAGCTGATATTGGGTCGGGTTCAGGTACTAGATCGAGGACTTGCCCCCGGAAACCACTGGGGTCGGGGGCTAAGGGGCAAGGGGAACCCTGATCAACTCTAGTAATAAACCACGTCAGTTCAGCATGTTTTCTCTAGTTGCGTATGAAGTTCATTTGTCGGTGTAGAAAAGCCTAGATATGCCTTTTGTGGATTTACACCGATCATAGTAGAACACCAGGCACCTACATGCAGAGCTAAAATAGAGAAAATACATCGCTTCAGATTTGGTTCCACGTCTGCCAGAAGTCAAAAAGCGAGCCTTCATCCATTAAAACGTTCATTAAATCAGGTTCGTATGCACCTGCAAGCCCCAATTCATCCAACTGGTCATTTCTACCATTATTAGCGTCAAGGCTTTCCGTTTCCAAGATAGCACCTGGGGCATAACTTTCATTGGCAGGAGCGGGTATCGCAGTTGCTGCAGGGCTCACCCTCATAGTGGGAGCTGAGTAACCTGGAACAATCTGTTGAATCGCCTTTGTGAAAATCCCACGATATACTGAAGCAGCAGCGTATGTTTTCTGGAATTCTTCCAAGACCAGCATGCACATTTCAAGCTTACTTAGCCGGATGCGTTTTGCGATAGAATCGCCAGATTTGCATTGAAGCAAGTGCACTTGCATCGTTGGAACCAGAAGAGGAGGCCTAGATTATTTCAATGAGTCAACGCAGTGCAAAATACAGGCGCCTCCGGACTCCAAAGAGCAAAAACGACCCATGGATTGAAGATACTCACGTCATAGGCCCTGCGAACCCCAGCAGATTCTCTTGGACGAGCATGTCCAGTATTTCATTAGTTCTAGAGGCAGCAGCATTGGCCCTTAGACGCATTCGATGCTGCCAGTCATCCTTTGCCAGGGAAGTCAGGCCATCCGGGACTTCCGTTTCCCAGCGGCGATAGAAGGTAATAACCATTGCTCTGAGGGATATGTCAACACAGGAAACCATAAAAGGCAGTAGAACTAACTGGTAATGCAAGTGGACGTGGTGCGAATAGAACCTTGCTACGCGCGTTAGACCGACTTCGTACTGATCGGGCAGTCTGCTCTGTAGTAGCCGCCTTTCAAGTCCTTGCACTTCGTCTATCGACGCTTTGAGGCGAGCAGGCCGACGATTTAGGGCTAGGGTGTTGCCCAGCAGGCAGCTTACTTCCATCAGCATAACCCAGTATTCAGCCAATCTGTTCATGTCGCCAGGTAGGTACGACGCGATGGTGGACCCATCTGACTTCAGAGTGTCGAAGAGGAGGTCACCCGCTAATGGCATACGGATATCACAGTCATCCAGATTGACCCGCAGGGGCCTCCCCAACGTTAGACCGAGCCAGCGATCCCGGAAAAAGCAGCTCCACCAAAGCCGACACCAAAAAGATCGCTGTCGGTCGGTAATGGATGGCGTATTATTTGAGGCACCCGGATCGCGATGCAGGCCAAGGATCTGACCCAGGTTTATCGCAATGCCTGTCCAATACCACGGTTGTGCATGTTCATCCATGTCCGAGTGCCAAAATCCCATCAAGAGTGACGACTGCAATAGCACAATTTTGTTCCTTTCGTTTCCATTGTTGTACAAGCACTAATTACGACAGTTAGCCCAGTGACTTTTGCACGTGGGCAAGAGGCAGGGAAATCACTTGCCTTCGCTCGAGAGTACATCATAAACTTCATGGTCCGTCTAGAGGTAAAACCTTCTTCCTCGTATATGGTTGCTGGGATAAACTACACGGCTCGGTTAGCTGGACAGATATACAAATGATCTACACCGTGGCGTACATTGACAGCGACAAAGAAGACACTCCACAGGAGCAACAGGTTATAGTCCTGAAGCTGTCCAGCCCGGTGATGCTCCACCAGCACATCGGCTTCAATCACCGGGAGGATCGGATGTACATGGATAAGGTATGCCTCGATCATACTATCGCAAGCACGTTTGCCCGGGAGGGTAAACACGCCCTTTCTACGTAGGAAGTCGTGGTCCTCGTCAGACAGGTGCGTGCGGTGCAATGGTATGAGAAAATGCTTCGGCAATGAGTCATTGGATGAGCAAATGTTCAGGGCTGACGTGGGCCCAGTCTGTTCACCTATCTAAAGCATGAGTCCCTGCCGTGTTCTATTCTATAGTGAGTGGGCGGTTGGTTTCTGTACCCGTATAGAAGTGGATTTCCCCCACACTGTCCGGTTGGCCGAGCGCCGCTGATGCTATTTCAAGTGCATTGCGCTCTTCGTCTGCCATATTATGCACTTCGAAGTCCGAAGGGCTCCTGTTGGCGGTCCGCGTGGTATTTTCCGCTTGGGTGTCGCAGGGGGGAAGGCTTGGAGGTCTACGCTCATCAATCGGACACGGGGCAGGGTTCGCGGAGGCCGTGGAGGTAGCGATGTGTGAGTCAATTGCCCTAGCATGACCCTGCCGGCGACGGCGAGGTCCTAAGCGGTCGGTCTGCTGAGTACTAAGAGATGTTGCTAGGTCAGTACTATTTTGGTATAGTCTCTACCGGGCGCTCTGTCACCCTTTTCCTTGCTTTGTGTTCACGATACACTCGATGGCATCCTGGGTACATCCGGCACAAGGCACACCGGTGACGGTCAAACTGCATCGTACTTTGCGTTGGCGACAAGCCTGGCAGGCGACGGTAGACCTGTGGCGGCGGGTTCGAGGAGTTTGGTTCGTAGATGCCATGACCTCCGCGCAAGACCGCTCCCCGTATACCGCGGAATTATGGAAAAATTCACTAGTTGTAACAGTTTCGAAGGCGGGGGGCTAGGAAAACTGGATACCTAGCGACAGTGCCGGGGTCCCTGCTTGCGGATGGGCGGGCAGTCGAGTTATCTCAGCAAGAACCACTAGAGTTAAGTTACCTACCTACTCCCGAGGTTAGTAAACTGTCACAACCTCGGAGTTTCAAGCTGCCTTATGTAATCGGTCCCTGGACCTCGGGTTTTACTCGAGTTTTCACCAAGCCAACATCCAGAACGCAGGTCAACTGCTCCTCCCAGACCTCGGACCACCGGTGCCGATTTTCTAAGGATTCTATCATTTTATCCTATCACTGGTTAGCTAAATTTAGTATATTTTATTATTTTAAAGCTAATTTTAGAATTACTAAATAGAATAATAAATATATATAGAAAATTTAGAATAGATCCCAGAACCTAATAAATTATCGAGTGCTTCAGATAGAACATAAAAGGATTGCTCGGCTCTAGATATATATATATGTGTCGAGCTCGCTGATAAAATATGAAATTTATACGAAAACACAGAGGTACTGGGGTTTTTTTTTATATTTTAGATATCTCATGACCATTTAAGATATGTTTCTCCAAATTCAAATCAGAATTAAGTATGGTGGTGGTATATAGGAGCTTGAATAGCTTCAAATTTATTACTGTATGGGTGGGAATTATCGGTAAGTGTGGCAGATGGGTGGGTCTGCTGAGTAAGAGAGCTTCTACAGTCTTGGCAGCTGAGGGCAATGCAAACCCATATTAATATTCAGTAGCTGGGCTCAACATGGCTTTCCACAAATTCAGGTTAGAGGCTGGCAAACGGTGCCCTGCCCCGGTCTCAATAGCTCCTGCTGTGTCCCCAAGGGGACAAGACGGCAATGTGCAGCAACATTCACGTCAAGGAGCTGCCCTCCAGGAGTTATCCGATGAGAGTCTATGCAGTACAGTTCCGGCAAGGGGCAGATTAGAACCAGCCAGTTACCCTGAGCTATTTTCTCCTATGAATAACTCAAGGGTTCGTTGCAGCAGAAGGTTAGGATCCTGTCAGCCTGATGAGGCCATAATCTGGTTCGCAACTGACGCGAAGATCAGAGAAACCCCCAATTTGCGGCGGGGGACAGCCTGTACTGAATGCAGAAGCTCCAAGACGCGCTGCAAAAAGCTCACGACAGGAGGATGCCTCCGATGTTTGCAGCAGAACAAGGAGTGTACACTGTATCCGCCGTCGCAAATAGCTTCCGTCGAAAATTCTACGACCCTGGCAGCTTCTCGTTCGTTCAGTCCTGAACTGCATGCGCAACAGCATTATAGCAGAACAGCCTTCTTTGATCATCAAGGAGCAGGAGGGAGACTTGAAACTGACAACGACTTGGATATGGACGCATCTGCGACTTTTCAAGATAGAGTCACCCAAGCCACATTGTGTGAGTTCTCAAGGATCGAATTCGCTTGTTTTTCGATTATATCACATTCTACAACTGCTTATGACTTGCAATAGCGCCCCACCCATTATCTTGCCATTGGAGGGGGCAATTTGAAAGCATGATGAACTCTATAGTCACTTCGAAGATAGCTGAGCAAATCTTTCAGCGGTACGTAGACAGTTTCGCTCCGAAGTGCCCTGTTGTTCTGTTTCCAACTGGCACAACGGCCGCTCTTGTGCGAGAGACCAAACCGTTACTCTTCCTGTCCATAATCAGCATTGCTTCCGCTGGATACTGCACCGTCGCCCAGCAGAGACACTTGGCAGTTAAGGCCAGGCTTTATCTCGCAGACAGAGCGATTGTTTGTGGTGAAAAGTCTATCGAGCTTGTTCAAGCGCTTCAGGTCGCGTCTTTTTGGTACAGAGCACCCGATGATTATAAGCAGATGAATCTGAACCAGTTAGCTTCTATTTCCTCAACTATGGCCATAGATCTTGGACTGGATAATATTGAGGTATCAAAACCAGCTGGCACAGCCAAGGAAACGTGGGACCGGGCCGAAGCACAGCGTGCCTGGCTTGGTTGTCTTCTTTTATCCGCAAGGTGCATTTATTGGATAATTTACTTCTTTCAGCGATTGTCAAAACTGACCGTGTCTTAGTCTTTCCTTGATATTGAGACGACCCAATTCGCTCGCCTGGAGCTCGCACTATGATGAATATGTTGCCGATTTGCGACGGAACAAAGCATCCCCTACAGATGAGTTCCTCTGCACAATTGTAACAACGGAGCTAGCCTGCCACGCCATAAGTCGCGAGCTATTTCTGAGTGATCCAGCCTCTTCGGTATCCTTATCCGACCCGGATATATTAATGAAAGTTCAAAAACACAAATCTCAAAGCGAATGCCTGCCTCTTGACCGAATATCCTCTATTGATAAATGTGAGTGTTGTCCATAGATCCGTGCCCATGTTGGTCTCAGGTGCAAAGAATGACAGTTGCATAAATCAGCTTTAGTTGAATTTGGCAGCTTTGCTAGTTTACTGTACCTACATGAGTTGGTCTTACATGTCAACCACAACATTCAAGAGTTCAAAGCACCTTTTAGTGTGAAGTCCTTGGAGACGTGCAATTTCATCGACATGCACGGTCCTGACCCATCTTGCCTTTCTATGCTTCGCACTATAGTACGGGCGGCGCAAGGACTGCTTGATTCTTTCCTCAGATTATCCACGTCCGACATGATTGCCTTACCACCGCATATATACGGCGGTCGCGTGATATATGCCATGATCCTTCTGTTGAAGATACAAAAAGCAATAACATTATCAGGCCAGGCACTCAGCGAATGCATTACTGCCGACGAATTACGAGTGGAAGTGTACCTTGAACGCCTCGTGCTCGTTTCGAAGAGCCTTATTGCGGAAGATGCTCGCAGTGCTTTGAGCAGGGCATTCCTAGTCATGCCTCAGCTAAAGCAGTGGTTGCACACTCACCAAATTAAGAACTTGCCCGGATCAGATAAAACTGAGATGGTGGAAGGTCTCCCATTCCAGACCAGCGATGGGTCATTAAGCATTGGCATACAAACGCAGACAGCCACCCACATTGAGCCAACGGATGGACTTGGACAGCATTTCCAGCCTGCTGGAACTTCTGACTACCATACTGTACATATTGGGGGAACAGGATTTGAGCCATATCGGCAGGAACTGGCATCTGACTCTTGGTTCTGGGAATTCTTCAATGTTGACATGCTGCATCAGAATGCCCCTCCATCATGAGATTGAGATTTGTGGTTTTATTATTTCAGCCACGGCTATTTATGAAGCTCTGCGAGTAGAGAGAGTTCTAATTATATTATACATACATTCGCATTCCCTTTACATTATTAATGCCATCAGGAACGTTTCTGCTACCTCCAGCAGATTTGATTCAACACACTTGCACGCAATATGTCTAGAATGAGTTACACGCGTGCAGTACCTTCCTCCGAGTTTCGCTCTTTGGGGGTGCTTTTCAGGGATCGCCATTTGACACCCATGGCACCAAGAATGGAGACACAGGCCAAGGCCAACGCGACTACAAAGGTCTGGACGATGGCGTCGTTGTAGATCTCTAATACCCGAGTAACCACCGCACCGTGGCCCGAAGCGGCTTGCATGACTGTACGGCGAAGATCGGTCGCTCCGGCCTGAAGGACGATAGATGGGTCCAGCTCAGGAACGTGGGCGCGCATTCCCGTGATAATGTGGTTGCTGAAAATATTCTGACCCACGGAGACGAAGATGGCGCCCCCAAGAGAGCGAGCAAAGACCACCAAAGATGTCCCGATGGAGACATCCTGCTCGGAAAGAACTGTCTGAACAGCAATGTTCGCCAGCTCCATTCCAACACCGGCACCTGCACCGAAGAGAACTTGGAAACCAAACCTGGATACATCAGCCGAAGAGCTTGTGGGATCAATCCGCAGTCACATACCACATCGACGTTGGAGTGTCAATTTTGAATAGGAGAAATAGACCAGCGCCGACTGCCATTATAATTGAACCCGCAACCATAAATGGGCTGTAATACCCCACCACTGAGACGCCCAGGCCGCTCGCTATTGCAAATATCACTGTCTTTGTATCAGCTTGCATTGTTCTTCAGTTGATCTCACTTTGGATGGACCCCTAGCAGGCTATACGTACCGACGCTCAGAACAGTGGGGAGGTTATGGATGCCGGACTGGTCGGCAGAATCCCCTTTGATTGCCTGAAACCTGTTCTCGCCGTCAGTATCAATAGGATCAATATTCGGGTGCCTTGAGGACACTTCTCAGACATACCAAATTGGCAAATAGTATATTAGCAAGACAAACGACGCACTTGCAAAAAAAATATAAAACGTCGAGCAGACAACTGTGCGCTGCCGCAGAAGACGAAGGGGTACTGTAGCATTGTCGCCGGCTCGCCATTGCGCTACTACCCAAGCAATAATCAGCGCTCCGAATACCGTCAGTAGCGCAATCATGCGGCCATCACTCCAGGGGTATTGCGTTCCTCCCCACTGAAGTGCCATCAAGAGGCAAATGATGCACGCAACGAAAAAGATCGTCCCGACGGGATCAAATTGGCTTAAGGTCGCCCAGCCTTCGAGCTTAGGCCTGTTTTGTGGCTTTTGTGAGGAAAGAAAAAGAATAATGAAAGGGATAGTTATAGCACCGATTGGAAGATTGACTAGGGTCAGATTAGTTCAAGACATACTGAGAATAGCAGAAATAAGTGAGAGATACTGTAGAAGCACCAGCGCCAGGACACATGAGCTGAAAATGTGGCCTTGATGTTAGCAGCAATTTCATGAAGGGTAAACGGCGATGGAAACTGACTTGTAAAGGCGCCCCCTAACAAGGGGCCAACTACACTTGCTATACCCCACACGGCGCCGACTATTCCAGTAAAGGCTGGTCTCTTCGAAAGGGGCACTGATTTAGCGATGATGATCAAAGCGCCTGAGAAAATACCCGCGCCCCCAATCCCAGCAATGGCTCGCCCTATGATGAGGGCGACGGAGTTAGGGCTCGCGCCACAAATGGCTGAGCCAGCCTCGAAAACTAATACGGCGCCAACAAAGGTCCATTTGACTGACAACAAAGTATAGAGCTTGCCGAAAAAGAGCTGGAAACTGCAGTTCGTGAGGAGAAATACGCTACCGTACCATCCGATGTCTTCGACGCTATGGAACTGGGAGGTAATAGTTGGGATTGCAGTAGCGATAATCGTTTGATCCTACTCAGCTCTATTGTTAGCCACCAATCTTCTGTCCTTCGTAAAGTAAATCATTGCTGGGAAGCGATGTGCATTACGAACCAAAGCCACCAAGAATACAGTCAAGCACAAAGCCCAAAATACGAGGGCTAGTTTCAATCCCGAGGGATATGTTGGGCTCCTCGAGTCCACTTCTTCATTCAAGGGCTCAAAAGCAGTGTTGCCAGGGGCGTATTGGCTGTCATGCGAGGTGTCCATGCCCGGTGCCTCTGGTATTCCACCCTGTTCAAGTCCCATATTGAGTTATGGCCTTTTGATACGTCAAAGGGGAAATTCAGCGACCAGGTGGTATTCAGTTGCTCTCGATAAAATAAAAGGTTGAATTTCAACTGAGTTACAAAGTAAAGTATAACCAGCACCTCCAATTTCTCCAGTAGATATTTGTATAAAGCCCTAATTAGGCTCTTCTCTTGTAGCAGATGATATCTGAAGCTTCTCATTGGTCATTCAATTTCCTCTTTAGTCCTAGTCCAGGCGTTCTTCATTCGCATTTGCTTAATAATTACCCGATCCGGTATCGCCGACGCCGAGTCCGAGAATGGATATTTAGTAGCAGTTCCATGTCATACTTTGCCCCTAGGCGCCCTTATGGAGGAAAAGGTCAACACCTCCGTTGTCTGTTACTGTGCTCATTCTATCCAAACTTGATAAGACTTTTGAACATTACGTTTATCAAGGTAAAGCTTCCTTCACCGTGCCAAAAGCATCACTCAACTTCCGCAGAGCCATCACCTCCACCAACGTCTACGCCGCGCGAATGAAGGAGACTCAGGATAGCCTCCTGGAATTTAGGCGAATGTATGTTTCTAGCCATTCGTAAAGGACTTACTCCGGCGTATTTTAGATTAATAAGTTTTCTAGTAGGATCTGCGCCTATATCTAACAATGCTTTCACGATATTCGGTTTAGTAAACTAAATGACGCGGTGTAAAAAAGTACCCTATTTTATAGAGATTGTATTAGGATCGAGACCTTTGGCTAGTAGAAACTTAGTCATAAACTTTTTTTTAGGCACGCGTGGAGCTGTAGTAACAAAGAGTAGATCTAGTTCTAGCTTAACCCTGTATATAAAAAGTAGGTCAATTATAGATATATTTTTATCCCAAGTATGTTTAATAGTCTAGTTAAGAGGGATTACTTCTCTTGAGTTAGAACGGTTAGGGTCAGCATCTTATAAAATTAATTCGAGAGTATAGGTAAAGTTACTTATTAGACTATTATTAAGAGTAAACTATATTCCTAGAATATTATATAAATAAAGTAGATACGTATACTAGGATAGAAATACTATTACAGTAGCTGCTATTAGCGTTAAATCTATAGTTGAGATATTGGTAAACAATCTTAGGATTCTACTTTACTTTTAACTTTTCTAGAAAAGTAGCTACTGTTAAATCCGTTACGCGAGCGCTGGTATCGAAAAGCGCGGCCACTATATTAAAATACATATCCTTAGTGGCAATAGCAAGTCCCTTATCCAGGTCCTCGGCGGTTAGTCGTCTGTTAGTAGGGCTTCCTGGATTTTAAGCACTTTGCCGGTTTTATACGCAAGGTGAAAGATATCAACAAAAGAATCATAGTTGGATGCCATGATGCAATTGCGATAGAGATTCGTGAGGTCTATGTATGTACTGTAGGTAATTTAAATGTCGAATACGAAATCACAACAAAACAATACCAATTCATGCGTAACGGCAGGCGGTGGCGAAAGCGGAGGGAAGAGCCTTCGCGATTAATCAAACTAGTAGTAGAGGGGTTATAGCGCCAATATACCTCAATTAAATTTGGCCCTACCATCGTTTGGTTTTAGAGCCGCGTAGTGGGATTTGCCCAGAACCCGAGGAGCCTGCGATATGGGTCGGCAATTCGGCCGGTTGCCGGTACTATATTCGGACTGTATTAACAGAGAGACACATTCTTCCTACTAAACCAAGAGAGCGGTTCTTGGTGACAGCGAAAGATATATCATATAGATCATCTTCTTCGCCATCTATTTGGTGAAGAAGACCATGATTATGTACACGAGCGTGCAAGAGTACAGACTGCATGCTCGCTAGCTCTTTTTTCTGGTTCTGCTGCTAGGGCTGGTGCTATTGTCGAATCAAGCTCGTACAGGAAAACTAACGAATACCTCTACTATAAGGTAACTAATTTATATCAGAGGTGTGGTCTAAGAGGATGGGGTGGACCCCTTTCTACCCTCACTGTAGGAGTAGGTAATCAAAATAGAAAGTATGGCGAGCCAGCTATTTAAAGCATGTTGAGATGATGTTACCCTTGGCTGCATGCCCCGAGCTCTAAAGACCAAACCCTGGGCGTAACATCTTCAATAATCTAGCATGTGACGTGTGTCGTTACTTACTTTATCTAATTAAGCTAGATTTTTACTTATTTATATAAAAGTCTACCTCAATATAATACATTTCGTATGCAGGAAAAGACTTACAAACGGACGTTTATTATAGCAAAAATCCAACTTTTGTATGGAAATTGGAAGTTCTTGCCGGGAGAATCTTTTATACCGAGGGACCACTGGTACAGTGGTAATAGACTACTACAAAGATTCAGTCTTCTGGGGAGCGAGCAGAATGGCCGAGTATGCAGGTGAATGGGATTCACGTGCGGCAAATGAGTGCATTGGACGAGGAATCTGGCCAAGGACACCAATAGACTCGATGGCGACAGGTCATTGGGCTAGTAGGGCTTAGACCGTTGGTGAGACAAAGACCTACCGGGGTCATGGATTTAGCCAAGTCCAAATTCCTTCCTTGGGGGCCTAAAGGTTCCCCTCATTCCCACCTACTTTAATAGACTGGCCCTCTAGGCGTATACTCATTTCGGCAGATAAATTGATCTTTCATCGGCCATCATTTCGGTTACCGGTCTTAGTTCATTGCACTGGTTACTTGGTGTTATTACAGACATGGAAGAGGCAGAGTATGTGATCGTCGGTGGCGGTACAGCAGCCCTAGTTGTTGCCTGCCGACTGTCGGAGAACCCAGAGACGCGCATCATGGTGCTGGAGCGCGGTAAAGATGCATCGAGTGATGTTCACGTCCAGAATCCACTGGAATACGAGTCTCTGATAGGCAGTGAGATGGATTGGAACCTCAAGGTAGCTCCGCAGGTAACGACGATCTCCACCCCCTCTGCTGACAATGGCCTTGTGCTAAAATTAACGGGCTAGGCCGGACTGAACGGTCGAGAATTCAACCAGCCAGCGGGGAAGGGCCTGGGCGGGTCTTCGTTAATCAATGGTTGCATCTTCCTGCCCCCAGCTGCAGCGGTTCTTAATGCCTGGAATTCGCTGGGCAATCCGGGCTGGAACTGGGAAACGCTCGCGCCCTATTTTCAACGGGCTTATACTTTGCATCCCAGGACCGGGGGGCCCCAGCATAACAGAGCTGGCCCAATCCAAGTGAGCTACCCAGTGTCTGCCGAGAGGGCTGATAAAACCCTGCTCGACGCATGGAAGCAAACATTTGAGAAATACGGCTATGCTTACGCCGACGAATTGGTGTCGGAAGGGGCAACGATCGGTACGCGGCCATATACTGCGACCATCGACCCGGTGTCCGGATATCGCAGCAGCGCAGCGAGCGGATACGGCGCCGTTCTTGCGTCTCGTGCGAACGTGAGCATCGTCACCGGTGCCACCGTAACACGTATCCTATTCGAGCCGTTTGCACCGAATGGCAATCCCGCTGCCACGGCAGTAGAGGTCCAGACCGAAGCCCGGGGGACCGTCCTCTTCAAACCCACTAAAGAGGTGATTATGGCCGCGGGCGTGGTCAACAACCCCAAGATCCTCGAACTGTCGGGAATTGGGGATCAGGCTCGACTCCAGGAGCTCGGCATTTCACCACTTGTCCACCTGCCCGGAGTAGGAGAGAACCTGACGAACCACGCCATGAGTATCCTGACGGCCCCGGTGAAAGCACATGCGGACATCCAGGATATTGCCCCAGGCATGAAAGCCAACGCCCTCATCCGCCTTGCGCCCGCGGACATGCAAGAGATTCTCGATCGGGCCCGCGAGAGTCCAGACCACACGGCCATTGCAGGGATCCTTAACGACCCCAATGAGGCGTCCGCCTGCGTACACTTCGCCATCTACCCCGGCAATCTCGCCGTTATGGCCCTTTTCCCCTCCTTTCCTTTCTCCAGGGGCAACACCCATATCCAATCAGCGGACCCAGCTAGCAGCCCCAAGATTGACCCAAAATACCTGACCAACCCGTCAGACCTCGAGTCCATGGTCCGGCACGTTCAGCACTTGCAGGTAATTCTCCACTCCGCCCGTCTCCAGCCCTTCGTCGATGCGCCGCCGCCCCAGGACCGAGAGATGCTCGTCCAGCTGGTGCGCGAGGCCATGGTCATCCCAACGGCCCATCCATGCGGTACCACCGCGATGCTGCCCCGCGAAAAAGGTGGTGTCGTCGCGCCGGATCTGAAGGTTTACGGCGTCAGCAATGTTCGTGTGGTCGATGCAAGCGTCTTCCCCGTCATTCCGCAGGCGAATCCCATTAGCACCGTTTATATGGTGGCTGAACGGGCCGCAGATTTGATTCGAGCACCTTGATCAGCCCATGTCGTGCTTTTCCCCTGCATTCGGCCTTGTTCGTGTTCCTGATTGATAGGGGATAGTAGACTGGTTGCTTACGTTCCGGAATGAGATGATTCTGAGTCTTGCTTTCCCAAGTCACTACTAAGAGCCGCTAGAAAAACCAATTGAAATAAATAAAATATAGGAATATCGTACATCCGCACGAAAGAATCCCTCGCCAAGAACGAATTGAACTTTTGTAGCGCAGTGGATAAATATCAAATCATAAGTTGTAAACTTCGCCGGAGCGGACGCCAGACGCACATCTACGGGGTAACTACCTGCCAGATTATATACCACCAGCAATATATTCTTATGAATCCCAGATGGCCACATCACTCCAGGTACGAAGCGGAAGAGCAAACCTCCCGCGCTCTTGATATATGGTGAATGAGATATCCCGCAATCAGATGAGTGGAAATTAAGGGTGAAAGCCGCAAACCAACTACGATGCCGAACACAAAAGAGGAGCAGAACGTATGTTGTCGCAAGAATTAGCCATTTCATTCATGAGTCTTGGGTAAGGTTTAGCAATCGCACTGACCATTATACTCCTTGTCAGATCCGCATTAACATCCCGCCTCCCAACCCGAACAATAATTCTTGTGACTCGCAATTGACCGAAGTGGAGGACCTGGAGGACGGAATGGATGGCTTAGCCTCTAGCCTCCTTATGGATTATATTCCTGTAGCTGCTGGGAAATTCTCCGAGCATACACAGGGAAGATGGTCGATCGCCGTATAGCGGCACTGTGCTTACGACAGGTGACGTGTTATCAGATTATGCTTCCTCACGATGTTTGGGATCCGAGCTAGAGCCCTCATTGCCAAAGGTCTATCTATGATAATCGCTCTAGTGGTAACTGCTAATACAAATAGCTTTATAGTGCAAGCGATCCTGGGCTTTTATTTCACATACTGGTCACAGTGCGCGTAGCCTATCTAAATACTTTAACTTAATCAACAAGAGTGAGTATATATGTTCCGCTCTTTTGAAATTTATAATAGCACTGTAAGCTACCTACAAAAGCCTGACTATAAACAATCGATTAATTCATCTTTATGGTTCCCAGAAGGTCATAGCAGTAGTCGGAAACTGATGTCAGTGCAAGAGCAACAGACATAGCCAAGGCTATTGCGAAAATGAGGACGGAAACAGGACGCAATTGAGCATCCCTCTCCCGTTTAGCATCTATTGAACGTAGGGCCTATTCAGCCACGGTTTTGCTGCTGGCTAGACATATTGGAACCCCCGTGCCGGGATGTGTGCTTGCGCCGACGAAGAACAGCCGCTCAATTGAACTATGGCGTGTTTTGGGCCGGAAGCTGAGGACATTGAAAAATGAATGCGAAAGTCCTAGGATAGAGCCACGATCGAGGTAGTACTTGCTTTCCCAACTCAACGGCGTGTCCACCTTCTCGCTAAGAAGGTTCTTCCGTAGATCGGAAGCACCGGTCCTTTCCTCTATAATGTCAAGGACTTGTTCTCTCAGCTTTGAGACGGTCTTCTCCCAGTGATCGACCATTCTCATATTGCGTTCATTTGTTCCCTCATTATTTGTGCCCTGTGGAAGATGTCCAACTGGTACGAGAACAATGACTGCATCTTTGCCTTCTGGGGCAGCCGTCTTGTCGAGACGACTTGGGACATGGAGATAAAAGGAGGGCTCTAGAGGGACTTTATTCTCCTTGAAAATTTTATCAAAGCTTTCTCGGTACTCCTGGGCTAGGAACACATTATGGGATTGGAGTTCAGGGATGGTGGTGCTGAATGACCAGAAGAATGAAATGCAGCTGCATGAGGTATCTCGCTTTTGGAGGTTAGTACCATATGTGCTTCCTGGCAGAAGGTTATTGTAGGCATATGTAAGGTCTGCATTTACAATAACCAGGTCTGCGTTCAGAGTCTCACCCGACGCAAGGCACACGCCTGTTGCCATACGACCATCATCTGAGAGTTTGATGGATGTCACAGGGCAATTGAGTCTGTACTCCACCCCAAGTCGTTTTCCAATTACTTGGAATATCAATGTTAGGAATTTCTCTTGGGCTGGGATTCCATAGACGCTCCCTTCTCAAGGAGGATCTTTACCGCTTCTGATCTTCAGATTTATCATGCCGCGCCTAAGTGTGTCGTTTTCCATATATCCAACTTCATCTTCGTGCTCAAGGAGTCTCACGACGTCCCCACTTTCGTGTTGCTTTCTTAATGCGAAATATTTGATCTCCATCAAAACTAGTCGGTAAGATCTTTAATTACAATAATAATGGTGCTTATGATATTCTATTAACTTGTGGCATATGTTCTAAAAGCTGCCTTAATATAGATATTCAGCCTCCGACATGTCAGTGCCTCTTCCAATCATTGTCGTTTAATAACGGGAAACATGTCCATTTAGATAGAGTGTCAACATCAAAGTATTGTCGTTTTGTCATAAAACAAATTCAAGCAGGTATTTCGAGTTGTGAGGACAGCAAATATATTATCTCCTTACCAAAAGACTTCGTAATTTCTAGAGCCCACGAGTAGTAACTCACGGGTAATCTTGGTCTTTCGATAAAATGCCTTGTGTCGCCCCAAGCTCTAGATGAACTACCTTACAAATCCCCGGTTCAAAGCAATAACTATTAGTTGGATATCTGATTATCGACAGACTGTTATATTGCTTTGAAGATATTTGGCGAGTAATATAAACCTCTTCCCATATAAAACTAGCACATACGACCACAGGGTGTGGAGAACAGGGCTTCCCGTCCGCTCAGCCGTACTTAAGCCAACTGTGTAAGCTCGACCAAAGGACAGTGGCGCCCTCTGGGGCTCGCTGCTTTACGGGTGAGCGACGCTAAGTTGTAGGGTGAGCTGGGTGAGCTGGGTGAGGTTGCTGGATGAGCTGGGTGAGCTAGATGATTTAGTGCAGGCTCAATCGCACATTGAGCCATCCTAGTGCCCTTGTCATATGAAATAAATAGGGAGGGCATCTTTTGTGCTTTGCCAAAAATTTTCTTCTCTCTTCGAATCTTTTCGTGACTTTGCCCTGGTGTTATCATCTTCATCTACCGATACCACGTGACAACATGTCGGATTTATCTAAAGAAGAGCAACGACGACGAAAAGTAGAGGAGCTTCGCAAGCTCGGCGAGTTACGCGGCTTCACTGAAGAGTACCAACAAGAGCAGGGAAATAAAGAAAACAGGGTTTGCCATAAGCAACGGGCTCCAGCTACTGATCAAAGATATGATCTGGCCGTCGAAAGGTGGAAGATGTAAATATATTTAACCTCCGTTCCTTGCATGGATGACTAATCATCACAGGTGGATGTTGTCCCGAAATGAACCCGAAGACAGATACTTTACAAAGGAGGAACCTGACCCTCCTAA